CTCTCTCTGTGCCTTCAAAAACCAAACCAATTCACTTCCTCTGTGCCTTTGCTCTCTCTCTCTCTCTGTCTCTCTCATATCTCTCGTTTTTTTTTTTTTTTTTTGGGTCGCGCTTGTGATCTCTCTCTCTCTCTGTCTCTCTCTGTCGAGCACACACGTTGGACCACTAGACACTAGGCGCTGGACGCTGGACGCTGGACAGTAGACACTGGACACTGGACGCCGGGCTTTGGACTGGTCTCTCTGTTCCTGTCGCTGCTTCTCTCTCTCTCTCTCTCTGTGTCTTCATCGCCATCTTCTGCTTGCATCGACCACTGGAGAGGCCTTGACGGGGTGAATCATGGCCGACAAGCGCGAGCTTGTCCTTATGCGAGGGCTTGCCGGGTCTGGTAAGAGTACGTTGGCCCAGGAGCTTCTACAAGCTGTCCCAGACGGGGTCATCCTCTCGACTGATGATTTCTTCACCCTGAAGAATGGTCGGTATGCTTTTGATCCTAGTCGCCTGGGCGATGCACATGAGGTTGGTGCACCGTGCTGGTACAGCTCGACCGTCCGCTGTCGCGCGCTGCTGCCGAACCGCCACGTTTGCATGGCTGCTTGATCGTTCTAACCGCCCTTTTACTGGACTCGCAGTGGAATCAACGACGTGCCGAGGAGCATTGCTGCCGTCACGTCCCTCTCGTGATTATCGACAATACCAATGCCGAAGTTTGGCAGATGAAGCCATACGTTCGCATCGTAGGTGCCCCTCTTGATGCCCCGAGCCTCGCTAAACCTCGGGTCCTTGCCGTGGCACCCTCATCGCGACACCCTGCATCGACCGAGCCTAGGCAGTCAAGCATGGGTATACGGTCTCGCTGCGTCAGCCCGACACGCCATGGGCCTTTGATGCCGAAGAGCTTGCGCGTCGTAACAAACATGGCGTTCCATTGCAAACAGTACGCGTCCACCCCCAGCAGGATGGCCTGGAGCATACAGTTTAACATCACATTGCATTTTTTAAAAAGTGGTCCTCCCTGACCTGCCCTCATCCTGACGTTTCGATTTGCCGGGGCCGTTTCTCTTTCCATCAGATTGCAGCGATGCTAGAGCGCTTCGAGCACAATGTGACAGCCGAGAGCCTGCTTGGCTTGGTGGCCAAGACAACTCGCCCCTTGGTTAAAAGCACCCACTCAAAGCAGCAGCCAACAGCAGCGGCGCCGCGTGCAACAACAGACGAGCCTCCCAAGGTTGCCCCGCCACCACAAGCACTCGCCTCCCTCAAAGGCTTTGACAACCTCCCAGAAAGTCAGCGCCAAGCCTTCCTAGCCGACTGGAATGCCATGGAACAACGCCAGCAACAGCAATGGGCTGCCTACGAGGCGCAGGGTGAGGATCGACACCTGAGCGGTGTAAAGTCACGTCAAACAACATCTTATTTCAAACAACATCTGATTTGCTTGGCTGCACCCACCTGTCTTGCTCAGGGCAAACCTTGCGCCAAAGGTTTCATGCGGAGCGTGAGGCTTTGCGCACGCAAATGCTGTCTTTATCCTCTCGTAGGTGCTCACGGCCCTTTGCCTCGACGTTGCACGCCTTTGTACACATTTTTGATGAATGTGCGCTCTGCTCGTCTCATCTCCCGCTTCCCCACTTCTCACGCGCAAAACACTGCCTGAACTTAGCTGCTAGCCACGACAGTTCTACAGCACCGTTGCCTTCAGGCTCCTCTGACGGGTGGGAGATTGAGCCGCCCTCAAGCGGCGAGTCGTTGGACGCAGCAGGCGAATTGGATTCGGCCCATACGGGCACAAGCGTACAGGAGGCACCCATAGACTCACCAGCCCCAGACGACAATGACGAAGCATCGCCTGTGCTCGATGCAAATTCGCTTGCCCAGGCTATGGCGCGTCTGGAAACGCTCATAAAGCAGGAGCGCGCCTCTCGCGACGACTCCTGGGTGCGCAGCATCCAAACCATCCTCGATGACGTCGAAGTCGATGACCTGTCGGCGTACGTCATGTTTTGGCTTGTGCTGTTCCACCTGTGCACCCAAATCCTTTGATGCTCGGTTTCGGAAGAACACCCTGAACATCATGTGTTTGTTGGGTCCACACATTTTGCTGCGTGTTGTGCGCCGTGTGTTTACGAGCAGGAAGGTTTGACGTGCTGGTCTAACATTGCTACTCTTGCATGCCTCCGTGCGCGAGACAGGTCACAACAAGAAGTCTTCGATCATGCTTTGGCCACGTTATCAGACCATTTTTTCTCGTTTGAAGCTGCCGATGCTGAAGCCGACGAGGACGAAGACCAACTAGCCAATGAGGTGCAGGCAGACTCTGAATATGCCATGCTGGCCGATATGTTCCCTGCCTGCCCTGTTTATGTGCTTCGCGACGTGTGCCGCTACTCTGGTACGTTGTTGTTGCGCTGGCAGCCAGCCGGTCTCAACACCTGAGTCGAGTTGCTCTCGAGGCCTCATGTGAGCAACTTCTTCTCTCCTGTGTTGCTATTCTTGTAGAGGATTCCGAAGATGCATGCAACACGGCTTTGGCTTTGGCAGCGCAAGCGGTAAGCCTGTGCTAAATGATATCCCCGACCAACAGTTATGACAGTCCGTGCGACAATCCGCGTGGCTTACGTTGGCAATTTGAATAGGAGGCGGAGGGCATTAGCATGGAGCAGGCCTGGCAGCAACGTGGGCATCCCGCTTCAGGTCCTGAGACAACCACGAGCGCTGCAGCCTCACATGCAGCGGAGCCGACTACGTCATCGCCACGAACCAAGCGCAAGGATGGCAGTCGGAAGCAGCGGTTGCATCAAATGTTCCCCAATTTGTCCAAATCAACCATTGCCCGAATCATGGCGGTCAGCTCAACTTTTGAAGAGGCGCAAACCTTGGCGCGCTACACCCACGAGGGCGCCTTGGCCCAGGCCGGCATGGGCGTGCCACATGTGCGATTGGCTCGCACGGGCTATCGCCCCGTCGAGACCGTCAATGCGTGGGGCGTGGAAGGCCTGGCCAACCCTTCCCTCCAGCAGGTTTGCGCTCGTACCAAATTGTTTTGCACCTTTCTCGCCCGTGTCGGAGCTTTTTTGTCTGTGTGAACAACGCCGCGGCCTGGCCCCCGCTCACTCCAGAATGCACATCCTCGCGTCGTTTGCTTCCTTCTCAGATCGAGGCCGAAGAGTTGGAGCGCAAGGCGCAGCGTGAGGCAGAGGCTGCACAAGCCGGCGGCAACTTTCTCCAGGAACAGTTGCAAATGGAACGCTTGCGCGCAGTCTTTCCTGGCGTGGCTGATGACGTGTTGTTGGAGCAACTGCGCCTGAGCGTTCACAATGTGACAGAGACCATCGAGACTCTTTCAAGTCAATATGCGCCTCGCCAATCTGCGGTGGACGCAGCCGGCCCCACCTACGCCCTGACCTCCCAGTATGACAGCCGGACCGCCCAACCCAGCCCCTTGGACCGGCTGATGGATGTGACGGCGCCTCGCAACCGCGATCGCGTCGAGCAACTTCGCGATCAACGCCGCGAGCTGATACAACGCATGAGTGATGCCGCAAGGTTGAGTCGTCCAGGTCTGTCAAACTTCCGCATTTCTTCACATCCACGTGGCTTCCACCTCAACTGGCATTGCCCTGAAAGATGGTCTCCTCATCAGCTGTGCTCTGCCGTGTCTTGTGTGGGGGTTGTATGGTGTTGTAGAGGAGCTGGAGGTCCTGCGTGAGCGTGTTCGCGCTTTGGACGGCGAGATCAACTCAGCAAATGAAGCTGCAGCCCGAGGTATTCTTGCCAGTCACAACACGGGCTCGAACACCAACTTGGTTCTGGATGTCCATGGCTTGCACGTGGCCGAGGCCGAGCATGCTGTGCAAATGCTGCTGGACCATCATCGGCAGCAGTTTCGGTCGTTGGGCACGGCCTACACAGTGCGCTCCATTGACATCATTACCGGAGTTGGCCGTCATAGTCGCCATGGCAAGGTTCGAAGCGCTGGTTGCTCGTGGGGCCCGTGATCAAACACAAGAGAGAAGGAGAGGAGAGATGTTTTGTGGTGCCTACCCTCGCACATCTTCACGTATATCACATATCGTCTATTCTTAGCCTTTACTCAAACCAGCCGTGGAGCGTTTGGCTCGGCGCCAGAACCTGACAACCTCGCAACCCAATGAGGGCACAGTCCGCATCTACCTCGCCAATTTACGGCCTAGTCGCTAGCCCGCAGTCAGAATCCCATTTGCAGACACCAAGCTTGCCCATCAGTGCCGCATGTCATGCCTGGCTGTGCCGGTGACGCTGCTTACTTTGACTGCACTTGCCATGGCGTGCACGTCGTCTGATTTCCCCAATTGTGTTGTATCCCATCTTGCCGTCATCTAATGGAACGAAATTGACTTTTCAGAATTCAATTTTTCTTCAAGTTTGGACGCCAATGGGTCCCAGCCGTGGCCAACCCGCACAGTTTGAGAGTAACAACAATCACGATGAGCTTGGCGTGCGAGAGTTTCAACACTCATCAAGCACTTGGGGTTGCAGCAAACGCATTGTGTAAATCAGCCAATTCCTAGATGAATGTCCACGTGAGTGAGTGGTGCATACACTGTCCATCGTTCGCTTTTGGCTCTGCATATCTTCATCTTCTTCCGGGAAAGCTGGTGAGACTTACTTCAGGAGTAAGAATACCCTCAGCACCGGAGGGGCAGCGCTGAATGGCAGTGGAGATGGCTTGCGCAAGAAGCGTGTTGACATGGCTAAAAAAAAGTACAGCAGCGAGTTATTACGTGCCACACAACCAATTGTTGGGTGTGCAGTCAGAGCATCAACGCACTTTTCTGTGGCTTCATCACACACCATTACATGAATGTGTTGATGCAGAAAGTAAAGATCAAGCTGCAGCAAAGAAAGCCATCAATGGAACGCATGAGATGCCTCCAATTCGACATGGGTCACCAAGGTCGAGCACGAGCAGCCGGGCAAGTTCAATTGGACTCGGACCTGCAGCTGATGCAGTGCACCACGGGTGAGCACGCTGTCCCGAATGAGTTCACCAATGCCCTTTAGCGCAGTCAGGAGTAGGCACCGGGCGTATGGCCCGTAGGCTGGGGCAAACGACTGCACAGGATCCAGCCAAAGGGTTTAGAGGTCGCAAGCACAAGTGATGAGCAGGCAAGGGTAGGCTGATGTCGGGCAAGCAGTCAACGGCCCTCTTTCACAGAAGACAGATGAGCGGACTGGCAAAGACATACCACAAACACTTCAATAGTGTCAGTGAAGAGCTTGAGGGCCGAGGAGATTACATCGACTTGAATCTTGCGGGCAAACGATTGTAGCTTGTCTTTGGTTCGACCTACAAACATCATCCAATGAGCATGCCTTGGCCTGGTGAGCCAGTCGTCGAGATCGCGTTGGGTGCCAACCTTTCGGAAACAATTGCTGAAGCATGGCATCGGCTTGAAGCAGGGAGGTGGCAAAGGCCTGATTCAGTGGAAGAGGGAAGCCAGGGCAAAAAGCAATAAATAAAATGAGCGTATGAGAATACCACAAAAACAAAAAAAACAAAAAACATTTGATTCTGACAAGACTGGGTCCAAACTCACCTGGACAGCCTCTGATGGGGTTTTAACACTCGAGTCCAAGGTCCAAAACCTGGACGAGCTGTAAAACAGCAATAGAGGCTAGGGTCACAGGCAAGCGTCAGTCGGCAGCGCAGGCGGTCGACGATATAAAAGGCGGATAATCAGATCAAGAGTTGGATCAACATACCGTTGCCAGATGGTTGGCATGCTCCACGGCAATGGTGGTCAGCATTTCCTGTGACCCGCAGAGGAAGGGCGCAGAGCAGCAGAAGAGGTGAGGCAGTTGAGCAAGGTACATTAGCTATTCAAAGGTGCCGGGCACGCACCTGCGCCAAGGCCTCAAACGAGTGCTTGGTGTCGCGAACTGTCAAATCATCCAGTGATTGAGAGTCTGCAAGACAGCCGAGTGGTCATGCAAAACGTGTTCTTTCATGTAAGAAAATAGTTGTTGCCGCTTCCGCATGACTGAGGAAGTGTAGAAGAGAGGCACGACAAGCAGTCCGCGTGCAAACCCACCATGCTTTCCCTGCGGCAGAGGAAAAGCCTTGCTAGCAGCAGCATAGGCGGGCTCGATGACACTCGTGGCCATGGCCAAGGTGCAGTTGACCAAAGCCAAACGGCTCCTGGCACACGCGAGAAAAAAAAAAAAAAGAGCCAAACTTGAGAGTGGGTCAAGACGAGAGATGATCGACTTGTTCAGGCCTCATAGGCTTACGGTGTTGCAAGTGATTGACGAAGGCGCTCCAAGACTTGCTCCGTGTCTTCGTCGCTGACTCGAACGGCATGATCACTGTTGCCCGCTAGGTTCACGGCCACCCCACAAAGCAATGCCAGCTGCTGAAAGGCGAATCGCAAAACTCCAATGCGGATGGTTCTATAAAAAGTTGTGCGTGTGCTGCAGTGAGAAACAGCCATCAACGCCCCTTTCCACAGACTTTCACAACGACAGCACATACCGCTGGCGGAACTGCTCCTCAAAGAAGGAGGCGAGATTGGCAACGGTTGATCGTAAAACAACAGCAAGCTGAAGGGCAGGTCCCAGCAAAGTGTGTCGTGAATGAAGCGGCAAAGTGCGTCGTGAGTGAAGCGGCAAGGAAACAGGATTTGGGCAAGAGGCTGGGTGCAGCTTGGCCTACGTCTTCGATGGTGTCGATCATTGCAGCCTTGACTTCATTTGCCAGTGTCTTGGTTTGTGAGCGGACTTGCTCGGGTTGAATCGTGGTCACAAACTCAAGCACTTGCTCTTGAAGTTGCCTTTCGAATGCACGGCGCGAGAGAGCTCGTGATTAGATACAGCACCAGAGGCACGGCGAATGCGGGCAAGCAAGGCCGATCAAGCGCCTAAGTCCTCACCGCTTGAGTGCCGCTGCTCGGTGGCGTGACAATTCCTTAGTGACGCGAATCGCCATGCTGGCACAAATTTCGTCGAGTTTGGCGGCAGGAACGAGACGATGCGTCTTGGAGAGATCTGCACGGAAATGACTAATGTGAGCATCATCTGCTGCGCAAAAACAAAACTTTGATGAACATGGAGCCATGCAAGCAAAGTTCTCTCTCACCTACCGAGTGAGATTGCGCCGAGAAACCCCACAACAGCAGCCGTGGGCGAGTTGTTTTGAATTTCGTCATGACAGCTATAGAGAGCAACAACAGATTAGTCAGTAAAAGCACGGATTGAAAAAACAAAAACAAACGTCACGGCGCGCTAATCCAGGGCCGCCTGGGTCGTACATGCGCTCAATCTGCACCAGCAAAGTGTCCTCAATGGTTTCTTGAACAAAGGAGACGAGTTTAATGCGGTATTGCTCAAGAACCGGGACCTCGCCGGCGTCTTCCTCATGGGCCTGCACAAGTGTGGTGGCTTCTGCAGCACACGGGTGAGAGCGATGAGCATAGGCCGACCGGGTCGTACGCAGAGGTGGCTCGCTCGCGTAAGTGTGAGTGGAAGTTGCAAATTCTGACTCCATCCGGATGTCTGCGTGATGAGAGTTGAAACAAACCTTCGCCGTTGAGAAAGGCGTCTTGGAAGCTGATAATCCACTCGGCATGATTGAGAAGAGCTTGCTTGCCCATGGCGGCGACATATGCACCCAGCCGATGGCCCTCGACTTGGCGGTGATCATCCCATGCTTCCTCCTCGGGGGTGGCGGAGCGCGAGGTGTCGTCGGGCAGATCACCGGTGCCGCCGTTGTTTTGGGAACCGGGCTGGGCTGAGGTCGTTTGGGGATCCAGGTTGATGTCAAAATCGTCTGATAGGCTTGCAGCATCGGCCTCTGCTTCAGCGATGACCTCAGATGTCTCTTGCTGTGCGTTGGTTGGGTCATCGGCTTGGACATCAACGTTCTCGTTCGCGGCCGCAGCAGCATCGACAGCCTCCTCAGTCGCCACCTCATCGCTCTTCAAGGCCTCTGAGTTGGCGACCGGTGACGTTGCCACGTCTGTACAGTGGCCAATGCACACAATCAAAACATCAGCTGTCAAGGAAGGAAGGGGCGAGCCTTGTCTATCCAACAAGTGAACATGCCACAGACCTGGGGCTGGCTGCCAATTATCATAGACCTCGCGGAGAGCTTGGAGATCATCCTCCCACTGGCGTCGCGCCAAGTCCAGAAGGTGATCAGCAAGGCCCATGTTGTCCGGGTTGAGTTTGACCAACAAGCTCATGGTCTCGCCCACATCCTGTGAAAGTTGCAGACAACCGTGCAAGGTGCAGCACACGTGAGGCTCACGTTGTGTTTGAGCTCGACTGGCAAAAACTTAAAGTTGACTCAAGAACGCGTGCGCCAAAGTATACCCGGCGACTCAGTGTGGCATCTTCAAGTTTCTTGAGAAGGGACTCTGTCACAGCCTGAACAATCTCCTGGCACTCGGCATGGATGGCTGCGGGGTGCAAAATAGAGGGCGCATGAGCTCCGTTGTAGGCTTTCAGAGGTGGCCCGACACGAGCGGACCTTTGAAGCTTTCCATGTCTTTGTAGCGCTCAAGAACATGTCGAGCCTTGGCATAATACTGGACAGCTTGAGCCAAAAGGTCCATTTCAAGGCACTGGCGGAGCCGGGCGGGCAGCTCAAAGAGAAATTGCAGGCGGCGCAGCATCAGATGGCCCCCGGCCAGCTTGTTGATGCGGTCACGGCGGGGCTTGAGAGTGTCATCAATCTGGGTGCTACGTGAAGAAGAAAAACCAACGCGGCCAAGGTGGTGGCATTGGAGCATGGCGATGCGCATGAGCAAGATCGACAGAGGTCGTAGTTCGCTTGCGGTCTCAAAGAAGAAGCACCAAGGAGTGCGTGCGTGCGTGCGTGCGTGCGTGCGTGAAAATATCAAGAGACTCGGAACCATCCACTCGAGTGCGAGCGTACCTCAAAGTTTGCGTTTTGGCCATGGTCTCGGAGAGCCGGGTCATTTGATCGGACATGGATTCTACCTGGTTTTTCATATCGCGAATGGTATCCGTGGCGCTGCGCAGGCAATGTGTTGAGAGGAGTCAAAGGTGAGCAGGTGATGGTCGCAGGTACAGGGCCTTGGGAGTCACCGCACTCTAGTCTGAACGACTGGGACTGGCACAGCACCTGATGAATTTGTTGTAGTTTTCGTAGACGAGCGTTTGCATGTCCGAGTCCAGACCCTTGACCTCATGATCAAGCTCGTCCTCGCGCGCGATGAGCTGCTGAAGATTGGACGCTGCATAGAGCTTGTCCAAATACTTTTGAGAATCGAAGCTGCACAGGTGGTGCAAGGATGCCGTGAGGAAGGGTGCCAGAGGCGCCCTGCGATTCCGAGCTTGTTTGTGTCTGTGAGACGAGGGCAGGGCAGGGCGTACGCAGTCGAATTAATGTCTAGTGGGTTGCCGGCAGGGGCCTCCTTATCCTCGGTGCCATAAAACATCTTCAGCAGGCCACGGCGGCGGCGCACCGGCCGCTCCTCGTCGTCTGCCATTCTGCTGTTGGTGCTCCTGTGTCGATGTCGCACATTGCCAGTGAGCACACGAGCTTGGTCTGTCTTCCGTGTGCCTCACACGCATCCCGCGACGTTCAATGTTTTAAGCAAGCTTCCTTCTCTAAACATGCTGCAGCAGTGCCCCCTCCTCGTACCAGAGCAGGTGCGTCGTGCGTTCAGCCACACCCACCCACTGACTGCCGTTCTGTCGTGGCGCGCACTTACCTCAAGCCAATAAATGAGAATGAAATATTCGACATTAACTCGATTATCATCTTCACAAACTCATGGATTAAGTATTAACAGACCACCGATAAGTTTTAAAAAATCTTCATTTACTCCGTGATAAGTTGTGTAACCACAAAGCTACTCCAAAATAAAAAGACGGGGAGGCAGCCATCACGATGTGGAGCGATGGTCGGACGAGTCTGCCGGGGTGCGTTCACATCTGGGTGGTGCAGTGTGCAGGATTGATACTTGTGGCTTGGGTAAGGGGGGGGGGTTGGGGTGGGGGGTTAGAGATTGTTTAGGGTTAGAGGGTTGTATTGATTCGAATTCGTATGTTGATTAATAACAAGATCATGGCTTATGCAGTGCGCACGGCTTGCTGGAGGCTTTCACCAAACGCCGCGAAGGAAAACCTGTGCACACACGAAAGACGGTGGCGGGAGTCAAGCGCAGGTCAGCTGAGGGCGAGAGAAAAAGCTTGAGCGACAATGCCGAGCAGCCAGAGCATACTTTTCAGCGACGCGTTGCTTGCCGTTCCGTCCTAGGTCGGAGCTGAGATTGGGCTCCTGCACCAAGCGGATCATGGCCTATGATTCAAGGTCGGAGGGGAAGGAAAAAAAAAGAAAGACCAAGGCAGGCGTGAGATGGCGCAAGACACGCACAAGTGGCGGGCAGGGTGTTGACTCATCGAGCACGCAAGAAACGGATCCAACCTGTGCCAGGTTTTTGGGGTCCGAGGCGCAAAGGAAGCCCGAGCGACCAGGCAGCTCTGCAGCATGCTCCAAAGGCACAGCGGCCACGCTTTCCATGGGGCCACCACTGTTCACCTATCGTGCGTTTTGGCCAGACCAGAATTCAGAATGGCTGGTGGGGAGCGCTAAACATGAGTGGGAAAGGCGGAAGACTGACCGCCACAACGGGTTTGCTCATATACATGGCTTCCACGGGGCAGATTCCAAAGTGCTCGTTCTCCGGGGTATAAACGAGAGCACAACAGCGCCGCAGCAGAATCAGTTTCTCTTCATCACTGCACAAGATCATGTCCAAAGGCCGGGGTGAGGTCAGGGTGGTTGCACGGCGGCATGAGCGTGGATCGTTGGCCAAACGTGACTCGTTCAGGTATCGTCGTACCTAAACGACCGAAGAAAGGTGACCTTGCCTGGCAAGCGACTGTTTGCAAATGCACTCAACTCGGCAAAATATTCGACATTTTCTGGCAGTCGTGGGTCGTAACTGTGTGCAAGGGTAAGCGTGTTCGCAGCGTAGCGCGTCATGAGTGCTGATACTATCAAGAGAATCGATCCGATCGCCGGCACATTTTAAAACGCGGCACGGACCCGCCCGCCATGACGAGGTGACAGGCTTCCCACTGAGCCGGGGTAACCAGTTGCTTGAGTTCCAACATGGCCTATCTCATCAACGGGGGGGACTGAGGGGAAATATGTGCGGTGTGGACCAACGGGTCGCGGGTCCTCCCCATACCTCGAGGGCGAGCGCCAGGTTTTTCTTGCGCTCGTAGCGATTGATGGAGAGGAAGACGTGGGGGCTACTCGTGCCAACCAGGCGATCGGCCTGGCTATCGTCCACTTTCTACTTGGTCAGGTCGAAGTGTCATCCTGATAAGTCTAAAGATGCGTCGTATCAGGGGCGGCCTTGGCCAAATCGAGCAGAGACACAACCTTGTCAAAGCTGGCCGTATGCAGGCTTGGGTATAAGACGCCTGGTTGCAGGTGGCGCAGTGAGGTAAAGGTGTCGCGAAAGACGCCGGCAGTAAACTTGCTGTTGACCTGTCGCATGTGGTGAGGGGTGATCAGCTTCGAAAGGGACGAAAGTGGCACCCCGGGCGGAGGTTGATGAGACGCACGAGCACGACGTCGGCCATGCCAGTCGTGTGTTCTTCTAGCTTGTCCAGAGGATAGCGATAGAGGCGCTTCAGCGTGCTCTGGCGCTTGGTCAGAAGCTGAGTCATTGAGGACAGTGGTGGTGCAAAATGCCAGGGCGTGAGAGGAGTACATTGTTTGGTCACAGTTTAGGCTATTCGTGATTTGTGGGTGGTGCGGGGGCCAATGTCGATGCGAGCAGCGGTGGCGCACCAGATCTGGGAAGTGGCAGTAGAAGATGATGCGGGCCGACGAAAAGAGGCGGATAAAAGGGATGCACGCCGAGACCTGCGGCACACGAACGGGGAGGACGCTCATCAGAAGGGCGTGGGTGGGTTGGTCACTGCATGCGCGCGCGCACACACTTTATGGACACAGGTACCTGATCACAGATAATAACGTCAAAGCTGGAAGTCATGGTGACAACCAGCGCGAGGTAGATCATGCGCAAGTAGGCAAAGAGGGCATGGAGGCGCCCGGCAATGTGACGGGGCATCCTGGTGGCAGACACAACAACGTGAGCCTGGCACCAGTGACTGTTGCAGTCACGATCGAGGCGGTGGTGTCACGGCCACGCACCAATCGCCATAAGTCTTGACTTTGAGGGTGCCACTGCAGGTCTCCTGGAAACAGCGGTCGGGCTCGTGGTGGGAGGTGAAGACGGTCACATCGTAGCCACGCTCCTGCAAGGCCAACGCGGCATCCACAACCAGCCGCTCGGCACCCCCCAGCCCGAGGTCCGGATGGAGAAACGCCACCCTACACACCCCAGATATCCACCGATGCATGATCAGACATTGCGACAGTGCGCAATCACCCCCCACCCCTGTACCTGCTGCTGCCATGGTCAGGAAGACAGGCGACCCTTTGACAGATCAAGCTCGTACCGCTTCCGATCACCCCCTGCCATCCTCATGAGAGAATTGAGAGAGAAATGAGAGAGAGATGAGCGAGATGAGAGATGAGAGATGAGCAAGAGAGAGATGAGCAAGAGAGAGATGAGAGATGAGAGATGAGCAAGAGAGAGATGAGCAAGAGAGAGATGAGAGATGATTAGAGAGAGAAAGACAGAGATAAGGGGGGGAAGAGAGAGAGAGAGAATAAATTGGTTCGCGATGAGAGCGATGAGAGAGAGAGAAAAACCTCTGAGATGTCAGACAACCAGTCACAACTACAGTTGTGGCGGAAGTGCCTCTGATCTTCATCTGCCGTATTTTTTCAAGATCATCACCTCCTGTTGCTGCTCGTTTGACCGGTCGGCTGCTGCTGCTGCTGCTGCTGCTGCTGCTGCTGGGTTTTTGGCGTATAGGGAAGGGTCAGCACGGGACGTGGCCGGTTCAAGGTTCTAGGGGGATTGTTGAGAAGCAGAGTTTTCTTTTTCGGTCCTTGTTCTGGGGCAGAAGCGGTGGGATATGGGCTAGAGCACCCCCTTTTGCACGGCCATTCCCTGTCTTTCTCGTCTGGCTGCCTGGTCGGACCGGTCGGCCATTGACGACAATCCAGCATCAGCGACGGGTTACCATGGAGCGTTATCTACAAGACTTTATTCAGCGTGCCAACTCGCTGCCGAGCGAATTTAAGCAAGCACTCGAGGGCTTGCAACGCATGGACACCATGGTGCAAAGTACGTAGTGTTTCTTTCCCGAGCCAACATCCCGCCCGCAACGAGCAACGTGCGACCCGCACGCCGCGGCCGGATCATTGATATGCACATTGCCCCCGTGTGCTTCCAATGTAGAGTCACTGGATGCCGTCGAGCGAAAGAAAAAACGCCATTTCCCCGAGTTTCTCAACATGTCAGAAACGCAGCGGCGTGATCGGATTCATGAAATGCACTTGGTCTGTCATTGCTCAACCCCGTGTGTCGAAGGAAAAGCTGCTTCCAGGTCATCCCGGCTCTGGATCAGCATCACTCACGCATCATCAACCTCCCCGCCACCACGCTTTTCGTTTTGTTGCAGGATTATGATCGCGCCATCAAAACGGCCAACGAGAAAGTACAACAGAGCGGCGACTTGGTGAAAAAGGTTGGCGCCCCAACCTGATTTCCCGTGCCGCTTACCTCTTTTGTTGCAAGCATCACCTGACCGCGCGTCCACCGGGCCAGATGGATCGTGCTATCAAGTACCTAGACCGACAGCTTGCCGAGTACCAGCGATATCTCGAACAGACCCCTGGTCTCATTCGTAAACTCCAACAACGTATGATTCTCTGGCCGATTTTGCTGTTGGTGCGCGCATGCCCACAACCCACAGCCCACGTCCCCACCGCTCGCTTGGCTTGTTTTTGGCGCCGATAGGCTCGATGAATCTGGATGTGGCCTATGAAGAGGAACAAGATGACTACGACGAGCAGTATACCCAGTTTGCCACCCCAACCGCCAAAAACAATAAGCGGTAGACTTGTTCCTCGGCCGCCCCGCACTTCCTGCCCTGAGCATTTCCTAGCAGCCAAGCTCACTGACCAACTCAAACCCTTTGTGCTCTCTCGTCTCGCATTGTCAGGCAAATCAGCAAAGACTCGACAGGGCCTCGTGGTCGGAGTCGCAAGCGTGCCCACCTTGGTGCGACTCTGACACTGCTCCGGTCGTCCCATCGACTGATTTTACAAGTCTCACGCTCTTTGGATCTTGCGTCACATGTAGACGAAGGGACACCGGTTGCCAACAGCCCACAGCCCGTCGCGCCCGTCACAGCACAAGTTGGCCTTGAAGGCGATTCCGAGCTCTACTGCGTCTGCCGCCAGGTTTCGTTTGGCGAAATGATTGCCTGCGATGACGACAAGGTGAGGCCATGCCCGGCAGTACAAATAAGCCTTTGCTACGGGTCCCCCTATCCATGTCTTGCTCCTTCCGTTCTCACGCTCAAACCGCGCGGCGGTGGCGCAGTGTCCGGTCGAGTGGTACCACTATGCTTGCGTAGGCCTTTCGGCTGCACCCGAGGGCAAGTGGTATTGCTCCGTCTGCACGGCCCGACGCCAAAAGGAGGGGTTGCCCACAAGCTAGGATTTTGGGGGCCTTTGCTGAGCTCGGTCGCCTTTTATTTTTTTTTATTTTTTTTTTTTTTTTTGTTTTTTTGCCCTCTGACCAACCGCCGTTCACGCGTTCAGAAATTTATCATATGGTCATGATGCCTACGTCCCGAGATTCCCAGCATCGGACGTGGGTTGCCTCAATCTTCGCCGTTGAAATGTTTTCAACAGCTTGAAAAAGAGAGAGAGAGAGAGAGAGAGAGAGAGAGAGAGAGAGAGAGAGAGAGAGAGAGAGAGAGAGAGAGAGAGAGAGAGAGACAGAGAGAGAGACAGAGAGAGAGACAGAGAGAGAGAGAGAGAGATGAATTGCTTTGGTCGGTTTGAGAGTGAAAGGCAACCACGTTTTGATGACATCTTTTTTGATTTTTTGAGCGTTGAGCGCAATTTAATTTTTGTTGTCGCGGCGGGCAGGTCTCATGTTGGTGAGGAGGAGGGGTGGAGAGGAGAGGAGAAAGGCATGCGTGTTGGGCAACTGTGACTCTTTGCAACAAGAGTGCTCGGGCCTTGCAACCGTTGTCGAGGTGGGAAGGGGGAGAGGCGCTTTGCTGGGTGTGTCAAGCGTCGCGACCAGGCATGGGTGCGCTTGGTCCGTGCCTGAGCTGGGTGCTGCTCTTGGGGCTTGGCCTCATCCAAACAGGTTGGTGACGGCGCAAGACTGTTTTTTCCGAAACCACGGGTCATCACCAGCCAGCCCATTCCCTTGCCATTGCGCACGGTTGCTTCGACCTCACGACCGGGGCTTGAACCGCTGCCGTTGCATTGTCACGCATGTTTGCTTGTGCAGTGTTGGCAGCCAAGGACTATAATCGAGAGCCCGTGTTCAAGTCACGGGCAGAATGCCGCTTTTTGCATATTATCAACGACTACAAGCCGTCTGGGCTGACTGCCACAGAGTTTGACATTGTTTTCGAGTCCATGAGGACGGCTCAGCGCGTGGCCAAGCAAGAGGGGATTCAAGTTGATTTTCGCTTCGTTCTTCAAAAGGGCGACCAGCTTTCGGTGGAACGTGAACACCTTCTGGATGTCAAAGACATCAGCGAGGCCTTTAAGGACCCAACCACCGGCCGCTATCTGCCGACACCGGGCGGCATCTTGGATGCCGGCATGGAAGGCACGGACCATCCGGCCATCGTCTTCACCAATCGTGACATTGGCCTTTACCCGCAGTTTTACGTTGAGTCGTGTGACATGCTGCGGGTACCCGGCCAGCTGGTGGTCGAAACGACGCGTGTGCTTCTCAAGCTGGAAAAAGCACTCACCGATTACGAGGCGACCTTGCGTGGGCGTGGCTTTGTGCATCGCGGCGCTGACTGCTGGGTCATGGCGCGAGAGGTCATGCCTGCGTGCTTTCGCGAAGATCGCCGGCTGGTGGTGGGTTATCCGCCGTGGGGCGCCCTCCTGCGGCACATCCTGCATGACCATGCCATGGCACTGCGCTGCGGGCAAGAGGGAGGGTACCGCATTTATCGCAGCTCACCTCAGAACCCCGACTACCGCCGAACTTTCCACCTCGAACGGAATGGAGCCTCTGCGCAATGGCTCAACTGGCTGCAGGAGGACCGGTTTCTCTATCGCTATCTACAGGTGCTGCCCGGGCGCGTGATGGAGCGTCCACCCAAGCTTTCTTTCATCGTCGATCCCAAGGGCAAGTACAATTGCACCGAGGATGATGGCCCCATGGTATGGCCCTTGTGCGATAGCTGCAAACGGCCGTGTGAAGGTACGCGGAGCCCCTGGGGAACATTGTGAACAGCAAAGGTGCGCTCAGTATGACTTGAGACCCTCCTCATGTTTCTTTGTGCGTCAGGCTTTTGGGCCAGCTGCCCCACTCCAGACTGCCAGATGGAAGGACCTAAATGCCACTTTCCCGAGGCACCAGCCATTGCCGAATGCCAGAGCTTCAACAACACAATGCTGGTGGGCAAGCGAACGCCCATGCGTGCTTTGCATCCAATCACATTTGCAGATTATGAGACCAAGGGCATTACCGCATAAGCAGAGCGGGCTCCCGGTAACCTGGTTTTCACAGCCCCTTAAAGTGACGGTCCCGTTGGCCAAGGCACGTTCTCATCCTACCATGATCCACATAAATTAAATTATTCTGCGAGCCAAGGCATCAAAAGCACCAGCGGCAACTATAGCATATTCGGACACATCTTCTCGTGGCCTGATCAGCAAAAAAAAAGGAGGAGAGAGATGTTCACCATTTCACTGAACCCCTCTCGCTCCCTCCCCCTCTCCCTCCCTTCTTTCCCCTCTGCCCTCTCTGGCCTGATAGACATACAGCAAATCATTAAATTTTTTTCCTTAAAAAAACCTGAAAGCTTGACCAAACGTGTGTGTGATTGATTCTTTTTCAGTTTTCACACCAAATGTCATCTCCCTCAAGCACATGCAAAAAAAAAAAAAAAAAAGAAGCCGTTTTACATTGTAGCGAGTTGAGTGAATGCACGACGAGTGAATGCTATTGGGCAACGGCACGATGCTGCGCCATGCCCAGGCGGTTGCCCTGGCAGGGCTGATCTGCTGCAGCTTGATATCAGGTATGGGCATTTATGTTTTTTGAGTTTTGTGCCGGCGGAAGGGTGGTCGTTTAAGCCTTTCTTTCGAGCGCTGACGTGGTCGTTGTTGTCCTGCCGCGTGACAGACACGGGTGCCAAAGATTATAATAAGGAGCCCGTCTTTCGATCCCAGAGCGAGTGCCGCTTTTTGCATATCATCAATGACTTCAAGCCGCACGATGCAAACACAACCTTGGAATTTGACATTGTCTTCCAGTCCATGAAGACCGCACAGGCCCAGGCGCGGGCCGCAGGCATCCAGGTGCGCAAATGGGAAAGCGTCACGAGCAAAGCTCTGGATGGCAATGACTCAAAGAGGGCCTCGACAGTCTTGCTCGTCCTCCATCGCCGCAGTGCACCTGGTGCCAGAATGAGGAACCAAAATTTTGACTCTTGCGTGCCGACCCCCGACCGGTGTTTGGTGTCGTAGGTGGACTTTGTGTTTGTCTTGCAGGATGGCGATGAGCTTTCAGTGCCGCGGTCCGACCTGCTTGATGCAGTTTACGTGACAGAGGCCTTTCTGGATCCCGCGTCCCAACGTAGCCTCCCCACACCTGGCGGTATTCTAGATGCCGGATTGGCCCACCACGACCACCCGGCCGTGGTGTTCACCAACCGCGACATTGGCCTCTATCCGCAATTCTATGTCCAGTCGTGTGAGTTTCTCCAGGTACCCGGTCAACTGGTTGTCGAGACCACGCGCGTGCTACTCAACATGGACGAGGTCGTTGAGGACTACAATCGGACATTGTATGCCAAGGGCCGTGTGCATCGCGGCGCCGACTGCTGGGTGATGGCGCGTGAGGTACTGCCAGATTGCTACCGTGAGGATCGGCGTCTGGTGGTCGGTTTTCCTCCCTGGGGCTCCTTGCTTCGCCACATTCTGTATGACCACGCTGTTGCGCTGCGCTGTGGCCAAATTGGCGGCTATCGGATATCGCGCAGTTCGCCGCACACCCCCAGCCGACGCCGCACCTTTCACCTCGAGAGAGCAGAGGGCACGGCTCCTTGGAAAAAGATGATGCGATACAACGGCTATCTCTATGCCTACTTACAAATGCTGCCACGCCGTGTGATGCTGCGGGCGCCCAAACTGGCTTTCATTGAGAGTGAGGACAACATTGATTGCTCACAACGGGGCGAGCCAATGGTCTGGCCCTGGTGCGAGAAATGCCATCGGCCTTGCGACGGTACGTTGATGGCACCTCCCCTCAAATACACTCAGAGGAGGGAGTTTGAAAGTGGTGCAAAGTGCGCTGCGACCGTGCTTGTTGACTCATTTTGTCTCGGTCTGCTTACCATCTTTGCACACTTCTTAGGCTTTTGGATGAATTGCCCGACCGCAGACTGTCAAGTGAATGGGCCTCGCTGCCGCTTTGACGAACAGCCAGCCCTGGCCACCTGCCCCAATGGCTTCAACAAAGAGCACCTCACGGGGCCGCGAGACCAAATTCGGGCCGTGCCCCCAATATCCCTATCAGACCATCTCAACACGGGCATCACCGCCTAATTCCAACAAGAGAGATGAAAAAAAAAAAAAAATTGAATGTCAGAATGTCAGCATGTCAGCACCCACATGTTCCACCATGTTCACACACGCACATACACACACACTTGCACTTTTGATGCTTCTGTTCGGTGTTGTTGGGGGGTGGAAACGGCAGCGCGCGCCATCTGGAACGCGGGTGTGGGTTTGTTCAGGGAGAGGGAGCAGGTGGTTAGCGGTGGGAGTGAATCATTGTCTTGCGGTGCGGGGTCTTTGATCGTTGCAACATCATGGCTGTGCACGAGAGTCTTTTGCAGTCGATCGAGCGGTGCGTGCACGAGACCTGGCTCGGATTAATGCGCGCTCGCTGGTGTACCGCGCATGTGTGTGTGTGTGTTGAGTTGAATAACATCTCACTCGGTTGGTGGAATTTTGCCCGTTGGACTGTGATAGGGCCGAGCAACGGCTCATTGGTGGCTTTGAACACATTGAGGAACTGCCCAAACTGATCGACTATGTGAACACACCACACGCCACAGCGTGCGCCACGGCATGCCGAGGTAGCACGCGGCTTGGCCCGATGATCCGAGGCATGCAAGCAAAAGCGAAGCTCATGATCGATGGTTCCTTTGATAGCATGCTACAACGTGTTGAGCAGCTACGTACGTCGGTTGGAGGCCACGCGGGGCAGCCCTGCAGCGGAGAAAGCCACCAGCTTTCTGCTCGCTCAAGTTGCCGAGCTGCAAAGCAAGCTCCTCAAGCGGCTTTGGAAGAGCGACGACCCAGCACACGTGCGTCCGCCTATGCGACATGAGTTTCTCGACAGCCATCTGCATTGCACGATTTGACGCCCTGTGCATTTTTGCCTTGTGTTTGCGCATGCGCGGACCCGCCCGAGCGCCTGACTTTGTTGGTACGTCTGCTTCGTGTCTTTTCTTTTTTTTTTTTTTTTCCCGGGACTTGTAGGTGGAGCTCGTCAACACGTATATGCAAGCCCTCTGCTTGGTCTTGCGACTGAACACAAACAAGAAGGAAACCCAGACGCTCTTGTATCAAGCACTCGAAGCTTTGTTTCAAAACGTGCTGGATGGTCACGTTGATCGCGTACGTCTTTGCCAAGCTCCAGACCAGTCGCCAAATCTAAAGACTCGTACCCCACAAGCACACTTCTACAAGTGCACATGTATATGTGTACATGTCTGCATACTCAGGCAGTGCCTCTGGACTGTACTTGTGTAGGAGGATACGCTCAACCATATTGTCGAGCGCTACATGACCCAATATGATGTCCAGTTTGCGTTTCTGCGTGTCCTGCAACGGTGAGTGTTTCATCCGGTGATCGGCACAAAGGCTGGCAAACAAGCCTACGACTGTTTTGCTCACGCATTCCATCGACTTACAACCCGAGCAGAGGCTCCTTGTCCGCCCGGGGCAAGCCCAAGGCCAAGCGTGCCAAGGCCCAAACTGGGTCCGAGGCGTCAGACGCGCCGTCGGAGAACACGATCATGGTGACCAACATGTACATGGTCCTGCATCAATTTGAACCCTTGTCCGACGTACGTTGTTTCAAGTCGCACGCTGCTCGCTCTTCGCTCTTGCGACTTGTCATTGAACGGATGAGGGTGAGCCTGTGTGCCATCACTGATGGCTGTGCTTGCTGTCATGTGCGCCGGTTTTTGTGTGTAGGGTCAACTGCTGCTTCGTGTCAGCTTTCTCGATGCCTTTGACGCCGAGCGTCAGGAGCTTGTACGTACAAGGGCCGATTCAGGCTGGCCCGTATCTCAGCTGGCTTCTGCCGGCGCACCGAGTGGACGACCTGCTGCCAAGCTCTTTCTTGCTTTTCCCCCTCATGGATATGTTTTCCTTTCTTTTAGCGCTTGCCCGAGGAGGGGGAGGACATGGATGAACTGAATGGCGATGAAGAGGGCGAAGAGTTTTCACAAGAGGCCATTGATGCAGCGGCTCAAAAGATCCTGGCATCGCTTGGTGCTAACCCTGAAGCGCCGCGAGCAGCGCCCGCAGTGGAATATGATGATGCCACACAGCAGTCTATCAAGCAACTGAAGAAGGCGTTTACGGACGCCTGGGTGCGTTTCCTACAGTTCAAGGTCAGTGTCGCCTAATTTTCATGTTGCCTCAACATGGGGAGAGGGGGTAGAGATGGGATGCATCCATTGAGGGCTGTAGTAGGGCCAGCTCACTGCGCCGGGAGCGTGTGCATGGTTGCGTGGTATGCGACTTTAGTTGCCTAGTGATATCTTCCGGGATGTACTGAGCCGGCTCGCCGACTCGGTCATGCCCCACATGACCAACCCCAAGCTGCTCCTCGACTTTCTGACGGTACGAAGGGGTCCGGGCTTTTGGGCCTCTGTGAGGCAAATCGACGTGGTACTGCGACGTCATATGGGGGGCGCTTTGTGTCTCATGGAGCAAATGGGTGTGCATGGACATTGCAGCATGTGTACGACCAGGGTGGCGTCCCGGCAGCTCTGAGCCTGGATGCGCTCTTCATCCTGATGTATCAGTATAATCTGTGCGTATCACATGTCTCTACGGGCGAGGCATGTCTTGAAGAGCTCATTGTGCGTGGTGGGCGGCGGGCGCGTGTGCAGGGACTACCCACGATTCTATCATCAGCTCTACCGGCTGTTGGACGGGCCTGCCATGTATGCGCGTCACCGAGGAACGCTTCTGCCCCTGATTGACAAGTTTCTGAGCTCCACGTGCGTATTTTTTCTTTTCGCCTGGCATGTGGGTGGGTGCTTGGGCCTTTCTGTGACTGGATTATTTCTGGGTTTGTAGGCATTTGCCGTTGTATATGGCGGCCTGCTTTGCCAAGCGATTGGCGCGATTGGCATTGATGGCGCCGCCCAGTGCTGGAGCAGCGTTGGCTCAGCTTGTATACAATCTCATCAAGCGCCACCCCAAGCTGCGCATCCTGGCTCATCGCGATTTGCAAAGTACGATGGGGCCCCGAGGGTTTGCTTTGCATGCCACGGGAGTTTGGCGCATATTCACACATTGTTGTCGTGCTTTTTTTCTTTTTTCTTTTTTCTTTTTCTTTTCGCAGGTGACGGTGAGGGGGTGCAAATGGACGGGGATCCGTTTGACATGGACGCCGAGTTGTCAGCCGAGGCACACGGCACGGTACGGCATTTTTTCTATTCTTTAGGGGCCGGGCGGGGGTTTCTGTTCATCTGCTCAGATCAAGAGCTTGTCGCGAGGGTGTGCAGGGATGTAGGTCAAGGAATGCAGATGCTTTGCCCGTTGTCATTCACGTTTTTTTGGTTTGTGTTTGCTTGACTGGGGACGGCTGTTTACAGGAGAGCAGCCTGTGGGAGCTGGAGATGCTGCAAGAGCATTACTTGCCTGAAATTCAAGATGCGATGGCTTTGCTAAAGACGCCGGCCTATCGCAAGCCGCCAGGCCCGGTAAGGATGCAGCGAGGACGGGATCACATACTTTTGTCTGTCCTTTGTCACTCATCTGACCGTGGCAACTGCCGGGCATTATCCTCAGGTGGACAAGATGGCTGGCAAGACCTACACAACGACCATCAAGGCAGCGATGCGTCATGCCGTTCCCGAAGACGTGGCCACGACCTTTGTGGAGCCTGAAAGCCTTGTGCCAGCGACGCTGCACGATCTCTGGACCGCTGCCCCTCTCCAGTAGACCTCATCGTCTTCTTCGCGCATGTCTCTCGATCCAACACAAGTGTCCTTTTTTTAGAACACTTTCCCAAGCTAAAAATAACATCCAAAAGTGCTGTTTTTTTTTCATCAATCAGAAAAAACCGCATCTTGTGCGGGTCGTGCACCACACGTCTCACGTGTTGTTGTTGTTGTTGTTGTTGTTGTGGGGCGGAAATGGCAGCCGGGGATGGCGGCGAGGGGTGGCTGGCTGGCTTGGTGGTTTGAGAGGGGTGTGTGAGGCTGGTGGGAGACGGGCGACGTCCCGATGGGCTCGTTGAAGACAAGGCTTGTGAGCGGAGATGAATGAAGACGTGTGTTGGTCAGGCGTTGAGCGACCTTGGGTAGGGAGGATGACGATATTGTTGCACAACTCAAGGGCTAACAACGTTAACGGATCGTTGATCTCCGTTCCAGTTGTGGTGTTGAAAATGGCAGCGCTGCTAGATGGGGCTGGACGCATCGGGGTATCGATCAAAAGCTGGTCCGGCTTAGGGGATGCATGGGGAAAAGGTGCTGGAGGGGCGGAGGGAGCTGTAAGCAGTGTGCGCAGCCATGAGGTGGCAGCAGCCAGTGAGGCGGGGCCTGCTGCCCAGGACGCAGCTGTGCCACACATGCACAACTCCAGTTGGTGTGGGCCCATTTTTTTATCATTTCATTTTCCATTGCGAGCTTGTGTGCAGCTTCCATGGGCAACGGTGAGCCATCGCTTGGTGGGGTTCTTATGCATGGCCAGCGCAGATTCGCTGGGCACGCACGCACGCTTGGCGGGTCCTCGCGTGCCACTTGCTGGCTGCGATGCCGTTGCTGTGTCCTCCAAACAAACGGCTGCCACAGCCCGTGGAGTTGGGTGCCTGGCTGGTTGTTGATTTGTTCTCTGCCTTGATGTTGTCAAGTGTGCCACTTGCCCCCATGCTATCACATCATCCCTGCCCCTCCACATCCCCCTGCACACAAACGGCGGTGCCCCCTTGGTCTGTGTGAAGCAGCAAGTCTGGCTGCTTCACAGAGAGACACACAGAGAGACACACAGAGAGACACACAGAGAGACACACAGAGAGACACACCAGACAGAGAGACACACACACAAAGACACACACAGAGACACACACAGAGACATAGAGCACACACACACAATTCACACAATTTGCGAACAGAATCACACACACACACACACACGCACACACACACAACGGGGAGAGAGAGAGAGAGGGCTCTTACCACGGTGCACGTTTTTTACCACAGTGAGTTGCGACGGAATCAAGCGGTTGTTAAGCTTGTGTGTCACGGTGTGTGTGTGTGTGTGAATGGCAGACCAGTGGCTGTTCTTACTTACATAACATCACACACACACACACAGACGGTGCCGGGTCACTGGCCAGAGGGACACCCCGTTGCTTGTTGACCACGGGCACTGGCACTGGCACTGGCACTGGCACTGGCACTGGCACTGGCACTGGCACTGGCACTGGGGCCTTCCCACGTCACCTCTTGCTTGCCTTGGTTTCGCGCTCGTTGCATCCTTTCAAAACCAACCAACCAGCCGACTCCTTCTGCCTGCCTCGCCTCGCGTCAGTCCTTGGCTGTGTCGTCTTGCTCTCTCGTTTGCTGTGCCAACGACCGCGCTCTGATCTGCAGACGTGCGCGCACGGGTCTCTCCCTCTGTCTCTCTCTCTCCCCCTGACTTTGACTCGAGCCTTTTCTTGTGTGTGATGATTTGATGGGTTGGGGTCTGGGGGTGTCTGCAATCACGTTTTGGGCTCCTTCACACAAGCTTCACAGACACAGACACCGACACATGAAGTTGTACTTGAGTGGCGCTCGACTGCTTGCAAAGCCGCAAGGCTGGGCCCAGTTGCGCCCCCTGTCCCTCTTGGCTTGCTCACGTCCCGTTCAATCTCGCTCCTTGCTCACCACCACCACTCCCGCTCGTCACTGGGTTGGCTTTGCCATCTGTCGCTCTCGTTTCTCGACTCGGCCCATTCGGCTTCTTCCGACTTTTGCAGCCTGTCAGTGCCAAACCGCTCCTCAAGTCCGTCACCTACACGCCACAATCGCCACCATGGCCGAAATGGTTCCCCCTAAACAACTCTTTTACCCGGTCGCCAAAGACCGCGGTCAAGCTGCCGCTCCCGTGCGCACCGGTGCGTTGCCCCCGCCAGTTTCTATCCTTCACCTTCGGATTGAAGCTTGCCACTTGCGTGTAGAGTCTCACCCGCAACATATTCCTTCCGCGCGCCGCCATAGCCTCCGTGTCTGATGATGAGGGCCACGGCTCTAGCTTCAAGATTACAATCGTCGGCATCGGCTCCGTCGGCATGGCCTGTGCCTACAGCCTCCTGCAAAAGGCAGGTTTTACTCCCATCTTGGCCACCAACATCCTTGCATTCCTGTCTGGTGCAAACAGCACTCGGATTCAGGAAGCGCGTAGACTAACACCCGCTGCCAACTTGTTTCCATCTCTCAGGGTCTCGTTGGCGAGCTCGTCTTGGCTGATGTCATGAAGGACAAGCTCAAGGGCGAGGTGGGCTCAGATTGCCGAAGAAGAAGCGTTGCCTGCAATCATCTGCCATGTCTCACAAACCACGGTCTCTCCCTCTCTCTCTCTCTTTCTTGGGCCCCTTCTCAGGTGATGGATCTTCAGCACGGCGGTGCTTACCAGCATGGTCGCATCGTCGAGTGCGATGATGACTATGAAGCCTCACGCAACTCTGACATTTGCATTATCGCAGCTGGTGTGCGCCAGCAGGTACGCTTTTTTTTGCTCGCACAGCTGCCTCAATCTTCACCAGCCAGCCTTCCACCACCTTGTCTAGCAGGCACACGGTGCTTCAATTAAAAAACCAAACAAACATGAGACAACCCATTTCCGGCTTCTTACATCCTGTGCTCAATCATGATGTGGGACAATATTAGGATGGCGAAACTCGCCTTCAGCTCGCGGACCGCAACCGCGACGTCCTCAAGCACATCATCCCTCCTTTGGTTGCCAAGAGCCCTAACACGGTCATTCTCATGGTAAACTCATCCCCCCTCCACCTCTTTCGCTCTGACCTGGTCATGGCCGGTCATCATTCCCAAGGGAAAATGACTTCGATTCACTGTGCTCGCCTAGGTCTCCAACCCTGTCGACATCATGACCTACATTGCTTGGCAACTCTCTGGTACAACGCCCTGCTCCTATCCAATGCGCCCAACTTTCAGCTTTTCGACGCTTCCCTGACGCCTTCAGTTTGGTTTCAGCTCATCGCACTCACGCCGGGCTCGATGGTTGTCTGGGGACGGTTTTTTTTTTTTTTTTTTTTTTTTTTTTTTGATGTTTAGGCCTGCCAGCCAACCGTGTGCTGGGTAGCGGTACCTTCCTCGACTCGTCCCGTTTCCGTACCCTCATCGGTTCGTCTGCATTTTGGAGCGGTTGTGCACAATACCGCACATTATTTCAAAGCCCTGTCAATGTTTTGACTCATCAATCATCCCGCTGCCAACGTTTTGTCTTGATACAGGCCAGGAGTTGGATGTCAACGCGTCGTCTGTTCATGCCTGGATCGTCGGCGAGGTTGGTGTACAGCTCTTGCTGCGAAGCGGATCTTTGCTCAATAATTTTTGCCCAGCTGTCCCAATGACCTCTGCCAGATGGCATGCACTCTCGCTTACCATGGTTCGGACGCCCACCGTTAGCATGGCGACTCGAGCGTGCCTGTGTGGAGCAGCGTCAACATTGCCGGTGTCCACCTCGACACCTCGCATAGCGCCAATTTTGACAAGATTCACGAACGGGTGGTCAGCGCTGCCTACGACGTCATCAAGCTCAAGGTTTGTCTGCGGGCAGGCTTCATACCAACGCCCACACTGTCTTACAACATAACATAAAGCAAAAGGGTTACCTCTGTCCTTACCAGAGCCGCTTTCTTCCGCACCGCCAGGGGTACACCAACTGGGCCATTGGCTCGGCCGTCAGCACACTCTGCGGCATCATCTTGCAGAATCAGCAGCGCGTGGTGCCTGTCAGCACCTACGTCAAGGGCGTGCATGGCATTGACGAATCAGTCTTCCTCTCCCTGCCCTGCGTTCTGGGCAGCCGTGGCGTTGAACGCATTCTTCACCAGCCCCTCGACGACAAGGAGCTCCAGTCGCTTCAGTCATCAGCCAAAAACTTGTGGGCCGTCCAGAAGGACATTAAGTTTTAGAGCCACTTCTCCTCAATCCTCATCGCACGCCTTTGTTTGCGGGGCGCTGTGACGCCATGTCGGCGAGTCTTGAGGTGGACAACTGGCTATACAGGTTTCCAAGGTGTCCCCACACTGCTGAGCCGTCGAATCAAAAATTCTTTTCTTCAATTGATTGATGTGTATGTGAACCACGCACCATTCGCATGAGGATTCAAACAGCAGATACCCAATGGGTATCCCCCTCCCTTTCACGCAATGCCTAGCGCTCATCGTCACTGCTCTCCACATGACGGCGCTCAGAAGCGTCTGCATTGTCATGTTCTACGCCGTCCCACGGCTCCGGAGGACATCCAGGCCCCCAATATCGGCGGTAGGGTTTTTGAGGCACAAAGGCGAGTTGCTTGGTCAAAGTCGGAAGATTTGTGATAATAGCTCCTTCGAAAGCTGCCACATATTCCTTGTACTCTTTAGTCACTGCAGCGTCCAACTTGCCCGTGTATGTTTTGCAATTGTTGGCAATCAGTGTCAGATCACGGTCAAAGCTTTGAATATCCTGGTACAGATTGGCCTCGAGGCGGCTGCGCACGGTGTTGAAATCTGCGGCAAAGTCGAGCAGGACATGTTATGCATGAGCCCTTCACACCAACTCTTTTCGATGCCGCTGCTTTGCAAGCTGGGCGATTCATACCCATTGGGCGGGCAATGATCTTGTTGTAGTTCTCGGCGTTGAGCGGCGCGGTGCCAAACACGTCGTCCAAAGTAATTTTCTTCTTCCTTGAGATACTCCGCTGCACAGGGCCGACGATTGCTGCAGGCAAAGCTTGACGCTTTGGGGGTGTACAATCAAATGGAATGAGGCTCCTTGCCTTGGCAGCAAACAGGGTGCAGTGCCTTATGCGCAACAAGCCTTGTGATGCATGTCATCCTGGCACACCACTGGACACGCTGTCTTACCACTATCGTGTTGAGCCACATGAGTGCTTTGCGATTGTCGAACTTGACGCGCTTGTTGCAGTAGTGACAGAAGAACAAAACGTTCTAATGGGCACGCCGCCGCAGGGCATGCGGGGAGGGTGAGATGAGGCACAGCGGCAAAGCAGATAACTGCAGACGTTTGGACGGACATTACTGGGCTCCATGTGCAGGCACGCCGGGTGAAACCAGTCGGCGCAGCCCAGGCATGCGTATTGCTCTGCTTCCCTGTCATGAGGCAACGATGGTTGTGAGAGGCGCGAACCCTATTTTCAATGAGCTTTTGAGGCCCAGGCGTAGCAGGTGCAGGGTATCACTCACTCATTCTGTCGCCAATGGCGACAGACGCAATATGGAGGGTCGTTGATTAAAGGTTTCTCCGGCAGCTGGGAATACACATCGTCTGCGAGGCACGATAGCAGGCCGACCGCATGAGCAGGTGGTGCGAGGTCGAGTATCGTCTTGTAGCCTCCCCTTCTTCATCGAGCGATGGACAACGAAAAGAGCGCTTCACGGTGGGTTCGTGAAATTAGCGCTGGGCCACAGGCTGAGATGAACAAAGACAAACTTACGTGGCAAGCCTACGGCAAAGCCGTTTTTATCAATCTCAACTATGGGATGAACCAAGGCGATGCAGGCGGGCCATGTGATTTGAGAAAGGAAGTATTTTGGAAAAAATGAGATAACGCAGCAGGCATTGGGCAGCATACGTGTTCGAGCCGGCGCCATCCGCACAGCGGGGTCATGGTGATAGGGAGGCAGAGAGTCTGGTCCACTCGGCGTGGCTGAGATCACGGCATGAGAGCCGCGACGACTTTTGCTCTTGCCACCCTCGCTCTTGCGTGCTGGTGTCGAGCTCCCAGAGCCCGTGGAACTGCGCTTGCTCGAGGCAGCAGCAGAGGTGGACGCAACCTTGCGCTCAGCAGCGTTGGCTGCCTTGCGCTGTGCGACACCTTTTCCATTGTGGGGGGTTGAGGACTTGGCCACTGCCGGTGCCGCAGGATTGACCCTCAAACCAGCCTTCGGGTCGGCTGTTGATGGTGAATTGGACGCCTGTGGCTCGGGCTTGACATTGGCAGTCATCGGCGGCCGGCTCACTGCATTGTTCGGGGACACCTGTGTGGACGGGATGCTCGTAGCGCTGGTCGCGTCATTCGCCGACGGTTCTTGCTTTGCCACACTTGCAGATGCTGCCAATTTGGACTTTTGCACGGGCCCCGCTCCCGACTTGGACGATGCAGGGGTGAGCTTGAACAATAATTTGGGATGTCGTTTAGCTGAAGTTGGAGTAGCCGGGGTTGGCTCTGCACCGAGACGCGGCGACGGGGCAGCCGAAGTGGTGCGCGAGGCAGATTGTGATGGCGGTCTCGACGCAGGCGTCGAAGCAGACGTGGCGACGTCTGTGGCTCCAGGGTCGAAGCCTTCCTTCTTCACAACGGTGGGTGTCAGCTTGATCTTGAGCTGCGTTATCGCAGATGTGGCAGTTTGAAATGTAAGAGCACATGTGCAGAAAGAAAGAAAAGAAAGAACAACAAAAAAACAAAAAAAGCTCTGGGGTCATTGTCTAAGCCAAGACCATCACACACCCCACTGCAACAAGGTAGAAAAGCTCGAGTGCTTGGGCCACGAGCGGAGAGCATACCTTTGGGGTTGATGCAGATGGTGTTCGAATGTCAGCGGTGGTGGGCTCATCCTTGGCTGGCGTCTGGGCTGCCAACTCATTGACTTTGCCAATATCAATGGACAAGGGCGGAACGTGGACAGCACGTTTCTCGAGCAGCGTGTTGTTGCTCGCCGGCGTTGCCACGGGCGTTGCCACGGGCGAGGTCAGACGAGCGGAGCTGGCGCCCTTACCCACGGGACCAGAGACCGGGGTGTCCTGAGCTTTGACGCGAGGGCTTGTTATCGATGCTTTGGGGCTCAGGGCGCGGGCACCTGCGCACAAGACGAGGCCGATGAGTGTACTTTTGGGGACCACATTGCCGGGCGGCGAAGAGGACCTGCGTCGGCACGAACTGGATGGAGGGCGCCGAGCTGCTACGGGTCCTGAGGTGCCATTGACAACCTTGGGCCGCTTGGCCTTTGGTGAAGTGGAGCGCGCTTGTGGTGTAGCATGTGATAAGCTCGTCGTTGTTTTGGTAGAAATCTGTACGTCCAAGCATGCCATGGCGCCAAAAGGTACACCCACGGTGAGCTCACAAAGGAAGGCATAGGATGCGCATCTGTTGCAGGGGATCTGAGAGCCCAAGGCCCAGGCAAAAGCCGGACACTCACCCGGCCCGTGGATTGCGACAGAACAGTGCTCGTTCGCGAGATCTGTGGATGTCATGCCAGAGCATTAAAAAGCAGTTTACATGGCCAGAGTCAGTTGCAGAAACATGCCGCAAAAGCGTGGCCGGGCGAGGGTTCTGACCAGGCGTTGTGGAAGTGACGAGAAGTCACTGCGCAGCTGAACATATTTTGGGACATCAAGTGGTTTGGTCAAAAGATCGTCATCGATCAGGGCATCAAGATCGTTGAGGTTGAGGTTGAGGCTTTGTGATCGTGGTTGGTCGCTTGCATCGCCTTGGCTTTTTGGAGAAATGTGACCAGGCGCTGTCTCCCGGCCCGGCTCGACCAAGGATGATTCTGGACCAGCGGCTGCAGCCGTCGGGTTGCTGTCTTGGGAAGAATCAATGCCTTGTTCAAGACTAGCGTCTCCATTCATCGGAACCTCAATCGTGACCTCCTCATCCTCGTCCATGGCCGAGGCATCGTAGGTTTTGCGTGGCGGTAAAGGAGGAAGAAAGGGCGCAACTAACGGTTCAAGAGCGTACGCAAGCAGAATGCATGAAGACAGGACCCAAATGGCAGCCACGGCGACGATGATGGTGATGGTTGCGGTCCAAGGAGACGAAGAAGAAAGCTACGGGGCGCGGAAGCAAGGGGAATCGGACAAGTGCTCGGCGGTGCGAAGCAAGGACTTACAGCCAGCGGGAAGAGTGGCGCCTGCGACTGCGCTGGCTGGGACGAAGCTATGGTAAAGCATCAGCGCGGCCCAGGGTAAAATAAGGGGCTCCGAACATATTCATCGATTGTGATGATGAGGTGCATACGTACCGAAATGTTTTGATGGGTTCGGGCGAGGCCGGGTCCTGTGCTTGACTTGCCGAGGGTTGAGACTGTTTGGATGGAGGCACGAGACGAATTTTGGGCCGGGCAAGAGCCGGATTACCGGGTATCGCCGTTGTTGCCGCCATCTAATCACAAAAAGAGGGAAAGAGAGAAGAAGTGAAATGGAAATAGATGCATGTAGAAAGAAGAGAAGACAAGAGCCAGGGCGGCGGAGGATAATGACGGGCAAGAGCCAAGGAGGTGGCAGAAGGACGTTGAGCATGTGCCACGCAGGTATCAAACGCTGGTTTGGAACAAACAACGCACGGCTCAAGCTATCCAGGTGTTGCTGCTGCTGGTGTTGCAAAGCCTTGCGCAGGTGAAGCTCGAGTTGTTGAGCGGGGAGGTGAAGATCGTCGCAACACTGGCCAAGATCGTCAAGATTGATGTTGCTTCGATGTTCTAAGAACGCAACAAAGGAAGCGAGGGCGGGAGGATCCACCGGCAATAGTGGTCGCGGCAAGTCAGATTGGGGTCTTGAGCACAAAGTGTCGTCATGTTTGAGAGGGAGGGGTCGTCATGGCTCAGAACAGTGATATTGACGTACCAAAGTGAGCGTATTGCAAGGAGACACGCCCAAGAAGGAGGGTGTAGTTGCAAGCGGCTTCAGCAAGGGTCGTGAGCGCCTGACGTTCGAATCCACTAAAGCCCGCACGCTAGCCGAAAAAAAAATAAGAAGGGGGAAGAAAAAAAAACCCCCCAACCCTGGATGATGAGCGACAGACGCTTTGTGCGTAACGAGGCAGGGCATGGTTTATGGCATACCTGAGCCAACTGGGCGGACGAGCGGTAGAGGGCGGTAAGATAGGCTTCGTCTTCCTCTGGGCTGGAACCTGTTTGCAGGGTGAAATTGGTTCCAGCACCGGCGCCGGTGCGCTTGGTCGCCGCCGAGGCAGACGGCTTGCGGGCCGTGGCCCCGCCGGAAGCGGCGGGCGGTGCGGTCGACTGACTGCTCGCAGGCTGTGTTGAGGAGGAAGAAAGCTTGCTCTGGGACTGATGCTCTTGACTGTTGCTGGCCGCACCCCCGGCAACGGCGGCCATCGTCTCACCAAATCACTCGCACGTCGTCCTCGTGAACTGGCGACAACTCGCTCGCTGCCCCGAATAGCTCAAGACCAGAAAAAAAAAAAAAAGGAAATAGCCCCGTTCTCTGAGCCGACAACTGACACGTCGATCGGCCGCTATGGACCACTCACTGGCAGCTCATTGACCCTCAAGCACTCCCCGACTGCCGTTTTCGCGCCAACGGACGACAACGACGAAGAGTGTGAGAGAGAGAGAGAGAGAGAGAGAGAGAGAGAGAGAGAGAGAGAGAGAGAGAGAGAGAGAGAGAGAGAGAGAGAGAGAGAGAGAGAGAGAGAGAGAGAGAGAGAGAGAGAGAACTACTGTTGTGGCGAAAGCACTGCGGCACGAATAAAATCAGAGATGACGCTTACAAGCAGGTCTAGCTGAAGGCAAACTTCAACGTTAAAGCAGAGAATCAAGCAATTATTGTAGCAGCAGGATGGCGGCGGCTCGTTCGTCGTCGGTTACTGGACAGGCGCTGCGGCGGCGGGCGGTCTGCTTTGGGGACAGCATCACGCAGTATGGCTGGGCCAGCCCCGATGGTACGAGCTCTTGATTCCTGAATTTCTGGTTCTCCGGCTCTCGGGTTTGCTTGAATTGGAATCTTAAGGGTGTCACGCGGTCCGCCCTGGCCGTTATTATGATTTATCGCTCAACCTTGATCTTGGCCGTCGTGGCAGGACAGCGCGGATGGGTGGCCATGCTGGCCGACGCGTATCAGCGCAAGGTGGACGTGACAAATCGGGGCTACAGTGGATATGATACCATGAAGGGCGTGGCCATCCTCAAGGAGGCGCTGCCCACCCCCGAGCAGCAATATGTCTTTGCCACCGTCTTCTTTGGCGCGAATGATGGTGTGTGGGCGACCGCAACCCGCTGTCAATCCCAGGTCGTTGCAAGTCGCTTGGGGCGTTGCGAATTGGACACTCTGGCTCTCACGCCGAAGAAACTGCTCTCACTCGCCGGCCCCGTGCATAGCGGCTGAATCGGAGCTCCAAGGGCTCACGCCTCAACAATACCGCACTCACCTGAGCACGATCGTGGACCACTGCATCACGCAGGCCGAGGTGAGGGCCGCGGTCTGCCTGGCTGCCTCCCTGTCATGTTTGAGCTGAATTCCACCTTGATGCACAATTTGCTGATATCCAGCTGGTCGTAGTGATTGGGCCTCCCGTCGTCGACCACGAGTTGCAAGCCGAGCGGTCAAATGAGCGGGTGGATGTCAGCTTATTACGGGGCCCCTCCATGCCTCTGGCCAGTAGACGTGTGCTGCATGCCCTCACGGCCGATGTGGCCTCGGTGATGCCATCTGATTTCTCACGTGTAGGAGTTTAGCCGCATTGCGGGAGAGGTGGCTCGCGGTCGTGGCGCCGTCTTTCTCGACCTGGCCAGCGTCATGCGGGCTACTTCCAGCGCCCCGGAAAAAGCATATCTTGCAGATGGCCTGCACCTCAACGGCGCGGTACGGGGGGTCGGTGCCTCATGTTCAAACGGTTTCGAGCCCTCGAAGCGGGGTTTGAAGCCGAGTGCTGACGATGCGTGGGAGGCGGCTCGGGGTTTGTAGGGTAACAAGCTGCTGGGGGAGCAGCTCTTGGCACGGCTTCCCTCACCCGAGGGGCTCTTTATGGATTTGCCGACTTGGAAAGAGGTACGACTCGTCAACTGCGGCGGTTGCAATTATCCACTGAGGGGGGCACCATTGGTGTTCATGTTCTCTGGTTTTGTTGTCCAGCTGTCTCGATCGAGCATGACAGAAGACTTGCGCAGCTGGGTGCCGCACAAGGTTTTGAGCTTGACGGCAGCTAGCAAGGATTCAAGTGCCGATGGTACTTCCACGACCAATTCATGACTTTGGTCCACTGCTGTTGATTGCACGGATTGAGCAGTATGTGCTGTTTTTACAGCCAGCACGTGAGTAGTGTGGTCTATGTTGTCGGCAAGTGATCATGTTGTAACAATTGAAACCATGGCTATAGACAAGGCTGGTCCCACGGCTTCTGGGCAATCTGATTGATTTGGAAAAGATGTGCACGCGTCCATATGACACTTTTGGTTTCAATTGGTTTGTCGCACGCTGGGTGCAGAGCAACACAGGAGAAGCGACATGGGTTGTTTAGGCATCTTCCATCTTGCGCAAAAAGATTTTTTCAACTGCCGGGACGTGGACGGCGTGGATGAGCCACGTGTTGGGAACGCAACCAGAGAGGTTGTCGTAGTCTACCACGGTCTGAGCGTAGGCCGGGTCGGCGATGCTGGCGGTCTGGACTTGGCAATGGTGGAGCTGGGCCATCTTATCCTCGGGCACGACTTCGCGGGGCTCGACGGCGACGGCGGCCGCGAGCGGATCACACGCAATGTAGTCCCAGTTGTTCTCGAGACTGACTTGTTGGGCGAAATGGAAAATGTGCCGGATGAACTTGGCCTTGGCCGTGTCCTTGCGCAGCCACTCATTGACGCGGTGCCACTCAAAGGAATGGTCCATGCTATCCACAAGGAAGACCAGGGGAGGGGAGGTGAGACCTTGATACAAGCACTAGCAGTGCATCAGGTATGGGGGCACCAAGACGAACCAGCATTCCCAAGTCACAAGGATGGGCTGAAAGTAGCTGTGAAGCGTAATCTGGGCACTGTGGGGGTCTGCAAAGAGGTTAAACTCGGCACTGGGAAAGCCGGGCACGTTGCCCCGGGCGCGAGAGGTTCCACCCATGATGATGAGGTGGCGGACGAGCGCCGGGAAGCGGTGGTAGAGACGCGGGGCTACCGCAAGGTTGGTCAGCGGGCCAAGGGCCAGAATGTCAAGCCCGGGCCCAGCTTCCGCGCCAAACTCGACAATGACGTCCTCGACGGCCTGAAGGCGTGCACTGACTGCATACACTTCGCGCTCCAGGAACAGGGCGCGGGCCAATTCGCCTGCCTTGACGGCTTCGGCCAGGCGGGCCTCCAAGGGTTCAAGCTGCAGCTTGATGGTCTTGGCACGATCGCCAAAGGATTGGCCTGGTTCAGCTGGTGAGACGACGTGTTCCTTGGCGAGGCGCAGGAGAGCTGAAACAGCCGACTCGGTCTCTGGGGCTCGGTAGGAGGCTTGATCAGGCTCAAAGCTCGGGTCGACGGGCACATCACCCAGCCCGTCCTAGGTCGGATGGAGCATTCCAAGTCAAAGTGGGAAAGGAGGGTCAGAAAGGGCAAGTGAGGAGCGGAGCAGCACGAGGGAAGGGCAAGTGCGAAGAAGCATGTCGGGGAGGTAGGGGGGGGGGCTCACTTTGCCGTGAAAGTAGGTTGCATCTTTGCGAGTTGCCAGGAGCGGGGCTTCGGCGCCGGCAAAGATGGGAATGTCGCTGCGCTTGCAGTTGGCAAGAACGCGCTGGACGTTTTTTACCACTTGGGGGCAGGCCACGTTGCCACTGACGCAGGTGATGCCAATGACGTCGATGGAGCTGGAAAGCATGACCATCAGGGCTTCAGCATCATCCACACCGGCATCACAGTCAATGATAAACTTGCGTTTTTGGCCATTTTGGCCTCTGCCGTACCACCATCGCCGTGGTGAGCAAAGTAGCGCAGATCATCAAAGAAAGACGAACAACGAGCGAGCCACTGGCTGGAGGCGGTCCAGTGCTACCGAGCCAGGGCGAGCTTGCAAAAGAAGAGAAGCACACCCAGAACCATAAACTGAACAGCAATGGTGCACACGTCGAGTCGAGCCAGGCCGCCGACACACGCGCGCGCGCACACACACACACACACACACACACACACACATGCACGTACCGAGCCAGTGTCGCCGCCACAGCGCTCCATTCGCCCTTTGATCCACTGGCCATCTTCTCTCTGTGTGTCCGTTTTTCCTTCAATCAAGTAAAATGGCGTGCTTGCCAAAACGTCACATTCCGTCAGTCGTCTCATTCTGACATTCGTGTCGCCAGAACACCAGTTGTGTTCACGTGTCCCCCCTTGATTTTCATGGTAGAATTGTCAGATCAGATTGACAAATTTCTGACAAAAGCGTTGTTAATCTTGCCGCGCGCGTTTCCTTCATGACTGTGGTTGGCTGAGTCGTCCATGGGTCGTGCTCGACGTGGGACGAATGGGGTGTACGGATGGACATGGTGCAGGGTCTGTGGGTACCAGGGCAAGCGCATCTGGGACGCGAAGGCGACATGTGACACGTCAGTCCTTCATGATGGTTGAGATGAGCATGGGTCGTCTCGTCGATCAAAACGTCCTGAAGGAGTCCCAGAAGGATTCACGAAGGTCAAAGAAAGATGCGAATGTTAAGGGACGCCGCCTGCACGACCTGAGGACGCTTCCGACTTTTCATTCTTGGTCATGGATATGCTTGACGTACCTGACACCTGTCCTGTGCACGCCCCGGCATGAACAGATGGCGCTATGGAAGGAGCTATGAGGAAAGTAATTTTTGTGCTGAATTAGGTAGGCAAGAGCAATTGATGGTTATGTCGACACGCTCGCACGCACGCGGTGCGGAGCTGTCGACCACACGACAAAGGAAGAGGAGGAGAGGAAGAGGGGGCAAGAGGCGAGGGCGTCGCAGACATTAACAGGTGAAGACAAAAACGAAGCGAATCGAATCGAAAGATTATCGACTCGACGCCCAACTGCACAGCAGAGTCGGCATGATGGATCAGTACATATTGAAGAAGCACCTTAAAAGCAAAGCTCGATCCAAGGATCGAGCAGAAAAGAGGGAGGAAGCAAAGGGGGAGAAAAAAAAAAAAAAAAGGAAAAAACAAAATGCAAAATGGCGGAAAAGGAGACAGTCAATACATAAGAGAAACTAGCAGAACGTCCATTAGAAAACCAAAATGAAACACCAAAGCGCAAGACGCCAGGGTCTTCACGTCAAGCAAGCAGATAGCCGTTGTTGATGTGTCGGCCAGCATGCCAGGATCAAGCTTATAGATCTCAGGCATTTGGCAGCACACACACAATAGGTAGGCAGCGGCTGACGCTAAGACACGATGCAAAGAGCAACTCAAGAGAAGAAAGGTAGATGGTCCCACAGAAGCCAAGGGGGAAACTCGAGCATCGGGCATATGCACGGTTGTAGCGAAACCAGGATGGTCTCGCGACTGTGCAAAGGAGAGGGGCTGGCCGCAGTGCCAGGATTGTGATGCAACAACTATAGCCATGCGTGCTCGCTAGATAGGTATAGGGCAGACAACCAGATTATATCCAGTGAGCAACGCAGGGCTAGGCATCACGCGAGCCAAGGCCAGGTGACCATTATTTAGATGGGCGGGGAAAGCTTCTTCTCGTTAGTTTGAGCCGGATCAATCGCGGGATCAAAGATCTCGGCGGCGACCTCTGCGCCGTGGTGGACGGCAACCTCAAACATGAGGTCAATTGAAGCTTCGGTCCATTGCACCTCCCGGGTGTCCTCCTCATCCACGACGCTGGGGTGCGAAGGGGGCGCTTCTATGGCCGCCGGTGGCGAGTCTGTGGGGACGCTCGTGTCCGACCCCGATCCCGCGTGGGCGATGGCGGTCAGATTGAGGGGAGGTACGGGGGGTAGGTCGAGGGGCCCCGACGACAGTAGCGAGTAGAGGTCGGGGTTTTCGAGGGGAATGTTGATACTGGCGCTGCGCATGCGATGTCTGCTCCCCGAGCGGCTGCGCGGTGATGTCGGGCTGTGTGCCTCTGAAGACACGACCGAGCTGGCTGAGGGCAGAGGTGAGTCGAAGGTTTGCATGTGTGGTGCGTGGTGCACTGAATCCACTTCCTTGGGAGGCACAAAAGTGACCTATCAGCATCGAGAATCAGCGCAAGTCAGCGCGAGGCGATGCAAAACACGACGCACGCATGGTGTGCGCGCGTCCCTGAAAGAGAGCACGAGTAGGAGGGCATTTGGAGCGGGAGGCATACCAGGATGGGGCTGGCAGTGAGGCTGCGGGCTTGTTTGTTATAAACATCCAGAGAGGCCCAAGTGGAGCGGGCCGGGGAGCTCGTCCCCGCGACGCTGGGGCGTGGGGCGGGAGAGAGGGGTGTCCAGCACTTGCCCTCGATGGCTTCGGTGCGGTCGACGTCCATGCTTGTTGTTGGCGCCGTGAGTGGCCGAAACTTAGAAGGCGAGGGAGAAATGCTGCTGGTCTTTAAAGCAGACGCGAGCGGGCGTCGGCTGGCAATGTAAATTGCGCGGCTATGCTTGTCGGAGCAAAGAGTGCTCCAGGGAGGGACACGGCTGTAACAGCTGGCCAGCCAAGGGGTGTGGCTGAGAGCTAGTGTCGTTGAGCAGTGTTATCCCAAGCTGAACCGCGCCACGACGTGGTCGGGCGGGTGGGAAGTGGGTTGGGCTTCCAACAAGAGAGCAGAAGAGAGGGAGTAATCGATGAATCAATACTCCCGGTTGCCATATCCAGAGCCACAACCAATGTGTTGCGGTGGGGTGTATGAACAACAGTGGAAACGTAAAAGTCCGTATACGACGGTGAGGTGTGCCAGGTAAAGGTGGAAACCGGGAAGGAGGTTGTGCCGTCGGCAGATCAAGAAAATGTGGGCAGAGGGCCCTTGGTGTGTGGGGAAGTGGATAAACAGCACCGACTTTTGGTTCAGCGACGCGGTGTGTTGATAATACAGACACGCGGCGATGTGATCACGGGCAGCGGTTCTGGTTTAACGAGAAACGAGAAACCAGAGGACCAAGAGGGGGCGATGCCAAACGCAATCACACGAGAAGCTTGAATGGGAGCGCGAGCAACTACAAGCTCATCCACATTGGTCAGTCAGTCAGTCAATCTGCAAGCAAGTTCAACGCTGCCTTTTTCGTATCCAAAGAAGAAACAGCTAATCAACGGCAGCGACCCGGGCAAATGACCATCTGCCAGACCGAGAGAGAGGAAAGAAGAGGGGGGGGAGAGAGCAGCAGCAGCAGAAGAAGAAGAAGAAAAACACTAAAAGGGCACCGGCGGAGCTCAATGACGATGCCAACGAGCCGAAGGAAGAAAATAAGCCACTGAGAAACAGAAAGAGAGAGAGAGAGAAATGATGCGTGCAACGTTAAAACCCAACACACGCGAAACAACTTTTGTTTTCTTGCTTTTGTTCTCTCGCTGGTTTCATGTTACAGTGATGAGCATCTCTCATACACCACTGTTACACTCAACGACTCTTTGTAGTGTGTGTGAGAGAAGACCACACACACACACACACACACACTGCACACACACATTATCATTACACACTACACACTTCAACACAAAAGAGGGTGAGGAAGGGTTTTCTTCGTGAGAGAGTGGATTTGTATGTGTTGTATGTGTTGTATGTGTGTTGTGTTGCTTCTTCGATTTCTTTCGTTACCTTCTTTTCTTTCTTCGGCTCGAATTGCTCGCTATAGGGGTGTGTGTGTGAGAGAGTGTGTGTGGATGATATGGCAGCGGGGCTGGGTCAGTGAGTTGGATGGATGGGCGAGGCGGGGCGGTTGAGGAGATGGGGCGGCAGCGGAGTATGTGCAAACCCGTTCATGACGGATTACGCCGCTCGCGCCAACGACTCTGAACAAGAGATCATGAATGGTTTCTTCCGGCGCTTATCAAAAGAAATCCTTGTGCTTCGTGATGGCTCTTGATGGGTACGGTGCGACGATGATAACGTTGACTGACGATCTCCCAGCAGCACTTGCCTCTGATGTTTTGTGCGGTGTTTGAGGGAAGCAGATCAAGGTTGGTGATGGGGTTTTGGTTGACGCCCCAAGAGGGGTCGTGGGAGGGAAGCTGACAAGCACCCATGTGCTTTTGAAATCCCGACTGCAGTTGCTTGTGGGCCCCCTTTTGGCACGCCGGTTCACAATCGTCCTCGCCCCCGCCCCCCCCGCTTTTCTTGCCTGCCGTGCTGCGTGCCGTTCTTCTTCCGCAGCACGAACACTGGCAGCACACTCGGCTCGACGGTCGACACCACGAGGATGCGATCCGATCCTCGTCTTCATGGTCCTGATCTGTCGTGGCAGCACATGATGCTTGTCGTCAGTCGCAGGTTTCACTGGGCAAGATGATACAGGTGTCGCAGCCGCGCACCTGCGCACCCCCGCATGGGTGAAAAGCATCGTTATTCATGCTGCATGAGCGGTCAAGGAAGAAATCAAAGCAGCCTGCTCAAGCCAAAAAGGGGGTCGTCCCCGAGGTCGTATCAGCTACTCCATTACACTGCAAATAGCACAATCACCCCCTTTTTCAGAAGCCGACGACATGTATTGCGCCGTTGTGCCAGCCATGCTACTTCTGGCTTCTTGTTTTTGTTTTTTTCCTGCGAACGAAGGAACGCATGGGTAGATCGAATGTCGGCAGCAGGGACATGGTCCAATTCAACATGTTGCAAGGCCCGAGGTGCGGCGGCCGGTTGATTCGTCAGATGAGCCACAACCGGCCAGAGCGATCGCTTCACCAGATGGTCACAGTGGCTTGATTCTTTCCAGTTCCGCCGAAGTGACCTCTCCTGATGGCAGCATCAAGTATGGTGCTACACGATCGGGTATCGGGTGTGTGTGAGTGTGAGTGAGTGAGTGAGTGAGTGAGTGAGTGAGTGAGTGAGTGAGTGAGTGAGTGAGTGAGTGAGTGAGTGAGTGAGTGAGTGAGTGAGTGTGTGTATGAGATTTGGAAGGGCTTCGCAAACCTTACAATCGAAGGTGCGCCATGTTCACATGTCAGCGCATCGTGTGCGTTTACCAAGCGCAGATTCGAGCCCCAAACTTGCCAGATGTCACGTCCTAAACCCATTCAAACGTCAGTCCGACGTGACAGGCTCCCGAGCTCGTGCCTCCTGCTTGCCCAAAGCACGCTCCAAACACCCTGAACCATGCCACTCGACACGTCCACGAAACGATGCATGCGTCGATAGTGAGCAAGATTTGTTCATCAAGTATGATTCGTGAAGGTCGTGCTCGGAGTCGCAACAACCCCATGACATGACGTTCAATCGGATCCGGATGCTTGTTGGCCGCAGAAAGATCGCAAGGCCGGTCTGCACACACGGCCCGCGACGGACGGGTGGACTTGGTCCCTTGACCCTCACGTGCCTGGCCTGCCGCTCTAACTTTCTGGCTGAAGGTGGAGGGGAAAGCCAGCGCTCAAGACGGGCAAGGTACGACGATAAGTGGATTGGCCAGAGTGATCCGAAAGCCTGCACGGTTGCCCCTTTTCCTACACCCAACCGATCGCCCCAGCAACGTCCCATGGCGACTTGATTTGAACGTCGGCTGTGGTACGTTCGGATTAAAGCCCCCTACTCTCTTGGGGCCTCACAGCAATTGGAGCGCGCGAAATGACAGGCATGTCGCAGTAGCAGGTGATAAGATCAAACAACGTCGTGTTGCAGGAGCTCGCGCATTGTGCGACCCGACCACGCATCAACATGAGCAAGCGTGAAGTTCTGGTGGGTACGGTTCGACGGTTCGGTTCGACGGTTAGAGCGGCCCTGACCAAAATGTTTGTGTGATTGATTGACAGCTCGTCATCTACATTCCTCCTGGTTTGTCGAGCAACTGCGTGGGAAGATTGCCGCTGGATTCAGCTTGAGCCTAGGCTCCTGGAAAACGCGAGACTGGTTCTGGGGTCAGTCGACTTGGTATCCGGGCCAGGAGGACATGGGTCGCGGTTGCAGATGTGGGAGGCTTGCCAAACGCGCTGCCGGCAGTCCCATGGCTAATACCATCACGATCGCCATCCATGTCCGCACGGGACAGCCATGATGGAGCAGAAGAAAGCGGGGACAGGGATTCGGGGGGTGTTTGCTTCTGCATCAAGCACACGTCTGTCCCTTGCTGGGACACAACCTTGCCTTCCGCGGAAGCACACTGGCGCGCAAGGACGCCCAAATGGACTGTGTCCTCATGGGATGTGGTGTGCATGTGTGTGTCGAGCTCACCCCGACGACGATGCCCTTCCATAGCAGTGGTGTGCGGGCTGATGATCAAGACCAACAAAGGGCCAAAGAGCGGGCGGCGGCGGAGACTGAAAGGCATAAAGAGGAAACCCCGACAGAGATTGAGAGACCGAGAGACCCAAAGTTTCAGAGTTCAGGGGGATTAAGAGAGACCAAGGCAGAGATTGAGGGACTGTGACGCGGGCAGAGATTCAAGGAGACCAAGGGAGACCAAGGGAGACCAAAAGCACTCGCGTGAGAAACTGGCGGAGACCAAGGGAGACTGAGAGACGTACGAACAAGATCTTGTTTTACACTTTCAAGCGGCGTTGTCATCATTATATAATTGTCATCATTTCCGTGCTCAGGGGAGCGGAGCGTTGTGAGAGCATGAGCGGCGTTGGAGGTGTGTACGTACGGATCGGTATCCCGAGCTGCCGTGTGGCTTGTGCTCGGCGGTGTGCTGTCGTGTGGCGGCATGCGTTTCCAACGTTGGGTCAAGGATGATGGAAACTGGGGGGACTCACGTGCTTGTATCTTGCTTCGTTTTTTTTTTTTTTTTCGGACAGAGTTATAAAAAAATATGGCAGTTGGGGCGCGCCAGAGCACGGTGGCTCGGTTATGCCTGTTTTGGGTTTGCCTTGAGGGCCTCATGAAATGCACCTGGTGTGCAGGCACCCAGACTCGGGGTAGCGGGCACCTTGACCCCTTGAGTCAACACGTTGAACGCGTGTGTCAGCTTCAAGCTCCCCTTGATCCCAGCGATCCCCTGCATGTGGCCCTCACCGAGCTGTGTGCCGACTGGGCCTCCCCATCGCCCTTGGCCTCCTTTGAAGCCCCCGCACCGCCACCACCGGTGGCCACCCCACCCCCCACACCGCGGCAACCCTTGCCAGAGTCGCTCTGGACCAACCAGGGATTGACAGCCCAGGTAGGGGCTCAGGACCCTGTCGCTTTGGCCTTGGATCGCGCCTCACGGTCCGTCCATGCGGGGATCAAAGCCACGCCAGCGCCCACTCAACAGTGCACATGGGCCTTGGTTCCTTGGACCCAAGGTACTGGTGCCCTTGAGCTCGACTACGGCGAAAGCGACGACCAGGGTGGCGAGCCTCTCAACCCCGACGGCACCGGCCCTCTCCAACCCGCCACTGTCCTCGTCATCGGCCCCAATTGGACCGCCGACTGCAACGCTTCCGCACCCTGGCTCGCCCTCGAGCAATCCGGCCAGAGCCCTTGGCTCATTCTCAACGCCGATCCCGATACCTTCCTCGCCGCCCTCGTGGCCTTTGACCTGCTGGACCACCTGGCCCACCTCGATGCCCTCTACATTACCGTCCCCTCCAGTGCACCATCTGCCACCAACTCTTCCATCCATCAGCTCCTGGCCCACACCAACCTCACTACCTTTGGCCTTCGTGCCCAGAATGGCCGCCTTGTCCTCCCAGACCCCAACCACCATCCTGCCCTTGCGGCCCTCGACCTTCAGAGCAACACCCTCACCACCCTGCCCCCTCACGCCCTGGACGCCTTTTCTCAACTCATCGTCCTGGACCTGGCCTACAACAACCTCACCAACCTACCCCCAAACCTCTTTGCCCATCAAACCCACCTCTGGCTCCTCGACCTCACTCACAATCAGCTTGCCTTCCTCCCCGATGGCACCTTCCAAAATCTCTCCACCCTTGCCGCCCTCGGTCTTGCCCACAACCGCCTCCTCGCTCCCTTACCCGAGACCCTCTTTCAACCCTTGACCAATCTCCTTGCCCTGCGTCTCGCCCACAATGACCTCGCCGCCCTCAGCCCCCAGGCCCTGGCCGGCCTCTCCCAGCTCGGCATCCTTGACCTTGCCGCCAACGCCCTCACGGCCCTACACCCCATGCTCCTCGCCGACCAAACACAACTGCAACAACTGAGCCTGGAGAAGAACGAGCTCGTCGCCCTGTCTGGCCCCATTTTTGCCTCCCTCTCCCAGCTCATCGCCCTCTCCCTCGACTCCAATGGCCTTACCGCCCTTGATCCCGCCCTCTTTCGAAACCTCACCAACCTCCAATCTGTCACCCTGGCCCACAATGTCCTGACCACACTTGCTTCAGATACCTTCGCCGCCATGCCCCAGCTGAGCGCGCTCGACCTCACCGGCAACCTACTCACGGGCCTCCCCGCGGATCTCTGGGCTCTCAACCCTGCCCTGGCACAAATCACCCTGAGCGACAATCGCCTCACGGCCCTCGCAGACGGCATCTTTGCCGCCCAGGGCCAACTGTACAACCTCTACCTCAGCGACAACGCGCTCACGGCCCTGCCCGACCAATGCTTTCGCGCCACCTCACAGCTCGTCACGCTCTACCTCCATCAGAACCAACTCACAGCCCTGTCGGTCGACACCTTTGCCCACACCCCCGAGCTCAACATCCTCGACCTCTCGACCAACCTGCTATCCGCCCTCCCGAGTGGTCTGTGGTCCAACCTGGCCCAACTCAACTCGCTCGACCTCAGCAACAACTGGCTCAACACCCTCGCACTCGACTCTTTTGCTGGCCTCTCGAGCCTGGGCAGCCTCAGCCTCGCCTGGAACCAAATCACCACCCTGCCTGCACACGTCTTTGATCACGTCCCCAATGTCTTCAGCCTCGTCCTTCAAGGCAATCAGCTGTCCACCCTTCCTGCTGGTCTATTCGACAAAACTCCCTCGATCATGAGTCTATCCCTGCAGAAGAACCAACTCACCGCTCTTCCAGCCGGCCTCTTCAAGGCGTGCACGCAAATGGACACCCTCTTCCTCATGTCGAACCAGCTCACCACCTTGCCTCCGGGTCTCCTCGCCCCCCTTACCAGTCTTCACGACCTCGACTTTAACAGCAATCAGCTCACCACCCTTGCACCGGACACTTTTGCTGGCCTCACTCAATTGTACCGACTCCAGCTCACCGAGAATCGCCTTAGTGTGCTCGACCCAGCCACGCTTGCCCCCTTGACCCGGCTTTACAAGCTGAGCCTGGCTCAGAACCCCCTTCAGCAGCTGAACAGCTCTGTCCTTCCGAAGAGCCCCGAACTGCTCACTCTCGATCTGAGCGACACGCTGCTGACCACCTTGGCGCTCGACCTGCGTGGGTACCCCCTGCTCCAAGAACTGCACCTGGCTCGCAATGACTGCCCGGCTACTTACCAGGTGGATGTGCAGGTGCCTGCTTCAGCACCATTGACCGTGCTCACGCTGACCGGTGCTGCTGTCACGGGGCTGACCTGGTCCGACTGGCCCAGTCTGACCCTGTTGGCTCCCGGCCTACTGGGCTCAACGCTCGCCACCCCTCTCCTCAACTTGAGTGCTTTACCTCACCTCACGCAACTCGATATCAGCTGTTGGCCACACGCCGCCACCCTTGCTCTGGCCTTTGCGCCCACTCCAGAAGCTGAGCTCAGACAGCTGGACGTGCATGCCATGCCCCGCCTCACCGCGTTGCAAATCGATGGTTTTCATGGCACATTGGAGAGCTACAACGTCTCAGGCAACCCAGTGCTGGCCCGGGCAACCATGCTGAACGCCAGCGTCTTTGACTTGTCGCGCACAAGACTGCCCCTGTCGCCGCTGCTCTGCGCCCGGACCGGCACCGCGCTGGTCAGTGTGGCGAGCAATCAAGAGGATGCGCTGCCGTGGGCCAACTTGCTTCGGCAGTGCATCCGCGCGGGCACCAAGGTTATCGACCTCTCCAACAATTCCATCACCAGTCTTCAGGCAGTCACGTCGGTCCTTGGCGAGCACCTGTATGTCGGCAACACGTGGGCCGATGGCTGTGCTGCCACAGACAGTACGGGTCAGATTGTGTGCAGCCTGAACGATGTGCCCTCCGTCTTTCTGCAAAACAGCCCGCTGCAGTGTGCGCTGCGGCCGACTAGCTCGCAGGGTGTCATGCCAGATACCAGCCAGGTTGTGCAAAGCACCGATGGCTTTGGCGGGCATCGGTTTTTCTGCGAGTGCTCACCAGGCTACCAAGCGCCCAACGGCACCCATTGCCTGCCTATACCGCACCACACGCCCTTGGTTCAGCGCCCGTGGTTTGTGGCCCTCATGACACTCGTGGCCGTAGGCCTCCTGATGCTGAGCACGGTGGGCTTGCACAGGTGGCAAGCCCGGCGCATGCGACGCCTGCACGAGGCCCATGAGCTAGAGCGGCTTCTGCTTGCTGAGACGTATCATGACGAGATTGCCGAGCTGAAGCAAGCCTGGCGAATCCAGCGCAGTGAGCTTGAGCTCTTGAAGCGCATTGACGGAGACTCACCTGGTGCCTTTGGCGAGGTCTGGGGTGCCCGTTGGCAGGACTTGGAGGTCTGTGTCAAAATCCTCAATGCATCGGCTGCAGCCAACTTTGCAGCCGTGCAAGATTTTGAGAAGGAGCTCGACTTTTTGCAGCGTACACGCCACCCGCATTTGGTGCGGTTCTTTGGAGCGGGCGAGGGGGACTTTGGCGCCCAACGCCAGATTCCCTTCCTGGTCTTGGAGCTTGTGAAGCAAGGTTCGCTGCGCTCTGTTTTGCGCGGCAGCCAGCCCCGCGACCTGTCAACGGAGCAACGAGTGCAGATTTTAGCCGATGTGGCATCGGGGCTGGCGTATCTCCACCAATTGGGCCACGCCCACCGAGATATCAAGGCGGGCAACGTGCTGGTGACGGAGCAATATCGAGCCAAGGTTACAGATTTTGGCTCTGTCAAGCTGCGCGAGCGCCTGGTTGGGGTCAATGCCAGTCTGACCAAGCCAGGGAGCGATGTTGCGAGCGACGCATCTCTGGGCTCGGTGGGACGTGATTTGCTGGTTGAGAACATGGAGGCAAGTCTGACGCAGAGTGGAATGGCTGGCACGCCTCTGTACATGGCTGTCGAGGTCCTGGCCACGGCGTGCAACGGTGGCCTTCCCGCAGACGTTTTTTCCTTTGGCGTGCTGATGTGGGAAGCCCTGACCAGCCAAACACCTGATTTGCTGGCGCAAGAGTACGGCGGCCCAGACAAGTACAGGGGGCCCCTCCTCACTGGACTGTGGCGCCTTTTGGATGCTGGCAAGCGCCTTGATCCAGCAGCCGTGACATCGGCGCGGCCAGATGCCCCAGACTTGTTGATCACACTCATGACGAGCTGCTGGGTGGGTGAGCCCACCCATCGCCCAATATTGCCTGCCATAGCTGAGCAGTTGGACGCCTTGGTCTCAAACTGGACCGTGCCTGCCGAGTCGTGAGCAAGCTACACCCTTGGTACCGGTGTATGGGCAGCAGGCTAACCCGAACTACTGTTGACATTCTCGTGCCTCGTGAGCATTTGGTTTGCGTGGTCGGTGTTGCTCCAAGGTACTCCGAATTGTTCTGTTATTTGCGTTGATGGCGCAGGTGCACCGTGTCCTTCGATTCCGCCCTTGGCTTTGTGAGCTCCTCCACCAGTGTTCGTTCGCTTCATAGCATGCTCCTCGCTTCTTGTTTGGTAACTGTTCCATAATTGATTTCCCAGGTGAATAACTTTATTTCCGAGGGTGCTGTCTTTGAGGTTGTGTTTCACAGCGTGCGCGCAAGAGCAGAAAGTTGCGGACCCGAAAGACCCGCAAGCGGTTCTCGCGACGCAACGACAGGGGACGGACAGCGGTGGCAGGGGCAGATTGAGGTGAAGGCGGTTGATGACACCGCTGGTTGAGTGGGGATCATTTGCCAGGAAAAACCACTCACAGGGCTAAAGGCACCAGGGGGATCTGGCAAGACCTGGCTTATCCACTGCGTTGCATCAAGGCAGAGCCCGGCGCTGCTTCCTTGCCACAGGCACCGGCCGGATGAGCAGCTGGCTAGCGACGGCGCGGCAACTCAGGTGCCGTGTCTGGCTGCAGGCTTCTTCACTACATACTGGGTCCTTTGCAGCTGCGGGTACGACTGCTACGAAAGCCAAGCCCAGCCCGCCCACTGGATCGAGCAAGGCCGCCCGCAAGTCTGCCACTGCACAAGCACACGGCCAGGCCCAGGCTCAAGCGAGCCCAAACAAGGCGCCGCGCTTGAGGCTCAAACGACTCACGCGCCCAACGCGTGAATCAAAGCCATCTGTGCGCAAGCCTAACGTACCCACCATCATCACCGCCGAAGATGCGGCTCCCTTTGCCAACATGCTTGCACACGTGCGTACGATGCTTTTGGTTGTGATTCGGGCAAGGCGCGCTCCCGACGTGCCACCGCGCCACCACGATGCCTCGGGTCAACCTCACACTCTTTTCTCGTTGTTGACACACCTCAGAAATCCTCACGCATCCGCAGCTCAGCCAGTCAGCCTCTCTTCGTCATGGACCCTCGTCTTGCAGGTAATTTAGCCGCGACCAGCCGCCCCGAGCTTCAATGTGTCAACACTCCGATTCCTCAGCTGCACCATGTCGGCTGGCCACTGTGTTTGGCAGACTTGATCGCTGCCCACTGTGATGTGGAAGGTCGCCACGTATACGAGCAAGCCGCAGGAGCTGGTCTGCTCACTCAGGCTTTTTTGCAGCACGGTGCCGCCTTTGTAACGGGATGTAACAGCTCAAGCAGCCGCCTTAATATCGATCCAGACTGCTTTGAACGTTTGACAAACGCCTTTCCCAAGCACTTGTCCGTCATCAACGCCCATCTTTCAGTGCTTGGCTACCATCAAAGTGTGTGCCTGCCAAGTTCTACGTTGTGTTGACACCAGGACTGCGCCGGATTCAGCCACACTAACTTCCCACGCGTGGGCCTTTTTTTTTTTTTTTTAATACATTATAACATAGCAACTCCGGAAGCCGTGAAAGAACACGAAGACAATGTGCTTGGTATGTGTTGTACAGGGTTGGAACGCACGGGCTAACTGGTCTCAATACTAACTCATCGGCACCCACGACTTGTCATTCTCCGTGTCCTTGTCACTCGCCCGCGCCCGCCAGCTGCACGCCAAAAGGACTTGCCGCGCACGCTCTTCTTGTTTCTCCCGACCCACAACGGTCTCGGTTATATTACCAATGTTTTATACCAGGTGCGTGCAGTGCCTCGCGGCTTGTCCAGCCAATCAGTGCCCTCCTACTTTGGTCTTATCGCCGCACTGCCCGATCCAACAATCTCACTGACGCCGCTTCTGGTTGTGTCTCTCCGCATCGTCAGCTGGTAGCCTTCGACTCGCCCTTCTCTTACAGGCAATCGTGCAAGTTTTATTGTCTATTAAACCGCAAGTGGGCCCAAACCCTTGTCGCTGACCCGGGCCAAAGCCGCTTCACTCGCATCACCGCTCTCACCAAGGTCCGTGCAGCTTACACAACCCAGGCTTATTCAAATGCCGCTGGGTGCGTCTCACTGCCGTGCCACTGTCTTCTGCTTTGCAGACGTTGTGCGACGTGCATGAGCTTCGCGTGTTTCCTCGCCAGCTCTTTTCGCCACCCCTTGATGTATACAAGGTGGGCACGGCGACGATTTTTGCCTCGCGGAATGCTATGCATGCACGCGCGCATTGTCGATTTTAAAGTTTCAGCTACGTTGCAACTATAGCCTCTGACGCATCCTCCCTTCACGTGCCCACACGCACCTTGCAGAAAGACGACACCATGCACTTGCTTGAAATTGCCCCCAAGGCCTCTTTACCAGACAGTGGTGGGTGTGCCGCCACTTTCCTTTGCGGTGCATACATGCACTCAGCCCTGCCGCCATGTCTCTATGAGCCCCGCTCACCCACTGCGCCCATTGGGGCTTGCGCACACAGTGAGCACGCCAGTCGGCTTGGCCCGCTATGATGAAACTTTGCTGAAGCTATTTGCGCCTAACCAATTGCCCGTGCGCAAGCTGCTCGAGTATGTGTGCATCCCCATCGGCGGCCGCATGCTGTCCGCCATGCTTTGTTCACGGCCGTGCCGGGTGCCTGGATAATAGGCCTTATGTGGACATGGATGAAATTCCATCCGAGCTGGAGCCACTGCTGGAGCAACGCAGCAACAACTTGACAACCGACGAGCTGCTGCAAGTGGCACAGTTTGCCCTGGCCAATGAGCTTTAGTTTTGCGGCGTGCTCGGGGTCTATATTTTGGGCATGCAAGGACCGAGACGCGTGTGTTCCCGACGACTTCCAAACGACGACACCGACGTCCACAACCGTCACACGCTGTGCGTGACGTCATGACAGGCATCATGACTCGGGTCAAAAAGAGCCAACGGAAGTGGCGAGCTGTCGTGATGGAGGATGTGTAAAGGCTCGTGGATAAATGGCTAAAATTCGCTGACCGCTTGAGAATCGAACAAGCGATCTCTGGCCTCTCCCAGTCGCGCACGTCATGCACCGACAGAAAACAGAACACAAAAAAGAGCACCACCCAAACAAGCCCACGCAGACGAAAATACACAATCATATGCTCGAACGGGACCCTGTGGTGTGTCAGGGATGCTAGTCAGGCAAGACCCGTTCACGGCGTGAACTGTCCGACCAGAATGCCCACACCCAAAAGCATGAGGAGATAATGAATCACCCGTTTGCTCACGGTCAGTTTATCTGCAACAACAAATACAAGTTCCAAGTGAGACAAGGACACGAGGCTAATCGTCCAGTAGAAAAGGAACAGCAAGGCCCATACTTTGGCGGCGTAAAATTTCCATTTGCACCAGGCAGGGCAGCGCAAAGATGTACACACAACCGCAGATGGCGCCCGTGTAGCTGTAAGCAGGAGAAAATGGAGAGAAGGAATGAATTGACACAAAACGCCCACGGCAGAGCTCATTGTCCACCCCCTCAGATTGAGTCTGTGCTTGTGTAAAACAAGTTGGCAAGCCAGGCGCTGTTCATACCGCAGGATATCGCCGATATGAGGATAGAAGATGGCCACCAGCACACAGACGGTGGTAATCATGACGTTCAAGCCCAGCACGTGACCAAAGCTATGGCCGCAATTTGCAAGGCGTGGGCAAGCTGTGGTGAGCCGACGCAAAACAAGGTTTTGGCCACAGCCTCTGACAGGCCTGCACGCGGCTTGCTACAACACGCAACATTTGGGCAAGAAGCAACGCGCTACCTGGGCCAAACGTTGCCATTGAAGAAGGTGGACATGACTTGAAAGCGGACGATGAAAATGAGCAGTGGAAATCTGGAAGCAGTAGCCGAGCGTGGGACGTGAGACGTGAAACCAAAGAAGAGGCATTGGGATGCCATGTGTGTCGGTGACGATGTGGGCCCAATCGGCACATACACTGTAATCATTTGCAAAAGTAGACAAAGCTGTGCAATCAAGGAGAAAATGAAATTCTTGTCCGTCTTGTGAAAGTCTTGCAAGAAGTTGTTGTTGATGCCGTCCTTGTTACCCGCGTAGGAGATGTAGTACAGTACACCTGATATTACGAGAGCAGCGATACGAACGTGCATCAAACAAGTGAGCTGGGCGATCAACTGGCAGGCGGGCATGCGGAGACAGGGGTGTCAACGCTAGAACATAAGCTCCCAATACGACGTCTTAGGGCCCAATCATCCGTCCAGAGAGAGAAAGAGGAAGCAAGCACGCACCAACGAGGAGGTAGGTCAAGCACACAAGGATGTAGGCGAGCAAAAGATCACGCTGATTGTGCTTTGGTTCGGCTGCATTACGCATAATGGACAAGCAGCCGTTGTGGATGAAAAACGCCAGGGAAGAGACGCCGCAGAGAGCCATTACGCCTGAGCGCCATCTGAGGCGGGTGCGTGGGCAGAAAGAGGTGGTGAGAAGGGAAGCACACAGGCCATGGCAACAAGCGGCAAAAAGGATGGCGGCCGACAACGCACTCTTCCACGTTGTGAAAGTGGACGCCACCCGCGGGGCTGTTTTGATAGTGCTCGCCATCGAAAAAGGTGAACAAAACGAAGAATAGGATGTAGATGATGGACACAACACCTGTAATCAGGTCAGGAAGGTGTGAGTAAGAAAAGGCGTGGAAGGGAGAAGGATGATTGGAGACTTTGACGGTAGCGATGCTGCCTCCAACATCCAAACAGGAAAGAAAAGCCCCGGGCCCGTACCCAGGGAGTTAAACTTGGTAAAGAAGGTCAGACTCTTAAAGTTGATAAGGGGAAATAGGATGGCAATGAGGTAGATGGGAACGAGCTCGCGCGACCAGTAGTGACCCCAGGTGGAGTCGGTTCCATCGCTAGCGCCAAGGAGAGCGTCCGCCAAGACGGCAGTGTGATTACTGGGATGGGTTGAGTTGGCTGGGATGGAACCACTGGGGTCATGGAAGTAGTCGACCACGGTGTACAGAAAGCCCGACATGAGCACCCAATAGGCAATGGCAGCGCCCACGATGGTCAGAACGCTGAAAATAACGGCCACCACGTAGTAGCGCTTGCCCAGGAAGCGCAGCACGACCTCGGCAAACTCGACATCCTCGCCGTTGACTGCAGGTGGCAAGACAAAAAGACGGTGATGGGTGAGCAAGCACACACGTGCAAAACGGGCAGGTAGTGGAGCATTCAAACGTACTGCGACCGCCCTGGCCTGCAGAGAGGACGATGGTACAGGTGTAGTAGGACACGGTGGCCATGAGAATCATGGCGAAGATGCCTGTAAGACGAGTCAAAGAAGGAGTCAATACAATAAACGCAGGTCAAGCGGTGAGGTGCCAGTGCTGGGCGATGCACAGGTGCAGCGGGTCAACAGTCGAAGAAAAGACGGACCAAGACCAAAGCCAGCCTGATCGATGGCCCAGGGCATGGTCAGCACGGAGGAGCCCATCATGGTGTTCCACATGGAAAGGCTGCGATGACACGCAGATGGAGATCAGATTCAAAGGTGGAGGAGCGGGATCATCAGGGACAAGTTGGCGTCGGGGTTGCAGTCACATACATGGTCACCACAGAGCTCTGCTCGCCACCCTTGCCCAAAACGAAGACGGACGACGGCAGGGCGTGGTGGGGCATAATCTGCAGAAAGAAAGCAAAAAAATACAAGCAGAAAGATTACAAGTTGCACATCAGTGATCCATCGTTTGACGCTCAACCTTGTTGAATCGGGGCACATACCAAGCTATTTGGCTGATTGGCAGGCGCTAGCTTGTTGTAGTAACTGTCAAGTAACGAGCACGATGAGGTCCATGAGGATGCCAATGTTGAGCTACTTGATCCCCGAGGAATGGGAACCAAACGCCGTACCGGTAGCGTTGATAGGCATGGGAGTTGCTGTTGTTGGGGTCCTTGGCAGCAGAGGCATCGCGAATGGGCTGGTAGGTGAAAGGGCGGCGACTGTCGGCTGATCCAGAGCTCTTCAGCAGCAGCGGTGTGTCTGTAACAATAATGCCAGTGATGATGCTGATGATGTGAGTGGTGTCTCCCAAAGGGCAGGGGCTGAAGGCAGGGACGGGACGGGCACGGGGATGGAGCAGGTTCGGGGAGATGGGGAATTGATTGAAACGGACCTTCTTCGTCATCGGAAAATTGCTGGAGGGTATCAAGATTGCTAGCACGGGATCCGGACATGCGAGAAGGTCCAGCGCTGCCAGCGTCGGGATTGACGCTGAAGCGGCCAGGCGCACGGCTGGACAGGGCTGCTGCGCGCCGCTCGTCCAAAGATCTATGACGTTGGCAAGATGATGCGCAGACAAGCGCCAAGAAGTCACGGACGGTATCAGGCCACGGAAGCGCCTTGAGCACACAGAGGGCAGCATGGCCAGCAATGTGAGAAAAGACGATCAGGCAGGGGGAACGCACTGAGGAAGGGAGGCCACGTCAACGTGACCCCAAAGCTCGGACGAGGCGCGGCGCTCGCCATCACCCTGTCGCAGTGAAACATGGCCACGAGGGGGGCACAGGAAAGACACAGGGAAGGTAAGAAACAACAGTGAGGAGCGATCCCCATCAAGCGCGAGCACAAGATGCGGTGATCCATTGAACGCGAAGAGAACGAGGCATGCAGGGGGAGGGGGAAAGGGAACGGGGACAAGGGGGAAGAGAGGCCCGTGTGGTGCGAAACGAGCCAGACCCGTGACAAGACGAGCCCGGCTCGCACGCAAAGGCTGGCAATACCAGCCGAACAAACACCTGGCAGCCCACCCTTCCCCTCTCCCTCCTGCCAACCATTCACCCCCATACACACACGGACCGCAAAGATCCCTTCCCCTCCCTCCCCCTGGCTGCCATTTGTTTCCAAGAGAGAGAGTGTGTGTGTGCGCGCTCAAAGTTTTTCGCTTTTTTTTCCTCCAAAACCACACACACACACACACACACACGAGGGTTTGACACACACGTACCAGACTGGTCATGGTGGCGGCGATCAATCGCCCGGGGCGCTAGTATCTCACGACCAGTCCACGGGAGAAGACAAATGCAATGATCCGCTGGAGTACCCCTTGGCCCCCCGCGCACCCGGTCCCCAATCTCTCAGCAGCTAAAACCCCGCCCCCGACGCTGCCGTTTCACCGCACAACAGCCCCCTTTGTGCGTGTGAAAAAAAAAAAACATCTGTTTGCATCCACACACCAAGAGAGAGAGAGAGAGAGAGAGAGAGAGAGAGAGAAGAGATTTTTATTTCTTTTGTTCTTTTCTTTTGTTATCGTCATTTCTTTTGTTCTCTCTCTCTCTCTGTTTTCGATTCTTTTGTTCTTTTCCCTCACTGCAGTAACACACTCTCTCACACACTCTCTCTCTCTGTCATGTGTGACGACATCCAATTCAAAGGAACCAAATGTCATGTGTGTCGGTGGGATTTGCGTTCGGCGTCTTCATGGATATTGAATGCAGTTTATAACACTGTTACGGTGTTTGAATCTGCAATTTCCTCTATTTTCGAGTTCATTTCCTTTGACTGTTCCATGGTCAACAACGATGGTGTGTCTTGTGATGATGTAATTGTCAGAAAATTAGGACTGCGTATGAACAAGGCGATCTGGGGGGGAGGGGTCACCCGCGGGCGGGCGGTTATACATATGAACAACAAGGCCCGTCGGTATCAAAGGGCAAAGTGCAAGGAGCAAAGACCTGGAAGGCTTAGGCATCTCGGAGGCGTTGCCCCTCCATTTGTGCCAGCATGCGATGTCCGCCAATCGTGCTCACCATGCGGCGTGGCCCACTGCCGTGCGACCGCATCGTGAGGGGCGATGGCATGGGCGCCGGCGGTGTTGATGAATCCATGGACATGGCTGAGCCATCTGAATCCATGGAATCGTGGCGCTGTCAACACAACAACAAAACAACAGTCAATCAGCAACCAAGACGCAGCATTGAAGATCATGAGTGCGATGAACGGTCGGCCCTGCCTGCGCCTGTACTGCACACGAAGACAAGCCCCCGGTGCGCTCCTCACAAACCTCAAGTCGAAGCGCCCCCAAATTCACGCCGCTACTGCAACGCCTAGAACTTTGGCTAAACACGCTTCCCGACCTATGCGCCACCATGCCACTCGGTCAGCACACACAACGACGCACACATCAGACACCATTCAGCAGCGACACCTACTGAGAGGCAGCGCCATCCTCTTGAAAAGACCCACGTGGGCCTCCAGTCTATTTACCCAAGCCGCCACCGTATCCATAAGAACGCAGTCAAGGGCCGCCATCGATAGATCCCAAAGACCCAATGACACAAGCGGACGTACCACAGTACTCGATGCCGAACGCCGCTCAACGCTCGAGGCGGCAGATGAAGCGGCTTGCTGGAGACGACCAGCACCAGCCAAAATGGGCTTGGCTTTGAAAAGCACGGAGCAGTTTCGGCTGATGAAAAGTGAGCATTCCGCATGGGCATGGCGCTCGCAGTCCTGGCACGTTGCACACAACCTGCATGTTTGCCCCCACACGCCAAGTCAGTGAGTGCGCCAAGCGATTGTCTCAGAGGTGACATCAAAAGTGTAATGCCACTCACGATTGGATGGGCTGTTGGCAATGGTCACATGCCAGCAGTGACGCTGGAGCAGGACTGAGATCAAACAGATGCGGCATGCAACGATGGCTGCCATACAAGTGAACCTATCCCACCGAACAAGCAGCCGCATCACGGCACGACCAATCACCGCTGCTCGATGTGAACCGTTCAAACCTACCTCGTATAGCACCTGTGCCACATCATGGGGGCGCACGGCATCAGCGCTGGACGCCATGACCGCAAAGGACGGAAACAAGGGGACCAACTGCTGGCACAGCTCCCAATCCTCTTCCGACACCGCTTTGCGGTTGGTCCACAGGCTCGACCACAGCTGCGTGACCAAATCTTGCACGCGCAACTCAAGCTCCACCCGCGAACATTCCATCGATGGCATATTCAAGCCTGCCCACCATCACGACCACACGAACCCGCTGTGAGCCACCGTGCGGATCGCTCAAGCCCCTGGCTCGGATCCGATGCGCTCTTCACCTTGGCGCGAAAGCTGGTCAAAGAGTAGGGGCCGACGACCATCGGCCAGCCATCGAGCAAATAGTTCGGGCTTGCTCGAGCCACAGCAAGCTCGTTTCATGGCATCACGCCCTTGTACCTGTCCCATCACCGATCCCAGCATTGAATGCATCCACAAGGTCAGTGGGTAGAGCCTTGATAATCTGATTCACGCGAGTCCTGCCGTTCATGGATGGGCGGCAACGCTCGGGTCCCACGGCAGCTTACCCGGTAGGTGCGCAGGCTGTGCACAATGCTGGGCTCGCACATGTTGGACGCGGCCATCAAGGCATCCTCAGATGGCGCATGTCTAACCCATTCACCCGCGGATTCAAATCCAGAGCGACAGCCCCAAAAGGATGGCCAGAGCCAAGAAAGTCGTGTGAGTCGGACATGCACCCGTGCATGTGTCTGCAGAAAGAAAGGGGTTGGAGGATTGGCTTACGAAAGAATGTGAATAAGTTTCGTTCGAAGGCGCGAAGGCTGCCTGTGCGCGGCAGTGCTGCGGACTTGAAACATGAGAAAGTCGTCAATCGCGGTCTGGACGTCTGTCACACAATATGGGGTTGGTCATCGACGGCGAAACATGAGCACGCGGCGCCGTGAGATGACGGGAGACAACACTGCGCACGTACCAATCAACCCCTCGAGATCCTTGTGAGGATTTTGGGATGATTGAGCAGCCTCTCGCTGGGCTCGAAGATCAGCCACCAGATGCTCCAGGGTCGGTATGCACAAAAGCGTTTCATCACAAGCCGCTCTCTCCAGATGCTGCAGATACAACTGCCCACACATTGGCCGGATCAGGGGAACCACACACAAACCAACAAAGGCCACGAAGCCGCAGCCTGGCCACCAGTAACTGCAGGCTGGCATTCGTCATGCTGGCGAAACCAACCCAGCAAGATGCCTCAAACACCTACCTCGTCATCCGAGTCGAAGAAGAGCTGCGCCAGGTTGTTGAGGGCCGTGGTCGTGTCGGAGGAGAAGTGATGGCGCGTGGCTGTGAGCCGCACCAGGATGGGACTGTGAAAACAGGACATGAGGCGATGGGCCATGTTGATGTCACCCTGGAGCACGAGGTGCTGGCAGGTGTGAATCCAGCTAAGAAGATGTACGCGCAGATGCGTGTCAAACAGACTGAGTAAAGATACGACCAGGGCAAAGCGAGGTGCAAGATGGAGATGCGCGCATTTGCAAAAGGCGGGCGAACCGAGAGAAGAACATGGCGCGCGTGCGCGCATCCTGGTGATGGACGATGGAGGCCGCGGCAAAGGAGCAGACGTTGTTGAGAAACGTGCGCCAAGCGCTGATCGTTGCGTTGGGCTGCTCGGCACTCCAGAGATCGTCCACAGTGACACGCTTGTAGTACTCAAGATCCAGACTGAAGAGCAGCTTGGCCAAGGCCTCAGAGTCTGTCTCAAGGACTGACCACAACAGCGCAAAGTCAGTATCCTTGCACTAGGCGAGTGGGTGGCTCATCGCTGGTTGTCAACAGAACCAAACGGGGGCGCCAATGAACAACGATGAGCGTACCGATGGAAATGTCGCTTCTCTCCAAATGCAAGTTGGGCGCCTCTGGCTTGGTCAGATCCGCCATGGTGGGAAGCTGATACATTGGGAGGGAAAAGAATTAAAAGAGTCGCGTGAGGCTGGCCAGGGCCTGAACCGAGCAGATGGAATGAGACTGGTGCGCACCTGTTCGAGAAAGCGCTCAATGCGGCGCAGCGTGGCCTGAGCTAGATTGGCCTCGCGGGCCCACCACGTGCAAAAAGTGACGACACTGAGCCGCACGCTATCTCGATCGGCGCCAATAGCTTCGTCTTGGTCGTCGTTGCAATAGATGCGCACCATGCCCCGCAGCAGTGCATCGGAGGTGATCCACTTTTGATGATGGCGGAGAACGGTGCGGATGTAGCGCAAGCCCTGGCGCTGGGGTCCCTTGGCGCGGCTCAGAAAGTTGAGCGCCCGCACAGTTGTCACCTAATCAGCGAGCAAGCCAGGTGGCACGAACAAGGTGTAGGTGTTGATATGAGACAAGAGAAAGAAAGAGAGGATTTTCAGAAAAGACTATGCAAATGAATGAGAAACACCTATAGGAGTCATGTCCAACCTCGAGAAAGTCTTCACCCTCGGTTTGAGCTTGCGAGGGCTTGCGCCGGCGGGAGGTGGCCGAAGTCGCTGAGGAGATGTACGACTGCTCAGAGCGAAGCGAGGTGCTGCTGCTCTGTTCGCTGACCGAGCCCGAGCGAGGGGCGGATTGCGAGGCGCGCAAGGGCGAAGAAGACCGAAAGCGAGACCTGGCCGGGTTCAGCGGTGACTTGGGTAGGTGACGTCCGTCGGCACTAGGACTGGCAGAGCTGCTCGAGACGCCCATGGAGCCGGACGACGCCCCCGAGGTGTCCATGGCGGTCTGCAGCTCAGAGCTGCTGGCATGTTGACTCAGGCTCAACATAGGGCCCAGCGAAGGGCGGTGCAGTGGCGACGCCGTGAGAGTAGAAGCGTCGCTGTCTGTCGCGCAACGCTGTGTAGGGCTGGGAGGGGCCTCTGCTGCCTCTTCCTCGTCTTCCTCTTCAAAAACGTCTTCATCATCAGTTTCCTCCAGCGTGGTCATGGATGACTTGTGCGACAACGAAAAGCGAGGGCGGAGCACATCATCCAGTGGCTGGCCGAGCCGAGAGACCAGCCACCGTTGAGAACAAGCAGGATCCAGACCACGACGTGAGGGCTAGGAGAGTACGATCAGCAAAACCACGGCGAGTTTTGGGCAACCTGGCCTTACCTTATCGTCGGGGAGCGGGCTGCGAGAGCCACGCGAGCCGGGGGATTGTGGGCGAGCAGTGGGCGAAGTCGGGGAGGTGGGCACCGAAGGCGATGTCGGTGAGGTGGGCGAGGTGGGCGAGGTGGGTGAAGCAAGGACGGATTGGTCGGCAACGGGCTCGTTGTGCTCGTTTTCGCTTGCTGGGGGTTGAGCGTGGTTTTGGGCTGAAGTTTGGTCATTGCCTTGGGCTCCCAGCTTCTCTACGTCATCGGTGACTGTCTTGGCGCTGTTGCGGCCAGACTCGTCCCCTGAGGCTCGACGCTCAATATCGTCGTCGAGGTCGCGAGCAAGCAAAGGAAGGAATTGATCAAAGATGGTCATGTCCGTTGAACTGCGCTTGGGCTTGGCCCGTGGAGAAGAGGGAGGCGTCAATGTCTGCCGGGCTGGCAAAGGTTGAGTGGCGCTCCCATTCATGACGACGGGGCTGGTTGCAGGCAGGACCAAGGCTGACAACCAAAGCAAATGGGGAACTGTATACGCGTGCCTGGCAGCAAGGGAGCAGAGACGAGCGGCGATGAAAGGGGAAGGTGAGATGAAGTGGTGAGGTCAGAAAAATAAAAGGCTTGAGCAGAGATATGCGGGTGGACCACACCACACACAACGACACCAGGATCCGAGTTGAACGATGGTGAACGCACCGTCGCTGCGCGCGGTGCTCGAGTAAGTGGCAGCCTCTGAGAAAAGCGTTTTTGGGAGACCTGCGGTGATGGCCCAGGGCCCGGGCAACAATGGTTAGCTACCGAAGAGGAGCTGCTCTTTGGTCCGGTCCGAAGGCGGGGCAGTGTGGGAGTGTGTATGTGCATGCCTTGAGAGCATGGGTGGAATGCACGGTTTCGCGAGACTGGCTGCAGAAGATTGGACCATACGGTGGTCTGGCTCATTGCAGCGTGCCAGCAGTACAGACAGATGGTTTGAACGGGTGTTAACTCACCTCTTGATAGCCGGCGAGTGAGTGATGATATCTGCCGCCAGGACTGAGTGGGCGAGTGGGATGAAATTGTTGTCAGCTGCTGCACACAGTGCCTGATGCTGGTGATGGACAACAACAAAAGGCAGCCAAAAGCCGTTTCGCGATGCTGCCCTGTGTTGCCACGAGAGCGAGCCACCGTCGCTGAAGGTAAGTGTGGAGGTGGGCAGGCTCTGTCTCTGGTGTTGCTGCTGTTGGAGCAGAGCTCGAGCGCAGGGAGGAGGGGCTGGGGAGGCAGTCGTCCGCCACCTGGTATGTAGATCACCCTTGTCCCAAAACTGTCTTCCAGCGCGGCACCACTGCTGGACGGCTGTGGAAAAACACGAGTCGTGGGCGGAGACGCAAACAAATTCTCGATCCCGCAGCGAGAGATCAAGTTTTGTTCAAACACGCTTGAGGGGGCTGTGGCATCTGTGGACGACAGAGGTATGTCCGGCCCTTTGATTGTGGTGCAATTTACGAAATAGAGGCCACATGCAAGAGGAAGCCGAGCAACGCAGGCGGGGGGCAAGGCCTCGAGAAACTGGGCGGGCACATACCCGAGCCAACATCGCTTGTCTAACGTTCAAGGACCCGCACGAGCTGGGCCAGCAACCCCTTCACCCCCATGTCCCGAAAGTTTTAAACTTTTTGAGGGGGTGCTGATGCTGTTGTAGTTCGTCACATCACATACCAGGCCACCCTCCGTCCGCCACCCGCCCCACGCCTACCTTGATGTGGGCGGCAGCTGGGATGCTCGTCGCTTGACATGCCTACATGCATGCAATTTTATTTTGCCCATCGGTCCCGCTCTCGATCTCCTGGTCACGATCTCTCCCGATCAGAATATCTCCATGTCTCATATCTAGGTTCCTGATGCCTCTATTCATGTCTTCCTCCATCTCACCGCTGCCGTCTCTCTTCTGAGGTCTGCGGCTCTCTCTCTCTCTCTCTGTCTCTCTGCCTTTGTGTCGGAGGGATGACATTGTGATTGAACCGTAACAAATTAAGGCTGGCGTGACCCTGCGTTCCTCTCTGGTCCCGTTTAGGAGCAAGTGGAAAATGAGCGGCCACGATAGTTTCAGCAGGCCGCGATAGTTTCAGCAGGCCGCTGGCTGACTCGTGGGGAGTAGGGCCACAACCGAACCTGCGCCGGATCGTTCATCATGCATGAAACAGCCAGTTTGTTCGCAAGGTTAGCGGCATCAATTGACATGCTCTCTGGATGGCCCGGTCTTGGCAGGGAAAGGGCAGCAAGCGACACACAAGGCGAAAGGGTGGCGTCTCAAGCAAGCCGCTGCACAGCAGAAAAGGCGCCGAGCCAATTAACCACCCGTCGTTATTCGTACATCGGAAGCCCGTCCGTCGGGCCCTTGGCGGGCTAAGTGATCCAAGAAGTGTGGTCAAACTCGAGCTCATGCATGCGCTGCGGCGCAAGCGCAAAGAGTGCTCGTGAAAAGATGGGACGAGGCGCCGGCGCCAGCCGCAGCATGCGAGTGAGCGGGTCCATGACCGGCATGGTCCGGGCGCCTGAGGCCGTGGCGGCATCAGCCAAAGATTCGCCAGCAGCGAGGGAATGGTCTGTTGGTGGCTCATCCTCGGCAGAGGCAGATGATGTACTGCCATCAACGAGTGCCGTGGTGTCATCCAAGAGCGACAGCGTGGCACCAAAGCTGTGGAGCTTGTTTGCATGCACCGTCGCTCGTGCATACGTACTGACGGCCGTCGTCAGCGTGCGGTGGCATCGCCGGCCCGCTTCCTTGCATTGCAACAACACTGCCGGTAACTGTTGGCCGAACACCTGGTTGCAGGTAGCAAACATGCTTTCACGTGAAAAAAAAAGGGGGAGGTGGGGGGGTATCTCGCTCAACGGGTGCACGCTCACATCCAAGGGCCCATGGGGACGAACCATACCTCGTCATGCACTTGCTGGTAATCACCCAACAGCTTCTGGTAGGTCTTGGTGAGCAGGTGGCGCTCGCGCGTGGAGGCCTGGACAGCTGGACTTTGAATCTAAACAACCCGTGCCATTCACATCCATGATTATTTGTTGTTGGGAGTCACAAGTTCACAAAAAAAAAAAAAAAAAAAAAAAGTCGGCTGTGCTTCCTCACGCGTTCATGCTCGCGAACACACGCAGCAAGAAAAGATCACTCACTCACTCACACACACTTTCTCTCTCCTTCTCTTCCTCTCGCGAACGACCGAGGCAAGAATGTATGGAAACCGATTGGGGTCGGAACAGAATAAAATAAGACTTGGGCAACATGAGCAGACCTTGGCAATGCGCCGACGTTGCGGGGGTGTCAGAGGGACAAGCGGCGGGGCCGTGGTCGACGACGTGGCTCCTGGGATTGTCAGTGTGTCGGGCAAGCGACGCGGCTGAGCAGGCTGAGTGGCCGTGGCGGTGGCCGTGGCAGCGACTTTAGAATCGGCTGCTGATACCACTGGTGTGGCATCAGGCTCGGCCAGGTCGTCCTCGACAGAATCGGGGAGGGTGCCGACGCCCTCCTCCGTTTGATACGGAGTTTGCGACGACATGATGATTGCATGCTCGGCACTAGTGGGCAAGTAGGCGCTGGCCGCGAGCAGCTCGTCCTCCTGTAGTTCAATCATTTTGGATCGGTACAAGCCTGTCTCCACCTCGAGCTTGGTCAGGAGTTTTTGCAAAGCGCCGAGGCGCTTGTTGACCAGTTGCATGGCCGTGGGAGTCTGTCGCATGTCCCCCAGAGCAGCCGTCAGGGGCTCCAAGCACCCGGCCTCCCACTCACGCATCGCCTCCAGCTGAACCGTGGCGTGACTCTGAAGCTCCTGCACAAACGTCTTCATGGCTGGCCGATCCACCGCAGCGCCTGGAACGGGCGTCACGTGTGATCTCTCGGACGAATGTGCTGGGCTGCCAGCCTCTCCACCACCACCACCACCACCACCACTGTTCCGACCAGCATCGCTTCCACTGCGTCCGGCTCGTCCCTCGGCAGCGACCTCGCTGGATCGCGACCAAGAGCCCATGGACCAGAAGGCATTGATGCTTGGAGCAGTGCGCTCGTAATTGCGACACAAGTCTGCCATGGCCTGGGCATGCTGCTGCTCGAGCTTGCAAAGCTTACTCAAAAAGGCCAGGTCGTGCTCGTACTGCTTCTGCTGGCCATTCAGATGCTGCTGTAGCTTGGTGGCGGCCTGTGCTTGTGCCTGCACCTGCGGCATGACCTGCTTCACGTCCGTGGTCTCGGGTAACCGCCACACCGCCTCCTCCGCCCCCGACCCGGAGGGCTCTCGTCCTTCCTCCTTGCCCATGACTGACTCGCAACCAACCCCGTCCTGCTCACGGCCGTTGCAGTCACCCAATCCCACACCTACACCAAACCCCCCACGCACATCCAATCCACGCGTGCCAAGTGGAAATCAGATCCAGCCAGTGAACGCGACCCCCCGGCCCACCCGGCTTCTCCATATGCCTGTCGTCCTGAAAAAAAAAAAAAAAAATTGAAAAAGTGTGTGTGTGTGTGTGTGTGTGTGTGTGTGTGTCTCTCTCTCTCTCTCTCTCTCTCGTTCCCTGTTGTTGTTACAAGTGGTAGTTGTGCTTTTCTTGCTCTTTATTTCTCTCTTTCTCTCTCTCTCTCTCAAACTCTCTCTCTCAAACTCTCTCTCTCAAACTCTCTCTCTCAAACTCTCTCTCAAACTCTCAAACTCTTTCTCCTTCACTCTCTCTCATAATCACAGGGAGGCACCATCAGAGGTGAGGCACTCTGGGTAAAAGACATTGCGTTGCGGCATACAGAAGATGGGTCACGGTGACATTGAGATTTGCTTGGCAGGGTGCCAGCGGAAGGAGAATGGGAGTTGATTAAGGCAATGAGGCACTAACGAACAGACTGCGTGGGGCCTAGCACAAAAAAAAAGGCCAGCTAGGCACCCGAGTGGAGAGAAGAAAAATACACGTATAGTAGCAGGATCGGGTAAAGCAAGAGGATACGCTTGGCTTCCAGCTCGCCTGTGGCAAGCAGACTGCCCGCACTGAAAGTTGCCCAACCCACCCCAGCGGCCTGAGAACAACATGGTCATGCACACACACGCGCAAGCGAGCGGGTCAGCATGCAGCACGCTCTGAAATGACCACACAAGCCTGGACACAACTCATCCTACCTTGAGCATGACGTGCAGCGTCTCCGGCAGCGGCAGCAAGGTGACCAGCGCTGCAGTCAGAATCAAAGGCAACACGCTATAGCCCACCACGCCCAACGTCTGCTCAAGAGTGCCAAGAGCGTGCAAATGCAACAGCAATCAACGTGAATGAGCGTCACCCAAGGCCACATGGGCAGCCCCCATCGAGACTTTGGTCGCCCGCTGGCCTCCGCCCCACGCATTTCTCCGCACCTGAGCAAAGCCCGTGTCGCCCCCCAACACGCGTCCAAGAACAAAGAGTAGAATAGAGCCCACCATCCAGATGGTAATGATCCATGACACCACTGATAAATGACCATAGAGGCTAAACACGGCATACAGGATGACCACAAGCAGTGGACCCCTAGCACGCGAAACACGGGGCGCCATGCATACACCAGCCCGACCGCCGGTGAGCTCGCCAACCTGGGAAAAAGGGGAACCCCCGAAAACAGTTTGTCGCTTGATGCCAGCCAGAGCCTGTAACGCGGCACCTCGACGCTTGACGTACCAAAAGTCGGGATCATTGCGCAAACGTGAGCGATCCATGCCAAAAGGCACGAGAACACAGCGAATTTTGTAGATAATGTTGGGCAAATCAATGTCCAGCTCTTCCAAGAGGGGTCGCCGACTGTCCTCGTCATCCTCGTCCTCGTCCAGCTCCATCAGCCACCCAAAGCCCTAAATTCGTGTCGCCCGGCCCCTCGACGGTTGGTAAGCTCGAGCAAACGGAGTCTTTGCACCGGGACCGCGCACGCGTCTCGCCACGGACACACCCGTGAATTGAGATACTGCGTGGCTTGACCATAGCCCTGGGGGCTTGCTCCGCCTTGGCTGCTGGCTCGCTACACACACACACACACACACACACACACACACACACACACACACACACACACACACACACACACACACACACAACCAATGCACAACAAGTTGACAGCAATGCAGCATCAGATACTAGCCGTCACGCCACGGTGTGCTCGCAAACCTGCAGCCGATCGCCGACTCACCTTGGTCTCAAGCTCACCAAGCTCCCCTGCATCGCCCTATGATTCCCCGCCATGTGAGCCGCATGTCCCATGAAAAGCTCGAGAGACCAGCCGCCACAGCGACCATGTGCCGAGAAATTCTCTGGCTCTCGCATCGAGCGCCACCCTGCCTGTAGCTGCATGTCCGCCAGTAGCCACCTACCTCATCGGTATCAACATCGACAAAGGCCACGTCGTCCTGCGCCTCGTGCACACGTCCATCCTCATCATACTCGGCATCGTCCAACGCCACCTCCTGCATATGCCCTCTCGCCTCCATGATGCCGACGCCTCACCAAGGCCACGCCACAAGCTCGCCCCACCAACCACCAGACGCCTCAAACTGGCACCGCCACGCTGATGACACGACGCCTCGAACAAAATTATTTCTCTGTCTGTCTGTGTGTGTGTGTGTGTGTTTCTCTTTAAATCTCTCTCTCTCTCTCTCTCTCTTTCTCTCGCGCTCTGATTGATTTTAGAGGGATGGATTTTAAAATTTCTAGTATTGTGGAGCGCCGAGCTCAGGAGGAGTCATCCAGATGTTCGAGGTTCCTCCAACCTGGCTGCATCACACAACTCAATCCTCACGATTGATGCGAATCAGGCAAAGATGCGATTCATTGTTTGTAGACTTAATTTTCCGGCCAAGGCATCATTTTTCATCAGCAAAGGACCGTGCTGCGTTGCGTCCGACAGAGCTCGGCTTGCGGAGAAGACGCGTCCAGCCCTTTGGGTCCCCACCCTCGTGCCTTCTTGACAACATGCAGTAGAATCACCACGATGACGCCGAGGAGAAGGTGGAAGGGATAAGAAATGAAAGAAGGATCGAAAACGAGACCAGAGGCAGGAAGGGAGAGCGCGAGCGCAAGAGGACAAGGGAGAGAAAAGATGGGGAGGGACAAAACTCGACGTCAAGGTGGTTTACACAACGCCGGGCAGGTGAAAAAAAATGAGAGGGCAAAAAAAAAGCGGGGGAAAAAGAAAAAAACGGCAATCAACAAAACCTGCTAAACAAGTTAAGGAAAAGGACAAAACAAGAGTCATGGGCATGAAAGATACCAATCCGCCGCGCCCGTGGGACCAGCGGGTCCGAACAAAAAGCCACCAGAAATAAGCTCTAGACCGCCTCGCGGATGCACAGAGTTTTATTGATCTGGAAGCATATACAGGTGAAAGGAGAAAAAAAGGAGAGCTGGGCACACTTCTTAAGCCGTGGCGGTGCGCTTGTAGTTCTTGTCAGCGTCGACATGTTGGGTCGCCTTGACACACTTGGCCATGGTCACTGAGGCGCGAGAGATGGGGTCGGTCATGTAAAAGTCGCGGAGCTCCTTCTGCTCAACCGTGAGAGGCGTCTTGCTGACCGCCTGCTTGGTGGCCATGCTGGCCGCCGTTTGGGCAAAGTTGGCCGGCTCCAACTGATCGTACTTGACCAATTGAGGCGCGACCTGAGCCATGCGCGCACGCAAGGTGAAAATGTCATCGTAAGGCAGCTGCTGTGTTGCGAAGGAGGAGATGGCGCGGACAATCTCCCAGTCCACGCGTGCAGCGCCGGGGGGCGTCACGGCACGACGAGTCATCTGCGAGCGGCCCTCAGTGTTGACAAAAGTGGCATCCTTCTCCGTGTAGGCAGCGCCGGGCAGGATAATGTCAGCCAGAGCAGCGCCACGGTCGCCGTGCGAGCCCTGGTAAATCACGGTCTTGCCCTTGAGCTCCTCAGCATCAACGTTGTCAGCGTGCATGAGGTACACAACCTCGGCATCCTTGAGGTCGGGCTGGGGCACGTAGCCCAGATCAAGAGCCGCAACCTGACCGGCTTGGCGCTGGAGGGTGCTCAGCACCTTCCAGTCGGCGCTGTCGAACGACTTGGAAGTGGAGGCCAGGTGCTGGCAAGCAGCGAAGAGAGCATCGGCGTCCTCACCCTGCAGGGCGCCGGCACCGACAATGAGCATGGGACGCTTGGCCTCGGCCCAGCGCTTGCTAAACGCGTGCTTGCCCTGGGCAATCTGCTCAATCACATCGGCGCTAGCACCAAGGTGCTTATGCTCGTAGGTCAGATCAACGTCCTCGCCCACCAGGGCCACGTCGAGCTCGTTGTGGACAAAGGCCTTGCGGATGCGAGTGTTGACGAGGGGGGCCTCGAAGCGGGGGTTGGTGCCGACCAAGACGACCAAGTCGGCCTCTTCGATGCCGTTAATGCCGTTGTTGAAGATGTAGTTGCTGCGAAAGTCAGTGCCACCCGAGCCCATGGGGAAGCGCTCCTCGGTGTACAGACGCTCCACGCCAGTCACGTTCATGAGGTCCTTGAGAGCCACAAGAGCCTCGGCATCGGCTTGGCCGCCAGCCACAACGGCAATCTTGCTGGGATCGACACTGGCGAGCGTTTCCACAACGCGCTCGAGGGTCTCTTCCCACTCGGCGGCCTGGAGCTTGCCGTTCGGTCCACGAACGTAAGGCGTAGTGAGACGCTGGCGTTTGAGGCCATCGTAAGCAAAGCGTGTCTTGTCGGAGATCCACTCTTCGTTGACATCATCGTTGACGCGAGGAAGGATACGCATGACCTCGCCGCCGCGGGTGTTCACGACAATGTTTGAGCCCACGGCGTCCAGAGTATCGACCGACTCAATGCGGCGCAGTTCCCAGGGACGAGCAGTAAAGGCGTAGGGCTTGGAGGTCAAGGCGCCGACGGGGCAAAGATCAATGACGTTGCCAGAGAGTTCAGAGTGGAACATCTTCTCGATGTAGGTGCCAATCTGCATGCTGTTGCCGCGACCGGTCGTACCGAGCTCGTCCACACCAGCCACCTCAGAGCCAAAGCGGACACAGCGTGTGCAGTGGATGCAACGGTTCATAATGGTTTTGATGAGAGGGCCAATGTTCTTGTTCTCGACCGCACGCTTGCCATCACGAGGGTGGAAGCGGCTACGATCGCTGCCAAAGGCCATCGACTGATCCTGAAGGTCACACTCGCCACCCTGGTCGCAGATAGGGCAGTCGAGAGGATGATTGACCAAGAGAAACTCCATCACACCCTCGCTGTGGATTGAAAACAACAAGTCAAGAGTCACGGCCGAAAATGAGTTGACAGATGATGTGAGCAGGCAGCATTGTGAACGCGAAAAATGAAACAAATAGAGACGAAGAGGGGGTGTTCATGGTCGACGAAAAGCTTGTCGCAGGGCATACCGGGCAGCCTTGGTCTTGGGGGAGTCAGTCTTGACGCGCATGTCAGGCATGACGGGCATGGCGCACGAGGCGACGGGCTTGGGGCTCTTCTCAACCTGAGAAGACAAAAAAAGCAGGAAGGAACCGAAATCCTGGTCAATCGGAATGTCTTGGTATCGGTCGACGGAAGATGCCGCCATGCAGTAGGCACCCAAGCACCGAAGGCCCCTAACATGTACTTGGCTCGAACATGTGGGGTGCAAGTGTGTGTAAAAAAAAGTTATCATATGCGCACCTCGACGAGACACATGCGGCAGTTGCCGGCAATGGAAAGGCGGTCATGGTAGCAAAAGCGAGGAATCTGGACACCGGCCTCTTCGCATGCCTGAAGGATGGTGGTTCCGGGCTCGACGTGAACCTCCGTTTCATCGACAAAGACGCGGACAAGCTTGTTCTCAGTTGACTGATGGCGCACTGCTCATCATGGCATGCAAGGTGTGCGGGAGAGACACACAAATGAGTCAAGGCCCAAAAAAAAAAAAAGTGGAGCAAGAGGAGATGACATGGCAGCGGCGCAGAAAAGGTGTTGGTGATGGGTGTGGAAGAGACGATAACAAGAGTAGTCAAGGTGCAGGTGACGAGGTTGTGTGCTTGTGAGAACTGGTCGGTAAGGGCACTGATGGCCTCTCAACAACTCGAGGGATAAAACCCCTCTGAGGTGCTGACCGCAAAGCTGAGCTGAGCGCGCCAGTTGGCGGCGGCTGTTGAAACGACCCCCAGTGTGGGCCGGACAAACAGCACCGAGCCAGCAACGCCCCAACCAAGCAAGAGGCCAAACCCACCCTCCAAGGCACCGGTTGCAGACAACAAGCCTTCTGGAAGCGAGGGTCTTGGTTGAGAAGCACACAGCTCGCTCCGTCGCTCGCTCGCTCAGTCTGTGTGTGTGTCTCTCTCTCTCTCTCACTCTCTCACACACACACAGAGACAAGCCTTTGTAACATTGTCATTCTTTTGTCTTTGGCTCTTTTCATGCGCCAGAGACAAGAGATGACATGACCAAGGGCAGCCGGAAGATGGGGCTGCCTGGCGGTGAAGGCGGTTGAATGGGGGATCCAAAGTGGGGGCGCTGGATAGCATGGTGTCTAAAGTATATGAATCTGGTCTTCAACTTACCGGCTGCATTTACGCCCAGTCGGAGCATCGCGCTGCCATTTGCCAGGGACCGGCGGGAGGCCGCCTTGACCAGTAGTGTCGCCGCCATGGTGGTTCTTTTGTTTCGCTCCCTGAAAACGACAATGGCGTACACACACACACACTACACACTACACACTGCACCGAGGCGTTACCACATGTGACTGAGTATTTCTTTTGTTCAGGGGATCAAATTCTTGTGGAAACAAAAGAAAAACGGGGGCTTGAAGCACTTTGGTCCTTTGAGGTTTTTTTTCACCCTTGCCCTAACCCTTTGTGAGGTTTGAACTTTCCTCTGACTTGACGCTCTCGCTTCTCCTCTCCCTCTCTCTCTCTCTCTCTCTCTTCTCTCAAGTTGAAGCGCATCTAAATTTGAATCAAATTAGCGGGAAAAATAAGAGAAGAAGCTATTCAGAAATTTGTATAGTTCCACGCGGAGAAAACCGGGATAGAATGATAGCAAGTTGGCACCTCATGCCTTTTCCTCCTCCCAGCCGGACCTGCAACCATGTACGTGCGCTTCGCTCGTCTTGTTCCCCGTCCTTCTGGCCATGGTGCCCTCTTGTTCCGTTTTGGCAGCCGGGATGGGAGCGATGATTGGACTGGTTGGAGGCCATGGGAAAGGGCAGGGAGAGCCGCAGTGCTGGATGGAGGTCCTTGTCAGGGGCACGTTGGCGTGCATCGGCTTTTCTTTTCTGAGGAGGGGCTGAGGCACTCGTGCGCGAGCTCGTCCTTTGGACTGTGTCGGCTGGACTTTTGATGATGATGGAGCAGGACGTTGATCAGCAGGCAGGCAGGCAGGCAGGCAGGCAGGCGGGTGGGGAGATGAGACTATATCAGCAACGCAGCCAAACGTGGCACGGAATGGACGCTGCCTTGTTTGCGCGAGCATGAACCTGTTGCTGACTGGCGAGCTGGTGTTGTTGGTTTGTAGGGGTATCTCGCGCGACAAGTTCCACAAGCGGCGCCGCACCGGTGAGTTATCCCACTATCCACCCAAGCCTGCTCCTGCCCATGTGTGGTTGAACCCACGCCGGGCCCAGACGTATACAACACTCGCTCAAGTTGCGCACAGGTCCCACGATCTTGGTTGCTGCGCTTCTGGCTCACGTCGGTTTCTTGTGTGTCTGCGTACATCCCATGCGGTTGTGATGACTAACTAGGCGCCCGCGTTGCGCCTATTCGCATGAAGCGCAAATACGAGCTTGGTCGTCCCCCGGCGCTGACCAAGCTTGCGGGTCCTAAGCGCGTGCACGAGATCCGCACCATGGGGTGAGTGTTTCAATCGGCAATTGCAGCTGCTCGCTTTTCTGTTGATTTTCAGACGGTGGTGGCACGCCGACGAATGGCAGAGCTTGTGCCATACGATGTTGCGTGGTTTTGTTTTCTCACGCATTCTTTGATTCATTTTGCAGTGGCAACCGCAAGTTCCGTGCTCTTCGTCTTGAGACCGGTAACTTCTCGTGGGGCTCTGAGGGCGTCTCCCGCAAGACTCGTCTCATCGATGGTGAGTGTTTTTTTTTCTGTATCTACACCCGAGCCGCAACTGGTCCCCTTTTGCCTTTCTCCTGTTTTTGCCCAGTCAGTTTCTCACTTGTTTTGATTGTTTGCGTGCGACCTTTTTTGGGGGGCTCTTGTGCTTACAGTCGTCTACAACGCGTCGAACAACGAGCTTGTGCGCACCAAGACTTTGGTGAAGAACGCCATCATTGTCGTTGATGCCACCCCCTTCAAGCAGTGGTACGAGACCCACTACGGTCTTCCCATTGGCAAGAAGAAAGGTGGTCGCAACCAATCCGAGGTTGACGAGGCCATCCTCAACAAGCCCCGCTCCAACCACCTCAAGCGCAAGCTCGAGGAGCGCAAGGCTGGTGCCAAGGTCGATGTCCATCTCGAGGAGCAGTTCGCCGCTGGTCGTCTGTACGCCTGCGTGTCGTCCCGCCCCGGCCAGAGCGGTCGCTGCGACGGCTACATCCTGGAGGGCAAGGAGCTCGACTTCTACCTCCGCAAGCTCCGCTCCCGCCGTTAAACTGGGCGCGTTTAACAGACGAACGCCGGCCTAGCGTGCTGCCTCGCCTGGTTTTCTTTTTTGCGGGAGGGTGTGGTCCCGGTGTTTGTTGCGTCAAAACAACAAGAAAAATAATTGGAAGGCCTTCCTTTCACTTTTTCACAGCTTGTCATTTCTCTCGACTTGATGCTCAACGACTGCCGGCCAGTCTCCTTCCTTCACATACGGAGCGAGTTTTGCCAACCAGAGTAACAGTGTCATAAGAAAAACACCATGGTCCAACGCTGTCGTCAACCCGTCCACCAAACACACCACACCAGAGCATGTCAGACACGTCCATGCTCGCGCACCGCAGAGTCGACAAGATGCAGAAGCTTCCAGCACCCCAAGGCCAACCCACACACAAACCCGACGAACAAGACGAAGACAATCTCACACTTGTCGTGGTGTGTGTGTGTGTGTGTGTGTGTGTGTGTGTGTGTGTGTGTGTGTGTGTGTGTGTGAAATTATGAATTTCGGAATTTTTTTCTCTCTCTCGTGCGCGCGTGTTGCGTGTGTGTGAGCGATTTGCGCGGGATGAGCTGCTAGAGTGTCGTCGTGAGAGGGCGGTGAGATCAAGGGGGTGGGCACCTGGGTGCAGGGGGCTGGCATTGGGGGACGTGTGGACAACAATGAGTCTGTCACCGCGACCTCCAGCTTCGCCGCCGCCGGCGCGGCAGCAGCGGCGACCGAAGAGCGGACACCCCTCGAGTATGGGCCGCACGAGACCGGCCGACAGTTTGCGGCGGCCCCATACGGCCTGTCCAGCGCATTTGAGTCGGCAGCAGCTTCGACCACAGAACCAACTGAGCGTGCCTGACAACGATTTTGTTGTCGAGGCTGTGCAGCAACTCGGACGTACCCGCACAGGGCTTCGCTCCGCCACCCTTGACCGCCAACACAGCGGCTTTGGCCAGCCTCCTCGGGACGCGTCCCTGGATCGCTCCCGCGTGGGTTCCCCATATCGGGTCAACCTTCTTGATGATGCCCCACCCCGGCGTGTCCAGTCTGCCCCCAGTTCCCCACGACGGGTAAAAACGCCGCCGCCGCCGCCTCCTCTTCTTCTCTCTCTCTCTCTCTCTCTCTCTATTTGTTTCTCTCCCCTACCTCCGCATCTTCACTCTTGGCCCTCTTGCACGTCTAGGTGCGCTCGGCCCGATCGGCAACGCGACAACCGCAAGACGCAAGCTCAAGGCCGCACACAGCCATGACCACCACATCTCATCATTGGGTCCGATACCCGGACCCCCTCTTCTCGCGTTGAGCCACCTTGCCCCGGTGCTCACGCCCGCGCGTCCCCCTGCCCCCGCCTTGGTCAACAGGGCACCATGCGCCCAGCTACCGCTGGCAGTCTCGGGCAAGCCACACGCACGCGTCTTGAAGTGACTCAAGAAGTCGATGGCGTCACCAAGCGATTTTGCGAACTACGGTCAGCCTACGTGCCAACCTGCCGTGGGTGCGTGTGTCTTGCCATGTGCGCGCTCCACGTGCTCAACTTGCCCTGGCTGCCCTGGCTCCCCAAACAGAGCCGCCCTCCGTGCCCTGGCCAGTGAGGGTGTTGACGCGCGCAACGCCAAGGTCCAAGAAGCTCGTCAGCGAATCACTCAAGAACGGCACGTTATTCATACACGCCGTTCTCGACCCTCTGGCCCCCGCCTGGTACGAGCAGATACTACGCGTTCCACCTGCGCTTGATCGGGCCACACTTGCTCATGCTCTTTACTCATTCCCTCCTTTTTGCACGGGCCTGTGTTCATCCCCAAAGAGCTTCATCCGCCCATCGGCCGAGGCTGTAGAACCCGTGCCGCCGACGCCTCCTCCGGCGTCACCGCCCCCGCCTGAACCGACGCCAGAGGCCGACGCGTCTGGTGATGAAACCTCACGTCGTGAATCAGCCGTCAGTGTCACCAAGCGCCGCTCCATGGCAGGTGGGCATTTTGATCAGAGTTCACGACACACGACCTTGCGCTGAGTGGATTGATACTTGTCACTAGGCGTGGCACGACAATCCAAGGCTCACTGAATTGTTTTGCTGGGCCCATGGGCGGTCTTTGACTCGTGCAGCCATCCGAGACATGCAAACAGACTTTTCCGAAATGCTGGACCGACTCCAACGCCGCCGCGCGCACTCACTCAAAATGCTGCAAGAGGAACTCAAGAACAACGAGTCACCGCAGGCGCCCGATCCGCAATTACTCGCTGCCGCTACCGCCGCCGCTGCTACTGTTGCAGTTACTCCCCCCGATGCTGTTGAACCTACTGCCAGCCACGACCCGTCCGACCTTGCAGATGCCGAGGCTACTCGGTCTTCAGCTCCTGCTCGACGACGCTCCAGCAAGGGAGCTGACGCCGCGCAGCTGCTTGAGCGCCCGGATTGGGTTAAGGCATGGATTCAAGGTGTTGTCCAGGAAGCCACGCAGCAAGCTGCGGCCACCCGCCCTGATGAACCTGCAGCGAGTGCTGCTGCGCCCATCGAGACCAATGCCTGGATGCAGCCTTTTGTTGAGGGCGTGGTTCAAGATGCCACCCGTACCGTCTTGGAGACCGGTTTCATTGCAAAAGAAACCACCGTCCAGCCAGCATCCAGCCCGCTACCGGAGCCGGGTCTGGAGGATGACGAGCCAGTGGACTTGGAAGAACCTGTCTGGCTAGAGCCTTGGATTCGCAATTTGGTTCTCGCAGCCTTTGAAGAAACCCAACAACTCCCATCCCCAGCAACAGACACATCAGCCGAGACAGCGGATGCTGCTCACCCTGCACCCAGTCTGAGCTGGATCCAGTCCTTTGTCAGTGCTATCGTGCACGACGCAACACAACGCGCTCTACAATCAACATGAACAGCCTCGCCTGGTGCTCCCCCTTTGCCTTGCCCCACTGAACCGCCAAAACGAACTCGACAAGCGACCGTTACTGCGTCCCAAAAAGCTTACGCAACAACGCGCTTCGAGTGTGCGAGCGAGACGATGCAAACAGTTAGAAAGACAATCACAATTAATCCGTGCAAATTTCACCAATCATGCGTCCAGGCCCACACAAAGGGAATCACCAATTATAAAGGAAGAAAGATGGGCATAAATTTCAGAGTGGAAAGAACCCGCAGGGTTGAACAGATGGGCTTTTATGGCCCAAACAGATTGGATCACGCGCACGATCACCCAGTGCAGAACCATGCTTACTTCATCGAGCAAAATTCACGACACAACAGACGGGCAAGCAAGATGTGAAAGACCACAACGCCAATCACAAGGAGGGCGACCAAACCTGAACTAAAACTGTGCGTTTCGGGTGCAATGCCAAACATGTGCAGACTCTCCTGGGGAGTGAAGACAGCTGCCGCCCTGCATCCAGAAGAATCAAGTTCAGAAAAAGCAAACAAAGGGCCCGCCCCCACGTGAATCCGAGTCCCGCACGAACATATGCCTCAGGCCTTGTCCAGGATTTGTCAATCCACAAGGACTTACCCTTGGCTGGTAGTGGAAATGTAGTGGGCTTCACTGCTGGAAAGTTCGAGGCTGGCATGGGCTCCAAGGATTTGTGCCTGGTTGTGGAGGCTTTTGGTGACATAAAGCGCTTCGCGAAGTCGATCGCCCCGACTCAACAGCATCTCTTCTTGATTTTTGACCAGATGCAGCACATGGTCATCAAAATCAATATGATTGCCCCGCAGCTCCAATCTATTGGTGCCATCCGAGGCATCCATCGACAGCAGACCAAGACCAAGACGAGCGAGTCAGTATCTACCGGAGGAAGAAAAAAAAAAGCAGTTTGACACCCCACATCTTCTAACCCTAAGGGCATGCTGAATGACGGGCTGATGCGCAGGTTGTTTTTGCGTCCCGTAATCCCAAGCACCATACGCGTAAATGCCTGGTCTACCGTCACTGCGCGCTGGCGGCCGGGCTCATGAAAGTTGGGGCAGCCATTCCGATGCAGACGCAGCACCATGCGATCCCGCCACTCGATCAGATCTGCCGTTCCCGAAGGCAGCGTCCACTCGGAGGCATCCCAATTAACTGGACCATTATAGCAACTGCAAGCAAATTATCAGTAATGTTTGTGAGCGAGGCAGGTACAAGGAACGTATGCTCATAAGCCACCCATGCTGTGCCCAGTCACGGCAAATCGTCTGCTGATGACAAAATGAGCAGGCACAACAGGCACGTCGAGATAACGTACCCAGCAGCGGTGGCATCCAGCTGGTCATGCAGAGTGCGCCCGGCAAAGTTTTGGCCCAAATCCACCACCTCAAACGCCGTAGTGATGTAGTAGCTGCTGGCAAGCATGGCATGAACAGCAGAGGTGTAATGTTGATTTTGGTAGCCATTGGCCTGCAAATGTGACTCAAAGAGCTGATGGTGAACAGCCTCGTGGCGCTTGAAGACGTCGTCATCTTGCAGTAGTTGCTTGATAACGGCGGCCACGCGGGCTGCTGAAGGCGGCATCTTTGTGGGATTGGCTGTGAAAGCCACATCTGTAAAACAAAAAAAAACGGGTGCACATGCGCAACCATGACTATGCATCCCCGTGGTTGGAACGATGATGGAGGCGTTGAGGCTTACGCTCATCCGAGGGGATGACCACCAGGGAATGGATCATAATGGCCGTGGCAGAGCCACCACCGGAGAGACTGATGTTGTTTGGGAGGCTGGAAGAGATGTGAAACAGCGCTGTTCCATCAGCCGTAATTTGTTGCCAGAGATCGAGTCCTGCTGCCAAACTTGCCGGCAGTTGCTGGGGCATTGGTGTCATGGCCAATACAAGGCATTGAATCAGTACAAAGCTAAATCAAGAAGACGGAGGCAAGAAACGAAAGAAAGCAAGAGCTCTGGGCAACACACCGATGCGTCACTGGAATTGAGAGCCGTTTGGCGTTGCAGGTTGACCGTGGCACCGATGCCCGCGCGATTATGGACGATAACCTGTTGAATCAAGACGCTTGGCCGTTGTCGGGGCACAAAGTAGCGTAGCTCTGCCGTCTAATGGCCGGCACGCAGTGGAATACGTGTGCCGTTAAAAATGAAGAAACAGGGTGCACATGGGGCATCATCGGCATGACCGGAACGTACAACACAAGCATCGGGGATGACTGGATCTCTGGGACCACGCATGACGGCAGGCTTGGTATCCAGTGCTTGCAGGCGAACGACGGAATGTGCTGCCCTCTCCACAAAGCGTTCTGCAACCAGCTCAACGAGGCAGGGATTAGATGATTTGCCATGTTGCAGACCAGAAGCAAAGTCCAGGCTCAAACCTTCGTGTAGCACATGCATGTTAATGGTGACAAGGCCTGGGATTTTGGCTGCAATTCTACGGACCAGGATTTTGGAGAGACGAGCGAGAGGTGAGGAGCTGGTAGGCCTGGAAATTGAACCAGGGTGCAGCATGCATCGTACATGCGTCCTTCGGCTTGAATGGTATCTGGGGCTGCGTTGGAGGTGGGTTGATCAATGCCACGAAACAAGGCGTCACCTGACACTGCATCAACCATCAGATAGCCGTTGCCTGCACGTTGGTGCACGTTGGGCGTGCGCGACCGGGCGTCAAGATGAGGCATGCGCACACGTTCAAGGGGGAACAACAAGAACATGCAAGCGACTCCTGGCGCGTGCGTAGCTATGCGGGATGTGAGCGGCGCTCGACCGAGCAAGGAGCGCACCAAGCAAAAGTGGCATGCTCTCGTTCATGGAGAGTGGAGGCTCGGAAAGCTACGAGACATGTGGGGTGGACGGGATACCATGATCACACGTCAGTGACCGTGCACTAACAAGGATGGTACAGAGAACAGATGGCGTGACTGTTGCTTTCGCTGCCAACACAAGTCAAGCGGACCTCTTTGAGAAGACGTGCACGTTCACGACGAAAGCAGTCGGTCGAGGGCGCCACAAAACTGGCCACTGCACAGGTGTGGTGAAGACATGATGAGCTCTGAGAAAATTCCAGCCTGCACGGCAATACAGGTTGGAAAGAGAGGAGCGAATGCACAAGATACGAACCGGAGGAGACGTTGGCTGAATGTGAGTGTAGCCACCAATAAATCGTCATGCAGACGATCAGGCCAGCCAAGAGCTGATACCGGCGCGACCTGTGACCACCACCAACCACCATACCACGTCATCGAGACCTGAAAGAGACGACAAGACAAGACAAGATTGCGCGTGCCAGAAGGCAGCAAGCATCACCGCAACGAGTTTAAGATCCCGGCGTACCGATGGTGCAGTATCTCAAACATGAAGTGCTTGACCTGCCCAGCCGTGGCCTTCACGGCCGCCGGAGGGCTCGGCATGATCCTGTTGATGCAGGGCTCAGTGCTCGCCAACGCGACACTGACGTTGACGATACCAACTCATCCGAAATCCGATCAGCACCCGGTAGCAAAGATACCCATCAACCCCAGCCCCAAGCACACGAAGCACATGAAGATAGGAGGCAGGATCAAGGCCGTCAAATGCAGCAGCAGCAGCAGCAGCAGCAGCAGAGGGCACAGTAGCAGAGGGCACAGCAGCCAAAACGGCCACCCACACACTCGGTTCAAAAAAAATAAAAATTAATTTCACGCAACTGATCAGATGCAGAAAATTAAATTTTTTTGTTGGACTGTTCCTTTTGCCTTTGCTGCTTTTCTTTGGCCGCTCCTCTTTGGCTCTCTGCTCAACTCTCGCTCGAACTCTCGCTCAAACTCTCTCTCTCTCAGACTCTCTCTCTCTCTCTCAGACGCTCTCTCAAACTCTCTCAAACTCCCACTCAAACTCTTCAAGCTTTCTGGCCTGCCGACTTGGTTTACAAGGTGCAAGGAGAACTTGAGTTGCAAATATACGATAGGATTGACATCACAGAAGTCCCAGGGACGAGAACACGAGGGGGAAACAGACAACGCCATCTCGGGGGCGTTGCAACAGGACAGCACAAACCAGAGTGGCACGTCCAACAGACGGCCTAGACGACATAGCGACCAAGTTAGTGCAGGCAGAAGCCTTGGACGAACAACTGGCATCTTGGACATTGTGGATCGCCCGTGAGATAGGCCTTAGCGTGGGGGATAGCCGCTGGGGTAACCCGGGGGAGCTTGAGCATAAGGCTGCTGCTGCTGCGGGTAGCCACCCTGTTGTGGGTATCCGCCTTGTTGTGGGTAGCCGCCCTGCTGCGGGTAACCGCCCTGCTGCGGGTAACCGCCCTGCTGCGGGTAACCGCCCTGCTGCGGGTAGCCGCCCTGCTGGCCGTAGCCTTGGGGGGGAGCACCGTGGCCCTGGGGCGCGGGCTTGGGCTGACCAGCCTGAATCGCCGGGTAGCCGCCGCCAGCACCCGACTCGGCATGATGGTGACCCATCTTGCCCCCATAGTCATTGACGGTGGGGTGAAGCTTGAGCTCGTGATGGGTCTGGGCCTGCATACAGGCCTGGGTGAGGCAGTACACAATGTCAGCGATCAAATCGACAATGTCGGCAATGGTATCGAACGTCGAGTCGATCATGGCGGCAATATGGCAGATGCACTTGAGAAACTGCATAAAGTTGTTGAAGCGGATAATGCGCTGTTGATCCCGAAGAGCGAGGGGGCAAGTGAGAAAAGGAAAGGGCGCAAGGTGGTGGAGAGTGATCCAATCGTGTCAAGCAGCTAAACTGTGCCTGACAAGCCGGGCGGGGAAACAAACGTTATCGCAGGGATCCGTCTTGATTTGGCGCTCGACTTGCACATAGATGCGGGTGGCCGAGATGGCGCAGCTCTCGCAGCAAGTAGCCTAGGCGAGCAGCGACAATGTGTCGGTCAAGTTGATGGGGCCGAGATGCTAAGGGGGGCGGGGCAAGATCAGCCTGCATGCCGCGCCTACCTCCAAGCACATGCAAAGCTGAGGGCAAGACTCTTGGCCAGGCACGTATTGCATGCACTTGTTGCAGCAAAAGCCCTGGCAGCAGCTGTACTTGGACCAGTCCTTGTTGAGCGCGAGGTAGCGAAGGTAGATGGCGCAGCAGCAGGGGCAGAGCATGGCACCACAGCAACCACCGGGGTTGTTGCAGCAGGCGCGCATCATGCCTAGATGGCATTCATAGGGAAGCGGGGCGATATGAAAAGAGGCCGAGGCCGAATGTATGCGTGTGCAACATGGTGGAGACACGCCATGCTTGACACATGGGGTTCAAAACGAAAACCAAAGGGGTTCAAAACGCGGACGCACCCGTCTCCCATTCGCGGGCTTGGAAGGAGTTGTAGGGATCCTCATCCACGGGGTCACCTGGGCGTCGGGTGAACGGGGACGTCCGGTGCACGGGGATGGGATGAGGTCGGCATCATAAAAGGCAGGTGGTACCAAAAGGCTTCCGGCCGGGCGACTTGGTTTTCGTACCGGAGAAGAAGCACATGACGGCGGTCGAGGCTTGAAATCACACACAAAGTGGTGCAATGAGAGGGGAGGAATGCGGTCAATCCGCGGTGGCACCGTGAAAAGAACCGAAAAGAGGCGACAGAGTAGGCTCTGCCAGAGCTGAGCCCGCGCCACAAGCGAGTCAGTCAGTCAGTCAGTCACTCGGGCGTTGCACAAAAGAGCAGGCGAAGCAAATTGAGCAAGAGAGAGAGAGAAAGAGATGCGAGTGTGATCAAGAACAGGTGTGCCTTGCCCCTTTGAGAACAAGTTTCCAACTCTTGGCGCGAATGGAAAGCCGACTGCCGGCTGCCATTGATGGCGGGAAGCTTAAAGGGGGCGGGCGGGTTCTTCAAAACGAGCATCGCGAGTCGGCGACAACTCATCAAATAAAAAGTGCCCACGCTACCCGTCACATCTCCCTTGAATGCTATCCACTGCCACTTGCCTCCTGTGATCGCCAGTGAGGTCGCATTGATCCCCTTTGGATCCCCGACCGCGCTGCCATTTCACACACACACACTGAACAGCTCTCTCTCTCTCTCTCTCTCTCTCTTCGCGCGCCTTACCTTTGCTGTGTTATAAGTGTGACTCTTGTTATACTTTGCAGCTGTGTTTAGTGTGTTGTTTGTTATACTTTGACTTGTGTGTAACTTTTATGTGGTAGCGGCAATGCCAGTGGTACATGTGCAAGCCGTGGATGAAACGTCTGACAATCGTGCATGGAATTTCGATGAATTTCAGACGAATTTTCGTTGAATATTTACGTGCAGTGGTGTGTGGCTGATTTCGCGTGTGTCAACCCTCGTTTTTGGCAGTCAGACATGCTTTGATCCAGAGGATGGAAGCTGTTGATGCACTCGTGGCCAGATGCTACTGCTTGGCTGAATGACTTTGAAGAGGACTGAGCGAAAAGCAATGCCAAGCAATGCCAAGTCATTGTATGGACTGAATGTGTGCAAACACACAAGCAAAAGTATACTAACAAAGTGATCGTTCAAGTCATGGAGCGGAAAATGGCAGGGGTTGCGTTGGTACATCTTTGTACAAGGCACAAGGCGCCGCTGGCACGTAAAAACAGCCTGTACATACACACTCTCTCTCTCGTATTCCCTGTTGGCTACTCGGCTCTCGGTAACGCCTCTTTCTGACCGCTCTGTTTGTCTCAGTTAGTTTAGAGAGAGAGAGAGAGAGAGAGAGAGAGAGAGAGAGAGAGAGAGAGAGAGAGAGAGAGAGAGAGAGAGAGAGAGAGAGAGAGAGAGAGAGAGAGAGAGAGAGAGAGAGAGAGAGAGAAGAGAGAGAGAATTGGTTAGAGAGAGAAGAACAAACACAGAGAGAGAATTGGCTAGAGAGAGCAAACAGAGAGAGAGAGATAGAATTGGTTAGAAAAAAAAGCACAACTACCACATGTAACAACAAGGAACCAAAGAACCAAGTGGAGGGCATAAACAGCAAAGGCACAAAGGAATACAGTAGCACGAACAGAGAGAGATTTTTGTTCTGGTATGAGCAGTGTGTGGTTCTGGTGTATGCAGTGTGTGGTTCTAGGGGTGTGGTTCTAGTGTATGGAGCGTGTGTCGAGTGTGGAGAACATGGTTCTCGTGTGTGAGGCAAGCGTGTGGCGTGTGTGGAGTATACACAGCATTGCAAACGCGTGTGCAAAGTTATGCTGATGGACGTTTGGGGTTGGGGCGGTTCGATCGTTGGACATGTCGTCGGGTCGGGTCGGGGTACGTCTGAACCGCCTGCCCACACCACATCCACACAAAAGGCACAGAGTTGGTCTTGTCTTTGAATTCGTTTTCACATGTCAACTCAACATTTACAGGACGGCGTTCGGTTCATTGGTCAGGAAGAGCAGAGGATTGCACGTGGCACGCGGACGTCGGGACGTTTCATTTTGTCGTTGAGAAAACCAAACACCGAAAAAGGACCATGAGAGATTGAGATGAAATGAGAAACGAATCGAGAGAGGCAGAGAGGAGAGTGTATCGAAATAAGAGAGATCCTCTTGAGACGGGAGCGTTTCAGAGAACATGAAGACATGTGTGAAGCTAATCAGATAGAATTCAAGGCATATGAAGAGAAGTGCTCCAAAATGAGATAATTCTCAGAGAAAGTCACGTACAAGAGCCATGTCCCAGAGGGATACACAAAATCCAGAGGCATTTCAGAGAGAAGGAGAGCGCTCGTGCACCGTTGTGTCCTTTTTTGCAGAGCACGCGACCACAGTGATCCGCCCACCTCCACCATTTTACAAGATCGCGCGCGCGCGTGTGTGTGAGTGTGTGTGCGTGTGTGTGTGTCCTTTTGCGGGCTCTGAAGGCGGGCGGTGAGGGGTACAGGACGGTTGTGGATGAGATCCAGAGGTGGCTGGCTGTGGCTGTGGGAAATTCAGAAGAGGCGGTAGGACGTGTGCTTTTTTTTTTTTGGAACACGTGCGACGGGCGGGTCAGACGCGTGTGGACTTGACGGGACGGCGAGATCCGAGGTTATCGCGGTTGCCACTGCCATCTCAACATCGCCACCGCGACAATGTTGATACTACTCAAGTATATCTTGCCCTCGATCTGTGCGCTTTGCATGATGGGCAGCCTGTACGTTCTACGATCGGGGCAAGATCTCAACGATGCGGTCCTTATGTCGGAGAAGGCTTACCGCACCACGTTTGAGCGCGAAAGTTTTTACGAAAGCCGCGGCCAAACCGAGGAACTGCCGCACAATTGGCTCTACCGATATGTGGATCGGATCGTTGTCGCCACCCTTCCTGAGCGTCGCGACCACGTGGAACATATGCTCGACTTTCTGAACATTGACGCCATCCTCTTTGACGTCTACACGGATCAAGACCTGGCCAACGTCACGTTATCCACCACAGAGCAAGCATACGTTACCAAACTCAGCTCCAACTCCAATGGCATCCGCAAGCTCGCCCTTGTCAAGACCAAACGCGACATCTACAAGCACGCGCTCAATGTGAGCGCCGACCGACTCTTGTTCTTTGAAGATGACATTAACCTTGAACTTTTGAGTCCCACAAGCTTGCGGCAACAGATCGAGCACCTTTGGTCTGCTTTGCCCCCTCGCTGGAACGTGTTCAATCTTGGTCGTTGCCTGGCCTATTGCGACTACCAAAAGCCGCTTGGTCACGGTCTGGTACAAGACCTCGCCAACCTCTGTGCACAGAGCATCATCTTCGATCGAGTCGCACTGACGCAGCTGGTCGACGCCTTTGACAACCACCTTTTGCCCATGGGTGACGACCTCCTTCTTGCCCATCTGACCTCGCGTGGTGCCCTAGTCAGCGTGGCCAGCGAAGAACCGCTATTTTTGCAGGACCGCAGTCATATCGGCAGCACCCTTCATTCCGAGGGCACGAAGGATGCAGTCAACGCCCCCATGGTCTGTGCCAATTCCGTTCACATCAAAGGCTTCAAACAACGATACGGGTTGACTGTTGAGCGCTTTCACATGGCAGACCCCACTAATCTCAATGAAACAGTACCCGACCTCTCTACCATCTTAGTGGCCCAAGAATAGATCAAGACCATGGCCCTCTCGCACCCCTCTTTTTTTTTTTTGTTTATCTCATAGAGCATGTTTTCACCCAACCGTGTCCCACTAGTTTTAGTTTGCATATAACCAATGAGTCTTGCAATCGATCGGATTGTTTGACCACGCTTTTCAGCACTTGTCGTTTGCCTTGCCTGTCCCCAACACAGACGACGCCTCCTGTGGCAGTTCGCGGAGGCTCGACTCGGGAACAAAGATACGAACACATGCCCCACATCAGCACATGCGCTTTTTTGAACAGATAAGAGCAAGGGGAGGAGGGCTGGCATGGCACCTGGTTGACTCAGCACCATATATGACCATGCCCTCATGGTAAAGCATGATGCTGTGGAGTAAACGGAACGAAAATGCGGGGGGGCTTTAGAGCAGAGATGCTTCATCCTTGAGAGTTTGAGAGAGAAAGTTTGAGAGAGAGAGTTTGAGAGAGAGTTTGAGAGAGAGTTTGATAGAGAGCTTGAGAGAGAGCTAGAGAGAGAGCTAGAGAGAGTGTGTGTGAGAGTGAGACAACCGGTTTGTGTTTTGCTTTCAACCTTGGTGTTGACTCTGGCTTTTCTTTGGAGATTTTGACAACCTGGCTTGATGGCTACAGTTCTGGCCATGGATGGTACTGTTGTTTGTGTCTCGCTTGGGCCGCTCGGTGGTACTTGGGAACAATGGCGCAACGTGTATTGATTGGGATCGCCATCATCGGGCGATGTGCAAAATCAATGAGCGCCAACGCGTGTCAACAAGAAACGAGCGAGGGGCAGCAAAGTGCCGTGGATCACAACATCTGTGCCAGGTGCTCGACACGAATTGTACGGCGCAGTTCGTCATGGTCAAAGCCGGCAAAGGGTACAAACTGCACCACCTGTCAGCACAAGCAAGCCAGACCATACATGAGTAATCCGCTAGGCTATAAGCCTGGTCACCCACGCCCTCCCCACAACACTAACGCTCTCCGCCATACCCTACGTACATGACTGCCGGGCGTGAGGAAGAAGGCATTGTCTGAAAAGCGGCCCTGAGCCGTGGTGGTCAGCACAACATAGGCAGCTGGCTTCTGGCTGCTCAGCACCACGTCCACTGTGCCATCCGAATGGGTCGAGTCTGATACGGTCACTGTGATATTGGCCGCCGGCACCTGCATGTTGGCCGGCGTTACAAATGGAATAATGTTGTCCGACACGATTTGGCCAGCACCGCTCTGCACCGTGGCACGCAAAAGGGCCTTTGTGCCGTTGAAGTTGGATAAATCCACATTAAACCACTTGGTAATGCCCGCGCCCGTGGCCATGGATACGGTCTGATTGAAGAGGACTGTGCTGCTGCCATCAGCCAAGGCGAGGGACTCGACCACAACCCGCCCCGAAAAGGCCGATGGGCTATCGTTCTTCACGTAACACGTGCCATTTGTGCCACATGTGGCCATAACATCGGCATACACCGATTTCTTCATAAAGTAGTGCAGTGGTTTCCAACGGCCACCAATCACCTGACCCTGCACAGGCGTGCCATACTCGAGGCTGCCCCACCCGCCCGTGGGCCAGATCTCGTTCAGTTGCCACACGAGAATGCCAAACTGGTTGGTGCCGCGGCGGGTCTCGATGTTGCTCTTCATCTCCAGCGCCTGGCCCAGCATGCACTACCAATACAAAGAGCGTCAGTACACCCTGTCACGGACAAGGGCGGAGAAGGAAGAACCCGAGCTTCTTCCCCGACCAGGCGATGAAGCTGCCGCCTACATACCTGATAAAGCTGGCGCTTGAAAGCCGTCTCGCCAGTTGCGTTGAGATCTTGGTCATTGCCAAAATAGGCCTATTGACAAAGTAGGAGCAACACAATAACAAAAGTCAAAGCTCCTTTTAAACACAAACAACGCTGTTGAAGGCCCGTAATTTTTCACAAGCCAGAGCCCACGAACGTAGATGATGCTGTCGCAGGGATAGTTGCGCTGAGCCATAACATTGTCACCTTCACAAGTCGAGGCAAATCCACCTGCGCACACACATCATTCGTAAGCAGCTTCAAGGTGCAAAGCTACGATATCTTCTTCCGCAGCTCATCTGGCCACACATGAGACGGAGGTATGACGGACATACCACTGCATTTATCCCAGGGTTGGCCGGCGTGCACACCCCAGTGCTCTTTGGCGAGTGTGGGCGCCATAGACTCGAAAGAAGACATGACCACGCAACCAAACTCCGAGGCGTACACGTTTTGCAGTTGGGGGCCCGTCTATTGATACCGTCAGCAACGGCATCAGCCCCCATGTCAAACAAAGCGACAAAACAAAAACAAAACAAAAATACGCAAAAAGATTAAAACGCAAGAAGCACACAGACAGTGTTGGTCTGGTATACCCGACACCTTTGGACACCTGCACCCGGCCGCTGTCATACACACCTCAGTAGGTGTCAGGGTGGTGGGAATGTTGGGGTCAAAGGGGGAGAGCGTCGCTCCGCCGTTGACGCTGGGAAAGCCTGAACCCTGTTGAATGTACCCCAAGCGATGGATGACGTCAGTCGAAGGAGTGTACCCCCGCTCCAAGCACCCCATCCACAAACAGCGGAGCAGCGCATATGTTGCGAGCAGCCAATAAAATGTGATTTGGTAGTGGATCAAGTCAAGCCCTTACGCACGTGCTGGTATGGACCATGAGTTTCGAGAGTGGTGGTTCCAACATGCGTCACCAAGCCATCCGGTGAGCGGTTGGGTTGGCCTGGGATGAATGCATTGATGAATAATGGTCAGCTCTCATACATTCTCGTGGCTTTGCAAGTTCTTCTCGGTAAGAAGACTCACCAGTGAGGCGGTTGACGCCTGTGGCCCAGCCTAGGGAAGGACAAGATGCCCAGACTGCGCGACTCGGGTCCTCTTCCGCAACCACGGCCATGACAAAAGTGGCGTAAATGCCTGCGGCAAGCGACACCGAAACATGTGGCAGACAGACATGATGGTGCACGTGGGGCTACGATGAAAGCAAAATGGCCGATCGAGTGTTGGCACGGCATCAAATCAGAGCTCATACCTGTGTCGGTGCCAATCACCACTTGGCACTCGTTGCAGCCATCATACATGACAATGCTGGGGTGGTGCGATAGACGGCGAATTTGATGACGCAGCTCCGCGTCCTGAGTTGCCGTTGCGCTCGGGCTATGCCCCTGCTGGGCATACTGAAAAACAAACAAGCACAAGAAAACAAAAACACAAAACACCCTCAGCCAATAAGCAAGCAAATAAACCCAATGGCCGGCAGCAGAAAGAGTAGGTTTGTCAGCGATAAGCCGCAAAAAGGATGCGCCAAAACGGTGCCCGAGTTGAGCATGTTGGAGCAAGGCGTTGCACGAACCGCCATGTCGTGGTAGACGAGGATACCCATCTCATCACAAGTGTCATACCACACATCGGGCAGGAAGATGCCGCCACCCCAGACGCGAAGAGTGTTCATGCCACCATCGCGCGCGCTCACGACCAGCTGGCGGTGAGCCTCGGCGTTCATGCGCCCCTCCAACTCCTCCATGGGAATCATGTTGGCACCGCGAGAAAAGATGAGCAAACCGTTGACGCGCCAGTACATGCCTAAAACATTGCAACGCCCAAAACAGAATCAAGATTGGCCGTGCCGCGGTCAGTTTTTTTCTTCTTGGGCATAGGCATGTGTATGTGCACGCATGTGATTTGTGCAGGCAGTGATGCTGCAAAACAGACAAACGGGCACCACAAAACCAAGAAAGCTTCAAGGATGGCTTGGGACGTACCGTGGAAGTCAGTGCCATCAACATATTTATTGTTTGTACGGTACTCTGGATCCGTGTCATTGCCTGTAACGAGCGCGAACATGCTATCATGGTACACGGTGCATGGGACGCGAAAGAGAACATCCATTGGTGAGGGCCCATGATGACAATACCAAACATCGAGGAGGAGACCAGTGGCTGGTTGCCTTCAAAGCCACGTCAGAAACAGGCAGAGGATAGCCCACCGAAAGCCGATGCGACGGGTGGCGGACGCCGTGCTGGCTTGTAGAGCACCGTCGGCGGTGAAGGAGGCCGTCACATTGTACAGAGCAGCCTTGCCGTAGCCGCTGGGCCACCACAGGTCAATGTCCGCGGCGTTTGCTGACAAGGTCAGGTTGGCAATGTAATCACCCTATTGTTGACATTGGCCATCAGGGCCGGCGGTCGCTGAGACAGGTACGGCATCTTGCTAGGGATGGTTCGTCAAGGGACGGCACGCCTGTACTTACACCCGGAAGGTCGACCTTGAGCGTTTGAGTGTCAAAGTCGCTGGTGACAGTCACCGTGCCAGAGGTGGCTGTCTTGGACCACAGGTGCACATGGGCTTGGACGGCAAAGCCATCATGGGCATGCTCTTCAAGCCGGGTCGCCGGGTACTCGCCACGATAAAAGGTATGGGGCACAAAATGTGTGATGGCAGCTCCGTCAATCTAAGCCACAGGCCATGGTGAATCAGGGTCGTGGGCTCAGGCAGTCTCTATGTGCTGCCGTGTGATGACACACCTCGACGGTGTAGACACTCTTCCAGATGCCACGAGAAAAGGTCAGAGCTCCTTCATACGACTCGGTGGTGGTATAGGGCGCCCAATCCCAGCCACCGGTGCAGGCCATGAAACGCCTGTAAAAGCACGGGTGCAAGCATGGTCATGACAGCGTCAAATCTGGGGCGGAGACGCCCCATCGGCGGGGCAACAACCCTTGCACGCATCACGTATGCCGTGACAGTTTCAGATTTTGAGTGTGCTGGACGCAACAGACCCGTCAGTATGGATATCGTTGATGAAAATGATTTGAAGCTCGTTCTCGCCAGACTTGACCAACTCGCTAATGTCAAAGGTGTAGCGATGAAACTGATCAGTCACGCTGCCCAACATCTCGTTGTTGACGCTAACCGTAGCACCCATCTTAACGCCGTCCAGCACTAGCCACAGGGCCGCTGACATCATGGCAAAGGTTCAGAGCCAAGTGAGCTTGTCTACACAAATCGCTGTGATGTGCAAATCAAGTCATATTCAAGTGGCAGGAGTCTTGGCCTACCTCCGGATGATGGGTCATAGTTGCTGGTAAAGGTGGTGGTGTAGGTCCAATCGTAGTCGTTCCAAAGCGTGGCGTTTTTGAAGTTGAGTTCATAGAGAGGGTCACCAATCAGGTCGTTGTTTTGCAGGTCAGTGATGAGGTCACCAGGGACCTATATGTGCACACAAACACGCGCGCGCGCGCGTCCGTCATTCGTCAAAGCATGGCGGTGAGTCCAGCAGAACGGTGCGAGTGACAAGTGCAATCGAGCTCGGCAGGTACCACCCAGGCCAGTGAGGTAAAAAAAAAAAAAAAAAAGCAAAAGAAATCAAATAAACACCTAAAAAGCAAAGGGGTGGGGTTGGGGATCGACCAAGCAGTCATGGTGGGGGCAAGCAGCAAAGGTGCTTGATACCTGAGCCTTGAAGGTCCGATCGGGCGCAAATTCAAACGACGAAAGCTCCCACTGGCCGTCGAGATAGTTGATGGCAGATCCGGCAATTGGATGATCCACCAAGCCATCAGCGCGCACCATGCCCAGTGCCATCGCCACCGCCACAAGGGCGGCGACGCTCAGCACGGACCCACGCACCATCTTTCCACCGTTGACACGTCTTTGACTCCCCGATCCCGAGCTACGGCAGCCGGAGAAGGCAGATGAAGATGCAGATGGCCCTCGCGATCACTCGACCACTGGCGTTGAGTCAGTGATCAGACGTTTTGGGGAAAAATGGAGTTTAAAGCAGTAAATGTATGTTTCTTATGGGAAGATGCAGCGAAACATGAATTAAACGAAGAATATATGAAGGAAGATGAAGATTTTAGTGCGATTGTAGTGGTAGATTATGTAGAGAGATTTGAATCAAACGAAGATTTTGATTTGGAAGAAGAAGCGTACAGTGTGATTGTTGAAGAGACGGGTGGTGTTGATGTTTTGCTTCTTGTCGAGATCACTTTCAATTGGCCTTGACACACACGCACGCAAAGACTTTGTGAAACGAGCGAGGGCCTTGCGGAACGGAATGGCGTTAGCGTCGCGTGAGCATGGGCACATCAGTCATGAGTTGCTGCCTTCTTCTTCTTCTTCTTCTTTTTGGATTTGCTGGCCTGAGCTGGGGCATCCTCGGCCGTATCAGCTAAGATGCGGGCTTGGTGCCGATGCAAGACGCGCTCTTGCTCGCGCGCCAAACTGGCGGATGCAGCTGCCTGAGCTTTCTCGCTGCGCCTCTGTAGGTCGATAATCTCCAAGTTTTCGTGCACATTTTGCAGGGCGCTGCTTTTCACGTATGTGTTGGTGAAGTACAGCCTTTCCATCACGCAGCGCAAGTACACCATGTTGGCCATTTTCAATACTATGGAAGGGAAACGTTGGTGATCATGATTGGCGTGGGAGACATGTACGCTCTATCCGACAAGCTGTTCCTCCTAGGGCACGGCTTGGCGGCCCAACATGGATCCCAGGACGGATCACCTTTGGGTCGACAGTCGCACAGAAGAAAGCCTACCTGAGGGCTCGAGCACTCGCACGCTGGGAAATACGAAATTCTGATTTAGCATGAACATGCGGTAGAGATTGGCAATGTGCACACTGGGGTCCAGCTAGGTGATCAAAAAATGCATTTGGTGATCGCGTGCCTCGTCAATCAACACACGAAAGCTCTTGCTTGCCAGTTGCCATCCCCCGTTTGCAACATGCGAATGGTGACTCATGCTCAAGGATCGTACCGGCGGCTCGTTTTGGCGTCGGCTCATATTAAAATAGTGGTATTCCACTTGCAAGCTTTCAAGGTAGGCGCCCAAGGCGTCAGCGTAGCTACCCTGCGATATTTCAAAATTGGACCCACAGATCAGTCAACCTGCTTGAGCCTCTGGCGTACGTTGTGCTTTGAAGGCAAAGGCGCCAAGAAAGACGCAAAAGGGGAACAGGAAGAGGAGAAGGGGGAGAAAAGCAGAGCCCCTCCCCTCCCTGCCCGTCAGACAAGGGAAACAAGAAAAACATACCATGAGGAATTGATCGGTGCAATTCAAAAGCGTGTGCACCATCGTGTGGTTGGCAACGCTGCAAGCTTCAACCAAGCTGATATATAGGGGCTTTCGCTGCAAAGCATTTCGAGGGTCGAGGAGGTTGGTGAGGCATGGTGAGTGAGTGAGTAACAAGGTATGATATAAGCGGCAGACCCGCTGGGCATGGGCCTGCTGGCCATCAAAAAACACGGCATGCAGCCCGAGGCATACAATGCTGGGCTGGGACACATACCAAAAAATCGTTGTTTTTGAGCATCATGGGCACAACTTTCTGGATGCCCCGAACCGTTTTTTCCGTCCACCCGCGTTGGGAACGCTGGCACAATATAAGTAATGCGCGCATGATCCCCAGTAGGGCCTATACAGAAGGAGCCACGAGGCTGAATTCACTGCTGCATTGCATGCTTTCAGGAGAAAAGCAAGGAAGGTGCGGGCACGAAGAGGAAGGGAACAGGAGTCTCCAGACAGTGAAGGTTACGTACCCCATCCTCGCATGTGTTCATGTGCTTGAGCAACTCTACCATGGCATCGAGGGCAAGGTGCTTGGCGCAAATGTCCAAGGCCGTCTGGCCCGACGCCTGATTCACCACGGCCAATCACGAGCAGGCACACGGGCAAACAGGCGGGCGGGCACATCAGCAAGGACGCAACAGTCATTGTGCACGGCTGCATGGCTACAGGGCTGCATGGCAAGCGGGTGGTGGTAGTGGCCTACCAATCCATCGACTGTAGCGCCATGGGCCAGGAACATGGGAATGAGCGGCGCCTGGTCGGTGATGGCAGCCAAATGCAGGGCCGGGAGTCCAGTGCGCTACAGGATCACACGGACACGCGGATTGAGTCTGTGGCGTAAAATGAACAAGGGCACCCTGTACCATGACCGATCAAGGCGGGGGTCGGGCATACCGGGCAGCACAGTTCTGCGCTTATGCCGACGCGGTCATATTTGGGCAAACGCCGGAACAGGTCGATGGCCTCGTCGGTGCGCCGGCACGTGACAAGGAAGAAGAAGAAAAGGGCATCATTCAGGCGGTCCTGTGACGATTCATCCACGGGTTTGGGAATAGCCTGTGGGAAAAACTCTGTATCTACGAGCCCAGCCTTGAGGTACAGGAAGGCAGGCCTGTGACAGCAGGTCGTGACCTTGTACGCGCTCCGCCATTTGGGGTCATGGTCCGGGTTAAAGCCGGGAGGATGACGGGCGCTCTGGCGCATGCAGGTGCGAATGGCAGTCTCAATCACCATCCGATCCGTCAAGTCGCCCTTGCCATCCTCACGGAGCAGATGCGTCGCCATCTTGGGCCGTTGCCCCACATCTACAACACATGTGCCCCCCGCGACTTCTTTAAGAGAGAGAGAGAGAGAGAGAGAGAGAGAGAGACTGAATGAGAGAGAGGAGAGAGATTTAGAGAGAGATTTAGAGAGAGAGAGATTTAGTGAGAGAGAGATTTAGAGAGAGAGAGAGATTTAGAGAGAGAGAGAGATTTAGAGAGAGAGAGAGATTTAGAGAGAGATTTAGAGAGAGAGAGAGATTTAGAGAGATTTAGAGAGATTTAGAGATTTAGAGAGATTTAGAGATTTAGAGAGATTTAGAGAGATTTAGAGAGATTTAGAGAGAGAGAGAGAGATTTAGAGAGAGAGAGAGATTTAGAGAGAGAGAGAGATTTAGAGAGAGAGAGAGAGATTTAGAGAGAGAGAGAGAGATTTAGAGAGAGAGAGAGAGATTTAGAGAGAGAGAGAGAGATTTAGAGAAAGAGAGAGATTTAGAGAGAGAGAGAGATTTAGAGAGAGAGAGAGATTTAGAGAGAGAGAGATTTAGAGAGAGAGAGATTTAGAGAGAGATTTAGAGAGAGAGAGAGAGATTTAGAGAGATTTAGAGAGAGAGAGAGAGAGAGATTTAGAGAGAGATTTAGAGAGACTGAGACAAGACAACAAGACAGAGAGAGAGAGAGACACACACACAACACTCTGAACGTTAGCAAAAGACAACGGAGATTTGTCAGACAAATTCTCTGTGTCGCTCCGTCTCTCTTTTTTGACCGAGTTCGGCACGATGGCGAGACGGGGGACAAATGGCAGCCTGCTGCCGACCCCCAGTGTCTTGAAGCTTCAGAAGGGGGAGGCAAGGGTAAATGTGGGTGGTGGGTTGGGATTGCCGAATGCAGCTCGGGGTAGAGAACAGAGTGTGGTCTCCTCCTCTTCGTCTGCTGTCAGCTCAACTTGCAACAGCGAGGGCGAGGGCGACAACGGCAGCAGCAGTTCCCGAGGGTCACCATCGCCCTCACCGCCACAAACCCGGCGGGCATCAAAGGTTCGCTACGATGACGATCATAGCGCTGGCGCCCGAGCTCAGCAGGCCAAGGTTCTGGACCCCCGGGCATGGTTGCTAATGAGTACAGCCTCAGCCCCAGCCCAGCTCTCCCGGCTCTGAACGACAATCCTAACCTGGGTCTTGTGTGGTTTAGCGCCAAAGTGCCATCAGATCGCGCAAGGATGCTTTTTATGCCGATGACCTGGAAGATGAGGATGATGACTTTGGACAGGCCGCCGAAGGTGAGCTGTTATGGAGCGCCTTATAGAACAGCTTCCGCTCGACTCGCCCCCCCCCACCGACCGACTGCAAAAAAACGGCATGGGCCTAACGTGGCTGGTGGGGATCATGGCTGGCGTTAGGGGTCTCGTATGACATTTTAGAATATGTTCACTCGCAGCGCTTTGCCCCTGCCGAGGTTGACGAGATGGCTCCCGAGGGTTCGGCCACCCTGTCCCCGCTTGCCTTCTGTGGAGTGCGCCGCACTCGGGGTACAGGACTGCGCTTTCACACACGAACCATCTCATTGACGTGCTTGCTTGCTTGCCCTTTTGTGTTCATCTTCTCAGAGTTTACCGTCGACTACGTCGTTCAGTCGGGACTGCGCCGCCCAATCCGCTTTGCGCATGCCAAGCCGCCGGGCCTTGTCGTTCCCGACTCATCCTTCACGGTTGCAGATGTCAGGTATAGCTCAACCGCGCCTTGCGCGAGCCCCCACCCGGCCGGCCGAGGCAGAACTGATGAGCTTCTTCTTCTCCTTGCTGCAGGGACCAAGTTGGCCAGCAACGCATGGTGGATGTGATGGACGTACGCACCCAGGAAGGCCTTGCCATGAGTCTAAAAGGTCAGTGCACTCGTGACGGTAAACATCATGCGAGAAACCCAGCAGCCTGCTAGGCTGGTCACCCGACTGTCCGGCAGTCGGTTTGAAGCCCCATCAGACTAGCCGACTTGCCAGCACAAACGCAAAAGCTGGCTTTGGTCGCTTGAGCTTTTGCTTCAATGCTTAGATCCTCTCTTTTTCTCTGGCCATGGTAGAATGGGTGGACTACTACACTGATGAACAACGCGATACGCTGCTCAACGTCATCAGCCTCGAGTTCTCCCGCAGCCGTCTTGATCCAAGCATCACAACCCCTGCCATGGTACACTTTGCGCCGTGTCTGCACTACTGGCGCCCCTGAAACGTCCTCCTTCTCGTGCCTGGCATGATCGCCCAACTTGCGCCCAACCTGCTTCTGCTTGGTATATTCGAGGTTATCACTGCCTTGCTTCGGTTTGCCTGCCTCTGTCATGATTGCTCCCTTTTAGGTGCGGATGCTGGACTGGGTGGACACGGTCTGGCCGGCTGATCTCAAAGCACAACAGCGGGACGACACCAATCAAACGCGAACCATGAAATATCCCAAGGCAAGTGGATGGGTGTCTGTTCTTTTCTCACGACCGCCTCCCTCTGTGCTTTGGTCAAACACACAGCATCTACAAAACCGAGGCCTCATGTTTCGATTGCGCCCCATTCTAGGTGCAAAAGTATTGCCTGATGAGCGTGGCGGGCTGCTATACGGATTTCCATATTGACTTTGGCGGATCCTCGGTGTGGTATCACATCGTCAAGGGCGCCAAGGTTGGTGCAAGCCAAGACGGCGTTATTGCGATCTGGCGCGCGCCCCCATTCGCCTGCACCCCCCGGGCGTCACACAGTTTCTAACAAGAAGCCTTTCCACTGCGCAGATTTTTTGGCTCGTCCCACCTACGTCAGCCAACCTCAAGCTGTTTGAAAAGTGGACTCGAGGCGCGCAGGAGGCGGTGTTCTTCGGCGATCTTTGTCCGACCGAATGCACGGTCATCCATCTCGAGGCAAGTTTTTGTTGTCTTGCATTTTTGAGTCGCTGACATGTCGCCACCCTTCCCTCCTCAATCAAAACACTCTCTTACCACATCACTTGACAGGCCGGCGACACTTTTATGATTCCGACCGGCTGGATCCACGGGGTGTACACACCCGAAGACTCGCTGGTCTTTGGCGGCAACTTTCTACATAGCCTCAACATCGATGGCCAGCTGCAAATTGCTGCCATGGAGCGACGATTAAAAGTGCCGCTTACCTACCGCTTTCCATTCTTCGAAGAACTGATGTGGTATGCTGCTGACCGCTACGTGCGTGTGTTTGCGGCGGCCACGCACCAAGCGCCCGTACACCAGAACCCCCTGCCTCTCCGCTCCAACCTCACCTCTTGGGAGCTGATGGGTTTGAACGAGCTCCTTGCCAACCTACGCGTTTGGATCGCATCCCCAGCGGTAGGACCATCCCCGTGTTTCAGGCGTCTTCCTGTGGCCCCGCTACTCTGCAGCGCTTACTGGTCTACTCTGTTGATCAAACATAGCACCGTGCCTACATTCCACGGCGGTTAAAGAACCCGTCCAGTCTGATTGATAGCCTGCAGAAATTGCTCCAATCAAACCCAACGGCAGGGCCAGGACATCGCCGCCGGGTGGTCGAAAGCAGCGACGAGGAAGAGGACGAGGAACCTTCGAAAGAGAAAGTGAAAGAGAAGGAGCTCAAACTGTCCGGATCTGCGGGACATGCCCGTCAAGGAACTTTGCAGCCCGAGCTGTCACCAGCGGCCCCATCGACGACATCGTTTGATAGGGCACATGTGCGCGCGGCCGAGACAACTGGAGACCAGCCTGACCTTGACGCCCAAGACACTCGTCGCTACTGTCAAATCAAAGCTGTACGCCATGCTGCCATGCTATCATCCCATCAACCAACGTCACAGTTGGCATCCCTGGTTGTTGTCTCTCAACTGATCGGTTTGAATTATCACAGGTGCGAGAGGCGCTCCAGCGCCAACATGGGGCTGCCAGCTCTGCAGAACTCGATCGACTGGCGGAATTGGAGTGGCTCAACATGGACGTTCGCTCGAGACGTGCCTATCGTGAACTGTTTGAAGATTCACTGGCCTACGCTGCCGCCGTCTCCGGTACGAGTTCTTCCGATCAATTTTGCACAGACCCGTGTCATGCTGTCGATCCTATGGCAGTCGCTCGTCACGTTGACAATCACCCGGCGCCTTTCTTGGTTGTCAATCTGCCAGGCGAAATGGGTTCTGGCACGCAGGAAGAGCTGATGCAGGCTTCCACCCGCTCACGCAAGTACGAAGGGGCGCGGTGGCGCTCCTCCAAGACTCACTTTCAGCGCGCGCAGGCCCTACAAGCGATGCGGCGTGTGCCGTACAGCGAGGAGGCAGAGGATGTCAAGGAGCGACGTTTGGAGGCCGCGAAGGCTCTGTTTGCAACACCATTTGGAGGCGCAGCGAAAAGTGCTTCAAAAGGATCCCTGTCCTCGACCAAGGCTGAACCCTCAATCATTGTTCAGCCATCACGAACCAAATCAGAGGCGCAACCACCTCGCTCGGCTCTTGCGGCTTTGTTGGCCCATGTGAGCTCAAAGTCATCGGCGTCGCACAGCAAAGCAGCTTCGGTTGCACCCACAACCGTGTCAGAGCCAGCCAAGCGCCAAGAGGCAGCGGCCATGGCATCAGGGGTCCCCCCGACTAAGAAATCGCTATCGGTGACACCATCATCTTCTGGATTCACCTCTCGGACCGTACTGGAGGAAGAGGAGAATGCTTGCTCCCCGCCAAGGCCAGCTGATTTGAGTGCCTCGCCCCGTCTGGCCGCGCTTGAAGCTATCTGGTGGGACAGCGGGGATGAAAATTCGCGTGATAGTGTATCCTTTACAGAGGTGCAGCAGCCCTTGCAGCACACCAGCATTGGTTCTGCCCGACCTTGGCCGGCCGGCTCTTGGGATGCTGTAAGTCGGCCTTGGGCTGCCCCGACTTCACAGCTTTTGGCTTCGCATGCATCTTTGGCCGCGGTGGACGACATTCTCGCGCGAGCACAGGCGGTTTTTGATGAAACGGCCTTGACCTCGCGGGCAACATATCAGTATGGTCCAACATATCGCTAGATTCAAGTCTCAGAAGTTGTTGAGAGTTGATTTTCAAACGCCTGCATGGCGGCAAGGCTGGCAAACACCAGAAGAAGAGAGCGCGCTGCGCGCGAATCGAAGATTTCTAAATAAAGCCACCAACGATGAAATGCGACAGATTGTCTTGATTCATTTTTTTCGGGGTTTTTAATCTTTCATGAATTACGTCACCATGGACTCACGGGTCAGACAGAACAAACACCTAATCCAATTCTCCAGCCTTCCGTTCGGGAGCACAGGAAGATGCAAATTTTCCTCATGATTGACAATCCCGCTGATATAGCACGGTAGCGCTTCATCGCGTGACAGGGCGCGCAGCGGGAATGAGATTGTGGGGTTTGACGCGACCAATTTTACGGGCTTGCCGACCCACGGTGGCTGGAGAGTCGTGAATACCATACGCTGGGAACGGGGCAGGAGGCTTGAATGAGGGGCGCACCAGGGGTGGCTTTGTTGGCAAGTGGTGTGATTGAGAAACACGGTTGTACATACCCAGTCGTTGACGGCGCATAAAGCGAACGCGAGTTTCGCTACGTGGTGTGCCCTGTGGTGGTCAAGTCATGTAGCACCAAAAATATGAGTTTTCAATTTAGTTCAAAGTAGCATGTGCGAATTGTCGGCGGGCGACGTAAGGAGCCATCCACCAAGAACGGAGTGGGCAAATGGGACAAACCTTTGACCTGTTGGTGTTGGCTTTGGTTGCTCGCAGCAACGATTTCAAAGCCGGCGAGGCCCTAAGAGGTCGGCGTGGTGAATCAGCACGCATGACATTTCGCAGGAGACCAAGCCACATCCAATCACAAGAACACAAGAACACCATCAGGATTCTGTCAGCTCGGATTGCCCGAGGCACGCGTCAACATACAGTGATGGGGTGGAGGGCTCTTCAGGTTTGGTGGACGGGCTCTTGCTGGACGGGCTCTTGTTTGATTTGGCGTGCGCGTTGGCCTTGGGGCTGGCCGATTTGGAACCTGTGCTGCTTTTCTCGGACACGCTGGAGCTCGCCTTTGGACTAGACTTGCTGGTTGCTTTTGGGCTGGCTTTTGGGCTAGCTGTTGGGCTGGCTTTTGGACTGGCTTTAGGGCTGGCCTTCTTGGAAGCTTTCTGATTATTCTGACCTTTCTTTTTCTGCGCAATCAGTTGAGCCAAAATCGCCGCCTGTGCTTCTTCTTCATCCTCGTCGTCGTCGTCGTCCTCCTCATCATCGTCCTCATCGTCTTCATCCTCGTCATCCTCGTCATCCTCGTCATTGTCATCGTCCTCCTCCTCATCATCGTTCATGCCCTCACCATCTTGCTCAGGTGCTTCACCATCTTCTGCCTCATCTTCATTGTCAGCGCTCAGGACAATCTCGGGGTCGCACAGCTCAATGTCATGCTCGGCATATACCGACTTGAAGCTACAATAAAATGACCAAGCACACGCGTCACACTCGGCCAAAAAAAGCACACAATTTCCAGCCTGGTTGCCTGGCAAGCGTACCTCGAACGAAATTTGTAAATTTGCTCTCGGTTGCGCTGGAACGTGTCAGGCTCGGCTGCAATCTCAAAGAGGCGGTCGCACACGACCTGGGGATCAAGGTCTGCCACCAAAGCACCCGTGTCTTCATCGAGGTGGATTGAAGGCATATCCAGCAACACTGCCTCAGCCACGCGCTTGAGCACAGAGACACTGCGATGATACTGCAGGGCTCCCAAGAACACTTCAAGCAGGGGCATGAAAGCGTTCATCGGCATCTGAGCAAGGGGGGCAGTGTGTCGTGAGACCGGTGCAGGTCCTGAAGATTGGAAGAGTTTTCAAGATGACAGACACTCACCGGGTCGGCGGGGGTGTGCAAGCGACGCAGGGCACGGTAAAAGGTCTCGCAAAGATGTTGGGCGATACCGGCAGGGCGCTCAGCGGTGGGGGTCAAGTTCATGGGGCACTCCAGCAGCAAGTCGACCACGGCCCGCACAGCCTCGTCGCTGTAGTCGTCCATCTATCAGCATTTACGCATGAGCGAACAAGCTATTCTTGCAAGTGGTACAGCGTCTTGTTCCAGGAGAAAATCTTGGCTTTGGAACTTACCTTGGCCCAATGGATGAGAGCTACGAACATTTCTGTGAGTAGAACGTAGTACTTGTTCAGTCTGCGAAACGGAGCACAGAAGATAGCACGAATTGCTATAAGCGCCAGTGCAAGTGTGGTTGCATGCGTACACGAAGGCGAGAAATGCCCACCGGAGGTGATCGATGCCTTGCCATTTTCGTTGCATGACAGTGAAAAAGCCTCGAACAAACGCCAAGGCTAGAACGTAGAGCGGATGGGCACGATCAGTGCGAGCGGCTGTACAGGAGCGGTTGAAGCAGACGAAGCAAAATGTCTGTGTGCCCTGGTGTGAGGGAATCCTCAGACTTCCAATGCGTACCGTGGTTGGATTTGAGTTGCAGGGTAATTTTGGCAATGTTCTCAGCGAGTTCTTGCTGGACAGGGCGCTTGTCAGAGAACCACATGCAGTAGAATAGGCCCTCCCAAAGCTTGAGATTACTGATATCATCGCATTCTGGGCGGAAAGACAAAGGAGGCAAAATGGCGAGCGAAGTGAGGGGACGCAAAGGGGGAAAGAGCATTCGCAAACCTCGCAAACCAGGAAAAAGGAAAAAAAAAAAAAGGAAAAGAAAACAACTGGAAAGGAAAAGGTGATAAGAAATGGAAAGAGGTTGGACGTGACAGCGATGGGGGGGGGGGAAGAGCAAGATGGCCGGGACTGGGTGGAAGGCTTTTGATGCAAGGACGACGGGTCGGAATTTGAATACCTTCACCAGCTGCTTGGCGGGCCACGAGCCATTCGGTAAATTTCTTGAGAGCTTTCATGCGCGTGCGCTGCTCATTGGCTGCCAGAACACGGGCAAAGGCAAGCTCGGCAGGGACTTGGGCATTTTCTGGGATGGCAGCAGGATGCTCTACTCCGGCCTTGGTCTTCTTGACGCGCTTGCCAACCTGGTTTCCGGCGCGAGATACAGGAGCACAGAGGTATGGTTGGAACCCGGGGTGAGCCCACAGCCAAGTGACCAAAAACGAGGAGATGGAGGCAAACGATTGAAAGCTAAATCAGGGCGCGATCCCAACGAACCGGAACAGCAGCGCTATTCAGGTCCTTGCTTGAGGCGAAGCCCCGTTTGGCGCCCATTGTGCTGCTCAAGCGATACGATGCCGAAAGGGGGTTGCGCCTAATAGTACAGCCCCACGTGTCAAGCGTTGAAGCAAATCCAGCCCGAGGCGCAAGCATCAGACGGCACAGGAGCGGTTGTTCGTCTCGTCTCTTCAGCTTGCCGCGCTATCCCCCACACACCTCAATAACCAGACACACCCGCGTCTTCTTCAGCGACGACAGAGGCAGAGGGCAGAGGGCAGAGGGCAGAGGCAGGTATGCCGACAGCAGGTCCTCAGCTCGGAAAAAAAAAAAAAAGAGAGAGAGAGAGAGAGAGAGAGAGAGAGAGAGAGAGAGAGAGAGAGAGAGAGAGAGAGAGAGAGAGAGAGAGAGAGAGAGAGAGAGAGAGAGAGAGAGAGAGAGAGAGAGAGAGGAAAAAGAACGAAAAACGTGTTTCTCTTCCTCTCTCACACACGCACGCGGGCGCTGACAAAAATGATGACAAATTTAGATTCAGAAAATCAGCTAAATTTAGGAGAGGCAGAGCAGCAGCTTCACATGTCAAGTATCGCTCGCCCTTTGCTCTGGTGCCATTCATTGGTAGATAGGGGATTCGTACGCTCTACGCGCGTGAACAAGATACAAGATGGGCAGAGTTCAGGCAGAAAAGTGGGAAACCGAAGAAGAAGGAACAACAGAGCTGCAGAAATATGGAAACACGAAACAACTGTCCCGCACCGAGGAGGTGCATGCAAAATCAAACCAAAAAAGAAAAGAAAAGAAAAAAAGAAAAAGAAGAGCGCATCCTCTTGGACGAAAACACGACTGAGCAAAGCAAGCGGGCGTCAGAGACGGCACAGCACGTGCATTCATCCCTGCTCATGCCTCATTACATGATCAAGCAGCAGCCTTTGCCCCCTGGGGCAGCTTCCTTGCTCGAATCGCTGCCGGTGCCTTCCGGCGCACTTTCAGAGACTGGCTCCTCTGCCGATGAGCGGGGCTGTGAGGGCGCACCTGGATCGGTGATGCTCTTCTTCTTCGAGGCTGCGGCGCTGCTGGAATCGCGACGCTCGCTCTTATCTTTGGCCTTGCCGGCAGGTGGCAACTCCGAGCTTGAGCGCTTTTTGCGCATTGAGGGCGCTGCGGCTGCCGGCAGGGTCGGCAAGCGCACTCGCGCGCCTGTGGCAAGTGCATCTTCAGCCCCCCACTTGCCCTCACCAACGGCCGGCGCTGGCGACAGACGCAGGAAAGCCAGCTGTCCTGCGCGCAGACCAGCCACCACCGTGGCGGCGCCATTCAGAATGGTCAAACAAGTCACGGGCGAGTTGAAAGCCTGAGTGCTCAACAGCTGGTAGCCGTTGCTCACGGACCATGCCTTGACACAGCCGTCGTCGCTGGCCGTCACTAGGATGCTGGAATCCTCCGTCAGACACATGCAGTCAATCGCACCGTCATGCGCGTTGGGCTGGGAGCCCGCGTCGGCCCCGGCCTCGAGGTCCCACGCCACGAAACCACCTTGTGCCGAGCCCACAACGGCCAGTCGACCGTCGCGCGAACACGCCACCGATGTCGTATGTTCGCCGTCCAGGCCAACCTCGTCCTCCGTGCGGAGTGCATTGCGCAAGATGACGCTATCGCTGCCCTCACTGTAAGACACAATCCAGGGTGCACCTGAGCGCAAGATCATGTCCAGGGCCACGACTGTATCGCCCCGCACGTCGCGGTCATACGCGCTAAGGACTTGCCCCGACTCCATGTCAAACGTCACCATCTTGCCCTCGGTGGCAACGGTGACAAATTTGTCTGTTGGTAAGGAGGCCACTGCCACCACCTGGCCCGCAAAATTCAGCGGGACCTTGCGCACTTGCTTCAGCGTGTCGGGTTGCAGCAGCACCAGGCCCTCGGTCGTTGCAGCCGCCACGAGAGGTTGACCAGATACAGCCAAGTGACTAAAAAAAGCCGCCCCAGCCAGCGTGTCGTGTTGCAACTCCTGGAACAAAGGCGGCCCTGCGTAGGAGCAGACGCGACCGTGCGTAGCTGCTGCCAGCGCAAAATCGTCCTTGCGCCCCATCATCACGCCGCCGCGGGTGATGCCCTCGCTTGCAGTGGTTGTCAGTTTCTCATCCAAATGATTGGTCACGATACAGCGCCCGTCCGCGTTCCAAAACTTAATCTCAGGCCACGTGGCGGACGCCGACAGCACGCAGTCTGCCCCAGAGCTCAACAGATCAACCCCGTCCTCGTGCGCCGGATTGTGCGCGGAGGGCCTGCCATCCAGATCCCATACTCGAATGGTGCCGTCGTGTCCGCTGGTTAACAGAGCGGGCTGGCCAAGCGGAGCACAAAACTGGATGGCATTGATGTCACCCGTGTGGCCCTGGAAAACCAAGCGCCGACCACTCGACAGCTCGAAGACACGGGCCCTGGTCACCCACAAAGCAAAGAGACCATGGTCAGCACCGAAACCCCAAAGACGTTCAAGTCCTGGTTGGCAAAGCATGGCTGCAGATGAATCTGGATGGGTAGGGGGATGGTGAGGGCCCAAAGCTACAGCTTACCGTTGGTCGGTTTCGTCGCCACCACTCACGGAGCCAACATGCGTGCCCTCGTTATTAATGGCGACGGCATCGATTTGCCCTGGGTGGCGGTGGCTATGCAGCTCCGTGCCTTGACGATCAGTAACTACAACCACTGATGCCGTGCTCGAAGCCACAATCTTCTGGCCATCAGCTGAGATGGCCAAGGCCAAAATGTCCGGCAACGAAGGTACCTTGCGTTCCTGTAGCTTTTTGCCACTGCGCGCGTTGAGGAGGGTCACAAGTCCAGCTCCGCGACCCACTGCCACAACAGCGCCGTCCGCGGAGACAGCAAGAGCGCTAACATCAGGATAGTCTTTGGTTTCCAGCACCTGTTCGCCTGACGTCAGGTTCCAGATACCCACAGTCTCGCCATCCGATGCCGTTAAAGTGCTGCCATCCGCACTCATGGCCATCTCAACGACAGGGATCTCAAAGTCCAGTGCCATAACCTCTTCTCCGTTGGGGACGCTGTAGAAGCGAATGGTGCCATTCGACCACGCCACGGCCAGCTGCATGGTGCCGCCCAAGGCCAGCCCCACAACGCCAAAGGCAGCGTCCTCATCGTCGTCCTCCTCGCGCATGTGTGGCGGTTTTGGAATGGGGTCCAGGTCAAACTGGCCCACACGCATGCCCGATTTGGCATCAAAAATCCGCACCACCTCTCGCCGGCCAGCCTGCAGCCAGGTAGCGACCAGGCTGGGGGCTGTCCCGCTGGTCGTAACGTTGGGCTGGGCATAGCCAGCCCACCAGGCATGCCATTCCTTGGCGTGATATACCATGGGCGAGAGCTGCTCGGGCATGAGCTCCACAGGGGCGATGGGCCATAAGCTGCCAGGAGCAGCCCCCACACTCTCGGCAGCCAGCGCGCGCAGCGTAGACAAGGCGTCCGTTAGTGGTCGCACATGCTGGAGCACCACGTGAGGAACGTGGACATCTCCCTCGGGGTCAGGCGCCAGACCTTTGCAAATGGCCATGATTTCCTGCAAGGTCTCCACCACCACGGCGGGTGGTTCAAGCGCAAACAAATCCTGCAGTTCCTCAACGAGATTCTAAATGTGGATTGGTTCGCGATTCAAAAACAAAATTGCACGCAGCATCAGGGATTGCAAGTTGATGTGTATAGGCGCGCATGTGTGATGTGAGCAAAGGGTCAGGGAGTTGAATATGCGCACCATGGGTCGAGCCAAATTGATGCGGGCGTCCAACCACTTGAGGTCACAGTAGCACTTGTGTAGGGCATCGCGCCAACGGCCCGCTTGAGCGAGTGCGCGGCCACGCAGGAAAATGACGGAAGTATTCCGTTCGATCTCAAGCACAGGGGCCCGCTCGTCTTCAAAGGTCAGGACTTGTGCTGTGACAAGGCGTTCGGTGGGCATGGAAGTGAGCAGAAGATGACTCTGCTTCGCGAGGCTGGACAGATTGGGGGAGTCGTGCTCAGTACAAAGCCAGCGTGCTCGTCCTAGAACAACATGCTCGGCCATCTGGGCGTCAACGTTGTAGCGCTGACGCACGGCCTGAGCAACAAAGGAATGCGCGAGGCGATATTGGGAGGGCAAGCCCGAATGCAAGAGCAAGGGGCCTGCAAGCCGGATGAAGCGGTGGAGGCTCATCACGGGGACAGCGGCCACGCCAGCGCAACCAGCTTGCAGCGACGCCTGCTCCTCCAACACGCGATCTTGCATCGTCAATTGTTCACAAAGGTCGGTGATGGTCATGCCCGGTAACTGGGGCTGGGTCTGAAGCATGACCATGGTGTAGGCAGCGAGGTGTTTGCCGCAGCGTGCCTCAAGCATTTCAAGAATGAGGACAGCGATATCAACCAAGGTGGCCTTGCTGTTGGCTTTCCACCACGCAGCTTCATTGAGCCAAGTGGTGGTGCGGGCAAGGTGGACCAAGAGGGGGTAGGCAGCCGGCGAAGCGAGTCGACGAGCCAGGTTGTGCAGATTTTTGGCAGTTGTCTCGTCAGGCGAGGCGAGGCCGTGGAACGCCAGTAGCGATGTGTACTGGTCCTGGGCCAACTCGGTGGAAAGAGTATCAGGTACTTCGAGGTAGCAGCCAGGATGCATGAACTGCCCACGTAACTCATTGAAAAGCTCGCCCGGCCGACACGTGATGACGAGCTTGACATAATCGGGCAGTTCAGCTGGCAGCCACTTGAGCTGGGAGACGAGCGGTTGATTGTCCACTTGGTCCAAGCCATCAAGAATGATGAGAAGGGGGCGTCGAATTGATGCCAGGGACATGCGCTAAGGGGTGAAGAACAGAGACGACGTTTTGAGAGAGAGTGAGAGAGGAAGGAAAGCAATCAATGGCGGAAGCAACGAAAACTCAGCGCTTGCTTCGATCCCTGGAAGGCTCACCTCGTAGAGTTCACGCGTGAGATCTTGAAGGCTGTCGTGAACGCAAGTCACTTGGCGCTTTTCAAGCTTGAGGAGGGCGAGACGTTCGTATTCGGCGGGGTCAACCTGTGCTTCATCGTCGCCACCTTCGGCTTCCACCTGCATCTCAAGCTCCCGAATCACGCGTTCCTGGTCGGCAATATCGTTTTCCAGATTGGCGGTGATACCGGCAGCCTCTCGGCGGAAGCCGGCCGCAATCTCCGCGTTCAACGAACGTAGCAAAGACCGCAAGGTGTGTACAGGGGCGGGAAAGCCTTGACCAGCGGACCTCACAACCTGCACGGCACCCCGACCTGCAGTTTCCAGCGCCAGTTGAGCGCGTGCCACGAGCGAGGTCTTGCCCGTTCCCTCGCTGCCGTGGACAATCAGAATCTGACAATCATTTAAACGAGACAGATACAAGCGGTGCGCGGTGAGATGCCACGCAACCTAAAGCAGGTCAAGCCAGTGCACGAGTAGGTTGCCCCATGCGGCTTTGCAAATCATATGGGGCACCTGGTCGGCTATGGATTCGGCAGTCTCGCGGGAGAAGGTCATGAAGGTTTCCAAACGACCTAGCATTTCGCCGAAGCCTTGGTGATCTTGATAATGCAAGGGCATGCGGCTGTAAAAAAGTGACTCCAGCTGACCAGCCAGTGCAATGCTCTCCTAAAATCACGGAGAAGCCAGATGTCAGTCGACGAAACAGGTCAAAGGGAAAATAGGAACAAGAGATAAAAAAATAAAATAAAAAGGCAGGGGCTTGGCATGGGCGTGGGTGCGTCTATTTCTGCAGTGCAGTGGAATACAAGGACAGACCTTGTCCGCGGCGATGTTCTCAATAGCGTCGGTCAGGAGGGAGGTGACGTGGGCGCACCAATCTCCCAGGTAATCCTCTATGGCTGCCGCGTCTTGGGCCGCGTCTTCACCCGAGAGCTCAACGTGGAAGCGAGTTTTATCGGCGGCGAGAGTGCCTTGATCCAGCTCGTAATCTAGCTGGCGGGCGCGACGCAGGGGGTCGTCGACCTGACCAGACGCGTCAAACCAAGTGGGAACGGCAGCCTGTTGTTTGGCTGAGGGCTCTGACTCGCATTCAATGAGTCGGGAGATCCATTTGAGCTTGGGAGCCGCCTTGCCTTCAGGCACATGCAGTGCCGAGTCATGGGCAAAACGGTGCAAACCTGGGTACGAGTAAACATGGGGCGCAAGGTGAAGCGAGCGTGTGGCAGGTCGACCGAGACGTGCTACCGAGAGGTGGAGCGTGCATGCAGGTGCTGCCAGAGAAGTGGGGGAGAATTTGCCCTACCGGAGCAATCAAAGCGGTGGCGTTCATCGGCACTGATATTGGCAGTGGTCAGTGCGGAAGTGAAGGCAGTGACAAGCTTGGTGGCGATGGCAGCCCACTGTTCGGCCTGGCGTTTATCGGCAGGGAATTTTGGGAAGCGGGACTGGGGGCGGTGGAGGCGGTACTGCTGTGTGAGGGGGTCAAGGATGTACCATTCCTTGAGGAGGGCGGCGTTGGTGGATTCAGCAACGACAATCTCAAAAAGGGTTTGAGCCACGGTGGCCGGGGGTATGATGGCGCCGTAACGTTCGTTGGAGAGAAGCAAGAGGTTGAGAGACGCTGGCGCGGCATTGTGATGGTGTCGCACAAGCCAAGTACAGTCGTCCCAGTAGTAAGGGTCTGCCATGGCGCCGGGCCCCACGCCAAGGGCACAAAGATCAAATTGCGCCTGGTGGAGAAGGCGTGGAGGGCGGGAACAAGGGGCGAGGAGCGTAAGATCAGGGGCGGTGGGTCGCAGCGCGTGTATGAAAGGGACGGCCAAATGTGTGAGAAAGGCATCATGTCCACATTGGGGTAAGAAGGAATGGTACTGACATCAATGCCATGGGCTCGGGCCAGCTGGGTGACCTCGGGGAGGATGGTCGTGGCGAGGATGTCCATTTCGCGTTCAAAGCCGGCACCAGCAACGATGGCACAGCGAAGGATGGGAACGCGGAAGGTAGTTGCCGTAGCGACGTTGGAAACTCGACGTGACCCCATGCCTCCAGTGTGACGCCGCACCAAGAGGGAGGGCCGCGAAGGCCGCCCACTCATATTGCCGGGAGCTGGGGCTGGGAGTGGCGGTTAGAGGTGAGGCGATGGGTGTTGCGAGCGGCGAGATCAATCAGAGACGGCGGTGGAAGAGGAAGAGGGGCGGGGGCAGAGAAGACGGCAGAGACGGCGAGCTATACCGGAGGGTCCACAGTGACGCACCGAATTTGTCTGGCGGGCTCGAGCGACCAAAGGGGAAGGCAGCTATCGGTAACTCGTCCTTTCAGAATTGGCAGCCAGGCCAGAGGCACCGATGAATGCAGAGTCGCTGGTAAGGCAGCGAGCGAGCGAGCGAGCGGGCGGGATCGAGAATTCAGCCTGCAGGAAAGAATTGTCAACAGCAGGCACCGTGACACCTTGCCTGGCCATCCATACCAGGTAGATCTATCGAATCTCAAACTGCACGAGCTGACTGCATTTGGGTCGGGTCAGACAGGCGCGCGAGGGGAGGAAGGGATGGGGTGAACGGGGATCGCGCAATGTCTGTTGGGGGTGAGGAAGGAGCCAGTCAGTCGTATCGTGGGGGTACCTATGTCTGGTGTACTGTACCTGTTTGCAGTGCCAGCTCAGCGGACAAGGACAAGGACTAGGCTGCAAGGAGAGACGCGCGGCGGTAGCGGGAGTATGCCCATCCAAACAGCACCGAGATGCAATGAGGCATGAGGCCGGGTACATTGACATCAAAGGCAGGCAGAGGCAGAACCGAGGGGCACTGGAAGAGGGGCGCTGCCGTTTTTTTTTTTTTTTTTCTGGTGTACCGGTGAAACTAAGACTAAATGACCTCTTTAATTTAAACCCAAATAACAGGTGTTGTGTGCAGCTGGCGCGTCTCAAGAATGCTGACCAATGACAAATGTATGGATGAGTTATTGCAGCGAAGAGTGCTGTTTGTGAAGATTCGTTGGGGAGGAAAGATTTGGTTCATGCTGTCTAATCTGCAGTTGAAGTAGATTTATTTCACCCAATGTCAGACAAATACACCCGAAAAGAAAGAAAGAAGAAAACAGAGAAGAAGGAGCGCGAGGATGAAGATCAAGGCAACGTGAGGTGTGTAGTCAAGACTTTTATCATTTTTCGTGTTGTTGTTGTTGTAGAGAGAGGTAAGATCCCCTTTGAGAGAGAGAGAGAGAGAGAGCTTGAGAGAGCTTGAGAGAGCTTGAGAGCTTGAGGCACGCACGCACGCACAGAGAGAGAGAGAGAGAGAGAGAGAGAGAGAGAGAGAGCTTGAAAGAGAGAGAGAGAGAGAGAGCTTGAGAGAGAGAGAGAGAGCTTAAGAGAGAGAGAGAGAGCTTGAGAGAGAGCTTGAGAGAGAGAGTGTGTGTGAGAGGGTTTCAATGGCAGCGGCAGTGGCAGGCGCTGTGAATGAGCCCTGACGTGATGTGTGTGCTCTCTCTCTCTCTCTCTCTCTCTCTCTCTCTCTCTCTCTCTCTCTCTCTGTGTGTGTGTGTGTGTGT